CTCCCAGGTCCAATGAATCCAGAGTCCAAGGTCACAAAGTTCTGCATTACCTGGGTTCCGTGAGACTTCACTCCTGCGTGAGGCTCGACCCGAGCATCCGGAAAGTGACCTGGAGCATGGCGGCAGTTGGGTGGTTTTATTTCTATACATTTATTTATTTTATTTATTTTGGTTTCTTGAGTCATACCTAGCAATGCTCAGGGATTATTATTGACTCTGCACTCAGGAATTACTCCTGAAGGTATTCAGGGTACCATATGGGATGCCAGGAATTGAAACCTGGTCAGCCACATGCAAGGCAAATGCTCTACCTGCTGTACTGTTACTCCAGACCCAGGAAAAAGCAATTAAACCCAAGACCAGGCAAGTGACTCAGTAGTATAATACTTGCGTATTTATGTGAAGCCCTAAGTTTGTTTTTGTTTTTTTTATGTGCTTTATTCTTTTTTTTAATGTATCAGTGTGAGGTACAGTTACAGACTTACAAACTTCCCTGCTTATGTTTCAGTCATACAATGATCGAGTACCCATCCCTCCACCAGTGCCCATTCTCCACCACCAATGCTCCCAGTATCCCTCCACCACCCCTACCCTATCTCCCCTTCCCCCGCCTCTGTGGCAGGCACATTCCCTCTCTCTCTCTCTCTCTCTCTCTCTCTCTCTCTCTCTCTCTCTCTCTCTCTCTCTTTCTCCTTTTGGGTATTGTGGTCTGCAATGCAGGTATTAAGTGGCCATCATGTTTGGTCTATAGTTTACTTTCAGCATACATCTCCCATCTCCCAGCATCCTTTACTTGGTGGTCCCTTCTCTATCTGAGCTGCCTTTTCCCCAGCATTTGAGGTCAACTTCCAAGCTGTGGAGCAATCTTCCTGGTCTTTATCTCTACTATCCTTGGGTGTTAGTCTCCCCTTCTATTAATTTATATTCCACAAATGAGTGCAATCCTTCTATGTCTTTCCCTCTTTTTCTGACTCATTTCACTTAGCATGATACTCTCGACTTTGATCCACTTATATGCAAATTTCTTAACTTCATCTTTTTTTAAGAGCTGCATAGTACTCCACTGTGTAGATGTACCAAAGTTTCTTTAACCAGAGAGGCCCTGAGTTTTATTCCCGGCAAAAGAAAATAAAATTTTGAGGTCAGGTTTTCTGGTCTTTTATTTTTTGGGGGGGTCACACCCAGCTATGCTCAGGGGTTACTCCTGGCTCTGCACTCTGAAATTTCTCCTGGCGGCACTTGGGAGACCATATGGGATGCCGGGGATTGAACCCAGATTGGCCGCTTACAAGGCAAATGCCCTACCCACTGTACTATCGCTCCAGCCCAGATTGATCTGGTCTTAAAACTAGTATTTCCCTAGGGTAGGAGAGATAGCACAGCATGTAAGGCACTTGATTTGCATATATATGGCTGACCCGGGTTAGATCTCTGGCACCATATGGTCCCCTGAGCACCTCCAGGAGTGATTACTGAGAACAGATGCAGGAGTGAGCCCTGACCATGTCTGGGTGTGGCCCAAGAAAGAGAACAAAAAAACTGATGTTTCCCCTTGTATGCTGTTAGGGCACACCTCCCAAGCAATGCTCAGGGGACGCAGTGTCATTCCCAGTGAGATTTGGCTAGCAGCAGTGGGAAAGAGACCTGTGGTGCTGGGAACCAAAGCTGGGACCTCGTGTGCATCGAGGGCATGTGCTCCAGCCCTTTGCACTCTGTCCCCAGGTTCCCCTTATTCTTCTAGAGAGGCTTGGTAGAGCAGTGGTCACTGACCTTAGAACACCGAGGACCTTCTCATCCCTATTGCCAAACTGCTCTCCGGCAGACATTGCCGGCTTGTGTCTAAATCCCAGCTCTGCTATGAACTAGCTGTGTGACCCTCAGCCACTCGACGCCTCAGTTTTCTCATCTGTGAAGTGGCTTCCTGAATGCCAGGAGTGGGGACCAGATCAGGTCAGGTACTTGCCTTGCACATGTCCAACCTGGCTTTGATCCTCAGCACCCCAGATGGTCTCCCAAGCCGGCTAGGAGTGATCTCAGAGCACAGAGCCGGGGTGATCCCTGAGCACAGCTACTTGTGCCTCCCCTGCCCCCCAAACGCCAGGAGTGCATATGAGTGTGTCCACGTAAAGGTCTTAGAAGAGCAAGGAGCGGACAGGAAAGGGCTGACTTAGCTAGGTCTTCCCCGATGGCATTTCAGCAGCCCTGGGACTTCTGCAAATAAGACTGTTGCCAGGAGCTGTGTAAGCAGATTTTTTTTTTTTTTGAGGAGAGGGGAGGCCAGGTGGCTTTAACACCTGGCAATGCTCAGGGGTCACTTCCTGCAGTGCTATGGGGACAATGCAGTGCAGGGGGTCATCAAACCCAGGTCTCCTGTTCTCTCTCATGTGTATGCAACCCCTATGCATGTTGTTGGGTTTTGTTGTTTCTGTTGTTGGTTTGGTTTGGGGACCATATCTGGTGGTGCTCAGGGCTTACTGCAGGCTCTGCGCTCAGGTATCTCTCCTGGTGGACTTCAGGTACCATATAAAGTATGGGGGATGGCACTCCCTAGGTTGGCCATATCTCTCCAGGGTTCCCGCACCCAGCAGTATTTTTTTTAGTTAAACAATAATTTTATTGCTTAAATACACAATTTATGCGACCAAGGTAGAGGCTGTTGATGATTCATATTTCCAATTGGGGGGGAGGACCAATATTACAATTTGGTCTTGTAATAGCGGAAAAAATAATGGAACGCTTCACGAATTTGCGTATCATCCTTGCGCAAGGGCCATGCTAATCTTCTCTGTATTGTTCCAATTTTAGTATATGTGCTGCCGAAGCGAGCACCCAGCAGTATTTTAGACCCTATTTACATGGCTCCATTGGGTGAAACCCACCCCAGGGCAGGAATCACCCTGCGGTGTGCTTCCTTTCATCCATGCTTGGAGGCAGAGGGGCAGAGGTGCATGCTATGGTGCTGCACGGCCATCAGCATGACCATGAACTGCCTCAGAGTCGTGTCTTAAGTGGACGTCCTGAGACCCTGATATGGCTGAATAGGAAGCGTGTGATGGAACCTTGGTTGAACATAGAAGTCCTCTGCCCACCCTACCATTGGACAGAGTCAATTTTCACAGTTCTCAACTCTACAGAGAGAATTTGAACCAGTTCCTCATGTAACAATAATATGCCCCGCACTGTCTCAAGCACTTTGCATATATTATCCATGGAATGGCTTTATCATTATTATTATTATTTATTTATTTTGCTTTTTGGGTCATACCTGGCGATGCACAGGGGGGGTTACTCCTGACTCTGCTCTCAGGAATTACTCCTGGTGGTGCTCAGGGGACCACATGGGACGCTGGGAATCGAACCCGGGTCGGCCACGTGCTAGGCAAATGCCCTACCCGCTGTGCTATGGCTCCAGCCCGCAATGGAATGCTTTTGAAAGAGGCACTCTTGAGGCTGAAGAGGTAGTGCAGGGTTGAAGACTCTTGCCTTGCAGGCAATTGACCCTGGCACCCCATATGGTACCTCAAGCCCTGCCAGGAGTGATCCAAGGAGAAAGTCCTAAGCACTGCTGGGTGTGGCCCCCAAACCAAACAAATGAGAGAGGGAGGGAGGGAGGGAGAGAGAGAGAGAGAGAGAGAGAGAGAGAGAGAGAGAGAGATTCTTCTGATTTCCATTTCCCCAGGGAAGAAAATATGAATCAGAATCTGGAATCTCCTATGTGAGAACAGGCAGCTTTGGGGTGAGAAATGCCATCCAACAATCTCACCTCGCTCCCCCTTTGCCAGATGGAGAACAAGCATCCCCTCAGAACCCCTGGCAGCCGGCTGTCTGAGAGCTGGGGTGAGAACCAAGAGAGAGATTACGGATTGGTCCCCAAACCTCAGCCTTCCCTGGGTCAAAATCTTGTACTGTTGAGGAGGGCAGGGGAAAGGGCGGCAGCACCCCCATTCCAGGAGGCAGTTCACAAGACAGCCGACTGGAAGCCCAGGAGGCCTGAGTGAGGAGTGACGGAGGCAGATGGCAGCTGCCTGCATCCACGCTGCTGCCTTTCGGATCATTCTGCTTGGGTGTGTGAGTGTGTGTTTCTGGTAAACCTCCCAAATAAAACGGTTTGCTTTCCTCAAGTTAGAAGTGTTAGCACATCTTTTCTTTAAATATCTGTGCATGGCTGTTTTTTTCCCTGCCAATTTGTCACCATCTGTAACCCTCCCTTTAGGAGATGCTCCGATGACAACAATTATCTCGAGAGTAAAAGTGCAATCTGGAAGCAGTGCGAGCCGCGTTCAGGAGGTGCGAGGCCGCCTGGGGGCCTCTGGGGCGCGGCCTGAAGGTGTGGGGTCTGTGGGGACCCCCGCGCGGTCCTTCGCGCGTGGGCGCAGCGGCGCACCCCTGCCCGTGGGAGTCCGCAGTCTGGCCGCTGGGCCGGGCGCCCGCTGCGTCCTTTGGGTCCTGTCCGGCGCTGAGCGTGGACCGCCAAGACGTGGGCCCCCGTCTGGTGCCCCGCTGCGGGCACCTTCTCCTCCTCCTCCACCTCAGGGCCCGGGTGCAGGGAGCGATTTCCCCAGAGGGTCTGGGGAAGGCCGGCGCTTTGGGGTCCAGGGCCAAGAAATTGCGAGGTCTGAGCCTAGGCACGGGGAGGTAAATGAGGGGGTGTCTGCGGCTGGGGCTGGGGTGGGGGTGGCAGAGGGCGAAGGGGAGGATGCGCCGGCCCGCGGAGCCGGTGGGGTGCAGGGCTGCGGCGCGCTCCTCCCCTCCCCCACCCCACCCCGGGGCGCGGCGCCGCGGCGGCGGCGGCGGCGGCGGCGGCGGGGCCGGGCCGGGGGGCCGAGGCCGAGGCGGCCGGGGACGGGGCCGGCGGCCCGCGCGACCACCATGAACGTGGCCCTGCAGGAGCTGGGCGGCGGCGGCGTGAGTGCGGCGGGGACGGGCGCGGGGCGCGGGGCGGGGGCGCGGGCGCGGCGGGCCCCCCGCGGCCTGAGCCCCCCGCTCCGCCTGTGCGGCAGATGGTGGAGTACAAACGCGCCACGCTGCGGGACGAAGACGCGCCCGAGACCCCCGTGGAGGGCGGGGCCTCCCCGGACGCCGTGGAGGTGGGCAGAGGGCTCCCCCTTCCTCGCCAGCCCCCCGCCCCCACCCCGGCCTGGCCTGACGCGCCCGGCCTCCCCCGGAACGCGGGGCTGCCCTGGAGGTACCTGGTCCCCCTCCCCCCAGCCCGGCTCCCGCACCTCCGGCTCTGCGGCCGGGACTCACTGGGGAGCCGCATCCAAGCCATGACGTTGCACAAAACCTGCGAGGGCGCCCCTGTTCCTGCTCGCGTGTCCTGGGGGCCTCATCCCCAGGGCCGCATCCCTGCTCCCATACTCTCGGGACCCCCGCCCTGATCCCATACCGCGGGGACCTCACCCCTGGTCCCAATACCCTGGGGACCCCATCCCTGCCCTCATACTCTGGGGATCCCATCCCTGTCCCCATACTCTCGGGACCCCATCCCTGGTCCCATACCCTGGGGACCCCATCTCTGCCCTCATACCCCGAGGGCCCCATCCCTGCTCCCCAGCCCCAGGGCTCCATCTCTTCCTTCTGCCTGGGGTCTCCATCCCTCCTCCTATGCCCCAGGATTCTGATCCCTGCTCCCATACTATGTGGTTGCCCCCTTGCCCTGGGGTCTCCATCCCTGCTCCCATCCACTGGGGTTCCCCCCACCCCGTCCTTGCTCACATCCCCTGGGGGCCCCACCCTGCTCCCATCCCTGCTCCCACCCCCTGGGGCCCTGTCTCTGCTCCCTCAGGGCCCAGTTTTGTTCCAGGCTTCTGGAAACTGCCCATGGGTGCCCCCTCCCTGCTCCCCAGTGCTCCTGGGCCCGCGCCTGCCCCTGGCCAGCTCTAACCCCCCCTGTGTCCCACAGGTGGGGTTCCGTGAGAGGACCCATGGGCGCTGCGGCCTGCGCACGGCCCTGGAGCGCAGCCTGGCGGCGCTTGCTCTCCTGCTGGCTGCGCTGCTGCTCGGCTGCTTCATGGCGCTCGGCCTCCAGTACCACAGGGGTAGGTGGGCCGCCAGGCACCAGCCCTCCCTCAGAGGGTGGAGGGGCTTGAAGAGCTTTTCTGCTTAACACCAGCCTTCCTGGGTCTCGAGAGATAGGACCGCGGGTAGGGCGCTTGCCTTGCATGAGACAGACCCAGTTTAATCCCCGGCACCACCCTGAGCCCGACCAGGAGTGATCTCTGAGTGCAGAGACCGGAGTCGACCCTGAGCACAGCAAGGTGTGGCCAACACCACTCCCCCAGTAGCACTGTCGCACTGTCCTTCTGTTGTTCATCGATTTGCTCAAGCGGGACCAGTAACGTCTCCATCGTGAGACTTGTTGTTACCGTGTTTGGCATATCGAATACGCCGCGGGAAGCTTGCCAGGCTTTGCCGCACGGACGAATACTCTCGGTAGCTTGCCGGGCTCTCCGAGAGGGGCGGAGGAATCGAACCCCGCTCTGCCGGACTAGGCTGGGCTCAAGGCAAACACCCTACTGCTGTGCTATCGCTCTAGCCCTCCATAATAAAGAAGTCAACCATTAAATACCAACATTTAGCCTTCCCCCGCTGGAGATAGTACAAGAGTTAAGGCATGCGCCTTGCACACGTGCAACCCCAGTTTCATCCCCAGCATTGCCTTAGGGCCCCCCAAGCACCACCAGGAGTGATCGCTGAGCACAGGGCCAGGGTGTGGCCCCAAAACCAACTCCCCACAAGAGATCAGCCCTCCCCCAGCTCTCCTCCCACCTCCGGCTTTCCTGCTGTCGTGACCCCGCCCAAGGTATTTGCTGCCCCCAGAGTGATGGAGTTCCCGCGCCCCACCCGCCCACAGACCCTTCCCACAGCACCTGCCTCACAGAAGCCTGCATTCGCGTGGCGGGGAAAATCCTGGAGTCCCTGGACCGTGGTGTGAGCCCCTGTGAGGACTTTTACCAGTTCTCCTGTGGGGGCTGGATCCGGAGAAATCCTTTGCCTGACGGGCGTTCTCGGTGGAACACCTTCAACAGCCTCTGGGAGCAGAACCAGGCCATCCTGAAGCACGTCCTGGGTGAGCACCTTCAGGGCCGTGATCTGGAGGGGTGCCATGCAGAGCACTGTCTGGATCTCCCGAGAAGCGGAGGTGGGCGGAGATGACTGTGAGGGGCCCCAGGGCAGGGGAGAAGCCCCACTTTGCTACTTACTTCCTGGGTCTCTGTGGGGAGCACTGCCGCTTGAGAAGCAGTACAGTGGGGAGGGTACTTGCCTTGCACGTGACCCACCATGCTCAAGTCCTGTTACCCCATATAGCCCCCCCCCCCCGAACACTGCCAGGAGTGATCCTGGAGCAAGAGCCAGGAGTAAGCCCTGAGCACTGCTGGGTGTGGCCCAAAGACCCCAAAAAAGAGATGGTGAGGAGAGAGGGAAAAGGGGAGAAGGGAGGGGGCTGGAGAAATAGCACAGTGGGTAGGGCATTTGCCTTGCACGCAGCTGACCCAGGTTCGATTCCCAGCATCCCATATGGTCCCCTGAGCACCACTATGGGTAATTCCTGAGTGCAGAGCCAGGAGTAAACCCTGTGCATTGCCGGGTGTGACCCAAAAAAACCAAAAAAAAAAAAAAGAGGAGAGAAGGGAGAGGGGAGAGGGGAAGGGAGAAGAGGAGTGGGAGGAGGGAAGGGGAGGGAGGAAAGATGCCAGCAAGGGCCTGTCCCTTCCCCGGAAGTCAACATAGTGGCCCCTGGACCTTACTGTCTGGATTTGGGGCCTCATTTGCTTGTTGCCCCATCCCTAGCGGTGCTCAGAGCTCCCCAGGCTCTCCCCAGTGGCGCTCAGGAGGTGCTGGAGACTTGAGCCCAGCTCCCAGTGCATGCTGGCTTTGACTCCCTTTGAGCTCTCCCTTTGAGCCCCTGTCTTCTTCCCGCCCCACAGAAAACACCACCTTCAACTCCAGCAGCGAAGCTGAGCGCAAGACCCAGCGCTTCTACCTCTCCTGTCTGCAAGTGGAGCGCATCGAGGAGCTGGGGGCGCAGCCGCTGCGGGAGCTCATCGATAAGGCAGGGAGGGTCCTTGGTGGGCTGTGGGGCAGGGCAGGCCTCAATGAGGTGGTGGCCTGAGAAATTGCTGGGGCAGGGCCAGAGCAGTAGCACAGCGGCTAGGGCGTTTGCCTTGCCTTGCCTTGCCGACCTGGGTTCAATCCCCAGCATCCCATATGATGCCCCAAGCATCTCCAGAGCCAGGAGTAGCCCCTGAAGATTACTGGGTGTGCCCCCCCCCCAAAAAAAAACAATGCTGAGGGCCCCTGGAGCAAGCTTCTCTTTCTGGTCTGGACTCAGATTGGTGGCTGGAACATCACGGGGCCCTGGGACCAGAACAACTTCATGGAGGTGCTAAAGGCCGTGGCCGGGACCTACCGAGCCTCTCCGTTCTTCACGGTCTACGTCAGTGCCGACTTGAAGAGTTCCAACAACAACGTTATTCAGGTAGAGCGGGAGGCATGAAGGGAAAGATCACCCATGGCTAAGTCCATCCTAGCTCCCCCTGGGTCGGGCAGGCTGGGATCTCCCCCTCCCCATTCAACCCAAACCGTTAAGGAGGTCCGGAGCGAGAGAACATTGGGTAAGGCATTTGCCTGGCACAAAGCTGACCTGGCTTCTGTCACTGGCACCCAAGTCCATTGGGAATGATCCCTGAGTTCAGAACCAGGAGTAAACCCTGAGCACACCGATGGTGGCTTGGAAACCAAAAAACACAGGTGATGGTCTTAGGTGAGGAAGACTCACGCTCGTTCCTTTCTGTCGCAGGTGGACCAGTCTGGGCTCTTCTTGCCATCTCGAGATTACTACCTGAATAGAACTGCCAACGAGAAAGTAAGGAGCATGCCCAGAACATGAGCCTGCCAGGGCTGGGCCTCGTTCACGCTCCCCTTTCTCCTCTTTCCCCCTCTCTCCCTCCCCTCTTTATCTTCCCTTCCTTCTTTCCCCTTTTCCCCCCAGGGGAACATTTTATAGGCTTCTTTTGTGTGCCAGGCACAGGGATCATTCTGAAAACAGAGTTTCAGGACTGTGGTCATAGGAAGCTCTCAGGGTACCTGGAACCAGGTTCAAAAGAGGGTCTTGGTGGAGTTCATGCACAATTCAATCAGCTAATCAATGGCTGAATAAATAGTAGTACTCCTACATAAAAAAAAAAAGGGGGGGGAGAGAGAGAGAGAGTCTTGGGACTCAGGAGACACTTTGGTCACTGAAGATTTCCTAAGGAGATTGCATTGAAGCTGGACTCTGAAAATGTCCAGGCTTGGGGGACTGGAGCAATAGTACAGTGGGTAGGGAAATTGTCTTTCATGCAGCTGACTTGAGTTCTATCCCTAGCATCCCACATGGTCCCTTGAGCACCAGTAGCCCCTGAGCATCTTTTGAGTGGCTCCCAAACAAACAACAGCAACAAAAGAATTTCTAGGCTTAAAGAGACAGAACAGTGGTCGGTAAGGTGCTTGCCTTGCACGTGTCTAAACTGGGGTTTGATCCCTGGCACCACATATTGTTTCCTGGGTGCAGAACCAGTCGTGATCACTGAGTGCAGAGCCAGGAGAAAGCCCTGACTCTCAAAAAAATAAGTAAGTAAATAAATAAAAACAAAACCTCCAAAACACTGCAAAAGTGCGGAGGGCTGGAGTGATAGTACAGCAGGTCAGGCATCACATGTGTGACTCCTTCATATCATCTCCAGCACTGCAAAAAAAATGTGTTTTTTGAGACCGAACAAAAGTCTAATCTAAGTAAAAAATAAAATGTTCACAAATGCATGGAAGGAGGAGAAGCTAAGGCATATTTGAACCAGGGGAAGGAGTCCAGGTTGGCAAAATGGAGAGTGTACTGCAGAGAAGCCAGAGAGGTCGGTAGGGGCTAATTCTGGGGGTGATCGTGAATGTTCCCTTGTGGAGCAGAAAGTCGGCAGCCCTTGGCTGCCAGCTGCAGATGTGTTGGTCTCTGCAGTGCTCTGGCCTCTGAGTCTGCGGGACCGAGTGGAAGGGGCAGCAAGGGAATGCCCGGAAGAGAAGGACAGACGTGATCAGCCAGACCCGTCCTGACTGGAGGCTGAGGGGCTTAGGAGCGGCTGGAGAAGAGCTAAGGAGAGCAGCGACCTCAGCCTGAGAGACCTGTGAACGGGAGGGAAGGGTCCTGGGGGATGCAGCCATGGCTAAAGACAGATTTCATCCCGGCCTGGCTGCCAGGCGCTGCCTTCCTCTGCCCACAGGGCTCAGAGCAGCCGCTGTGGGGCCGGCTGTGGGGCCGCTGAGCTGGCAGGGGGCAGACACTCGGGGTGACCTGCTGGTGTTGGACAGGGGCCGTGGGGCCACTGTGGAAGCAAGAATGGAGAGAATTCTGCAGAGATGGGGGTGTCGCCTTAAAAACACAAAGGCTTAGCAGAGGTGAGAAAGGGGGAGAAGAGAGAAAGGAGGCAAGGCAGCCCAATGGGGGTTGATTTTGTTTATTGGCTTAGGTTGGTTTGGGAGCCCCATGGGCAGTACTCAGGGCTTCCACCTGGCTCTATGCTCAGAAGTGACCCCCTGAGGTTCTCTGAGAACCACCTACAGTGCTGGGGATCAAACCCAAACCCAGGTCAGCCATATGCACGGTAAGCACCTTGAACCCCTGTCTGACTCCATTGTAATAGCATAGGGAGGACTGGAGCTGTAGCACAGCAGGGAGGGCATTTGCCTTACACACAGCCAACCTGGGTTCAATTCCCAGCATCCCATAGGGTCCCCTGAGCACCACCAGGAGTAATTCCTGAGAGCAGAGCCAGGAGTAACTCCTGAGCATCACCGGGTGTGACCCAAAAAGAAAAAAATAATAACAGCAGCATAGGTTTTTTTTTGGGGGGGGGGGATAACTAACAGTGCTCAGGATCACTCTTGGTGTTGCCCAGAAGACCTTGTGTGCTGGAAACCAAAACTGGGCCACACGCAGCAAAGCAGGGAACTAGCCCTTTGAGCCATCTTCCTGGCCCTGGTCATTGTAATTTATTTATAATGATTATTTTGTTGTTTTGTTTATTGGGGACCCACACTGGACAGTGCTCAGGGCTCTGACTCCTGACTCTGTGCTCAGGGATCACTTCTGCTGGACTGGGGGGGACCTTATAGGATACCAGGGATCAAATCCGGGTCATCTGGGGCTGGAGCAATAGCACAGCAGGGAGGGCGTTTGCCTTGCACACGGCCGACCTGGGTTCGAGTCCCAGCATCCCATATGGTCCCCTGAGCACTGCCAGGGGTAAATCCTGAGCGCAGAGCCAGGAGTAACCTCTGTGCATTGCCAGGTGTGACCCAAAAAGCAAAAAAAAAAAAAAAAAGAAAAAAAAGAAAAAAACCCGGGTCAGCTACAGACAAGCAAGGGCCTTCCCCCTCTGTACTACCTCCCCAGCCAAGTTCTCCTGTGTTAAGTTCTGCGAGAGAAAGAGCTAGTGACAGCCATTGCTAAGGCAAGGATATCTGGGACAGGCTCTGTCCTCTCATTAGTCACAGACACCTGGAAGGAGGTGCCACGTGCCATTGAAGTTGGGGAGTAGACGTGAGATGCTGGACACACTGGTATCCTGCCTGCAGGAATTCACACTGCTCTAGAGAAGTGTGACTTCCAGGAGTGAGTGGAACAGGGACCCAGCCTGCTCCCAGCAGGCTCTGAGAAGGCAGAGGGGCTTTGGCAATGGAACAGCGGTGGTGGTGGTGGTGGGGTGCATATAACCAATTGATGGAGCAGAGGGGAGAGCGGCGTGGTACCTGGACAGATATGGACCAGTACCTATGCTAAGCTTATGGGTCAAGCTTCACATTTATCCCCCAAGAACTGAAAAGGGCCACTCAGGGCGACAGGACAGCGGGCAGGGTATTTGCCCATGGCTGACCTGGGCTCATTCTCCAGCATCCCATATAGTCAGTCCCCTGAGCCCCACCAGGAGTAACTTCTGAGCTCAGAACCAGGAATAACACCTGAGCATCGCCGGGTGTGACCCAAAAACAAAAACAGAAACAAAGCAGAAAGAAGTGGCGAGTGTAGTATGGACAGCCCCTGGGTCATGGGGGTGTGGGGAGAGACCTTGAGAATGCGGGAGAAAAGCACGGTACTCCCAGCTGCGGAACGGCGGGGAATCGCGGGATCTGGCTCTCGCCTGTCTGTGCTCCTCCCAAGGTGGGTGATACACGGCCCCGCCCGCGGGGGTGCTGGGTCGATTCGGGAAAGGGGGAGCAGCAGCAGGTGCGGTTGGGGGTGCCTTCTTTTTACTTGCTTAAAGAGCGGGGGCTTAAAGGGCTGAGCTCTGCCTAGCATCTAGAAGACCTGAGTTCCCTCGTTGGCACTCTCTGGTCCCCGGAGTGCCACCAGGTGTGGCTCAAATGCCAAAAACTACAGCAAGACAAAAATGAGACAAACAACCCAACAGCCACAACAGAGGCATCCCATGTGCAGTCTATGCAAAGGGAGTCAGATGTGATGGATTTGGGAACCCTGTCCGGTGCAGACAGAGGGACAGAGATGGATAAAGTGAAGGAAATAGGAGAAGTTTTTTGGGGTGCTCTCCCGGGCAGACTCTACGAACCAGAAGTGAGGCTGGGGCAGAGCGTGCCCTGGGAGAGACGAAGTGGGATTTTTTAAGTTGTCTTCGGGGGGGGAAAGGGAAGACTAGTAAACAGGTATGTTTGGTCTGGCTCCCGTTATCTTGTGGGGAAGGGGCTGGGGGTCGATGGTGAGGAAGCATGGAAGGCAGCCTGGTGGCCTCCTGGCACCCAGGTGGGTCATAAGTCCTGTCTTCCCTGCTGGGGGCACCGTGATCTCCAGTTCCAGGAATGTTGCTGTCTCCTCAGCCAGTCCTCATCTGGTCCCAGTTGCCATTTTGTCCAGCAAACCTCACAAGAAACAGTTGTGTAATGTTGCCATTAAATTCTTCCTCACTGCACTTTTCTCCCCCTGGGAGGCCCCTGGGAGGGGAAAGCAGCAGACAGGAGATGTGGGGAGTGGGGGGTGGGGAGGTGGGAGAGAATCGAAGCCACAGGATGGCAATTCCCCCCCACCCCCACTCCATCCCCACCTGTGGTCCTGATGGGCTAGGAGCCGAGACAGCAGAGCAGGAATGAGGGGCAGCCCCTGCACCAGTGAAATGCTTGCAGGAACTTCTTCTAGGCCAGGCTCCAGGGGTGGGGCAGAGAGTTCTGGAATGCTCCTTGCCTTGGGGGAAAGAGATGAGAAAGCCCTGAGAGCTAGCCCAGGAGACACGGCGCTTGGCTTGCACGCATGCCCAATACCGCTTATGATCCCCCAAGCATAAAGAAAGACAAGGGTAGCTAGGCCCTGATCGCTGCTGGCTCTCTCCCAAATAACCTTCCCCCCCCCCAAAAAATGTAGAGACAATGGGGCTGGAGTGATAGCACAGCGGGGAGGGTGTTTGCCTTGTATGTGACTGACTCAGGTTCGATTCCCAGCATCCCATATAGTCCCCTGAGCACCACCAGGATTAATTGCTGACTGAAGAGCCAGGAGTAACCCCTGTGCATCGCCGGGTGTGACCCAAAAAGTTAATATATATATATATGTGTGTGTGTATATATATATATATATATATATATATATATGTACACCCCAATAGAGACACGCTCGCCACAGCTGGTAGTGGACCCAGCAGGGAGTCGGTGAGGCTGACCCTGGGGACGTAGAGGAGGGAGGATGCTGATGCATGGGGCTCCCTGCCAGGTGCTCACCGCCTACCTGGACTACATGGAGGAGCTGGGGCTGCTGCTGGGCGGCCGGGCCGCCGCCACGCGGGAGCAGATGCAGAAGGTGCTGGAGCTGGAGGTGCAGCTGGCCCACATCACGGTGCCCCAGGACGAGCGGCGTGACGAGGAGAAGCTCTACCACAAGATGAGCGTGGCCGAGCTGCAGGTGGGCCGGGGGGTTTTCCTCTCTGCCCAGGGAAGGCTGAGGGGCACCCCCGTCGGGCTGCAGTCCTGGAGGGAGATGCCACAGCACCCTCAGGCAAGGAAGGGAGGGAGGGAAGAAGGAAGGAAGGAAGGAGGGAGGGAAGGAAGGAAGGAAGGAAGGAAGGAAGGAAGGAAGGAAGGAAGGGAGGAAGGAAGCCTCTTCCTTTGGCCCTCTAGGGAGTCGGTGCTGGTGCTTGGTGGGGAGGGTCTGTGGGCGGCCGTGTCCCCGCAGGCAGGGAGACGAGTGTCTGGCTTTGCCCACAGGCCCTGGCCCCCTCCGTGGACTGGCTGGAGTTCCTGTCTTTCTTGCTGTCGCCCCTGGAGCTCAGTGACTCGGAGCCCGTTGTGGTGTACGGGACGGATTATCTGCAGCAGATGTCAGAGCTCATCAACCGCACAGAGCCAAGGTGTGGGGGTGCAGCTGTGAGGGAACAGGATTCCGACAGGTGCTGGGCAGAGGGCACAGGTGTGACTGAGAGACAGCACGGTGGGCTGGGCACTCGCCTTGCACGTAGCCGACCCAGGTTCAATCCCCGGTATTCCCAGTGGTTCCCTGAACCCCACCAGGAGGGATCCCTGAGCACAGAACCCAGAATACCACTAGGTGTGGCCCAAGAACAAAAATGAAAGCAAGAGGGGCTGGAGGGGGCTGGAGCAATAGGACAGCAAGGAGGCGCTTGCCTTGCACCTGGCTTGATCCCTGACATCCCATACGGTCCCCCGGCCACTGCCTGGAGTAATTCCTGATGCAGAGCCAAGAGTGGCCCCTGAGCATTGCCAGATGTGCTCCCAAAACAGAGAGAGAGAGAGAGAGAGAAAGGCAGAGAGGGAGGGAGGGAGGGAGGGAAAGAGAGAGAGAGAGAGAGAGAGAGAGAGAGAGAGAGAGAGAGAGAGAGAGAGAGAGAGCACTGTCATGGCTAGATACAGTGGTGTTTGGAAAGGCCTGAAGCCTTGCAAGCATGGAAACAATGCTTCGAGTCCGGGGCTGCAGGGGCCAGCTGTGGGCTCTAGCCCTACTTCGGACTCTCCCTAGACTGCTTCAGGTAGCTGTGTGGTCCCGGTGGCAAGGGAGCTTCTGGGAAACCCCACCAGGCTGCTGGCACACCCCTGCAGCAGCTTGGGGTGGAAACGTTCCCTTCCTTCCCTCTTCCTCTGTGCTGGCCCGGACACCAGCATCCTCAACAACTACCTGATCTGGAACCTGGTGCAGAAGACGACCTCCAGCCTGGACCGGCGCTTTGAGTCAGCGCAAGAGAAGCTGCTGGAGACCCTCTACGGCACCAAGAAGGTGGGCTCTGACCCTACCCCCTCCTCGCTTGCCCACATCAGATCTCAGGCGCTGTTTGCCCCCGGAGGATCTAGTGGTTTGGGTTCCAATACCAATTCCTCCTCATATTTCTGGGAACTGGGGGTACATCTCCCGGTTCCTTTTACACTCTGTTCTCAACATTCCCGTTTGGGGGAGGGGGACCACAACCCAATAGTGCTCAGTGGCTACTCCTGCCTCTGCATTCATATATTACTCCTGGTGGGGTTTCAGGGGACCATCTGGGATGCTGGAGATCGAACCCGGGTTGGTCACATGCAAGGCAAACACCCTCCCCACTGCCCTATGGCTATACTAGCCTCTTGACCTGCTGCTCCGTTTCAGACCTGGGTCAGTTCACCCCTCCTTAGGCAACCTGGAGTCCTTCGCTCCTGGGGGAGGAGGGGGTCATCATATTGATGCTGAACTTAGTGTAGACACCAAATTGGCACAGCGCCCTGCAGCCCACAACTCCGGCCACAGTCTCCTGAGTACCTGGGACTCCAGGCACGCGTCATCACACCGGCTGTGTGCAGACGCTTTTTTCTCTCTGTGAGGCAGAACTAGGGGCCAGGGAAGCCTTGAAAACCACTGGAGGGCACGTAAGTTTGCCGGGCTGCAGTCGGTACTCAGCCCTGCCAGAGGAGTGATGAAGAATGTGCTCTTGGTCTCAAGGTGCTGTCAGGTAGGAGAGGTGGGTGCACAGCCAGAATGCGTCAGGTTTCTGGGGGTTGTGTGCACACTATGCCTGAGGGATCTTTGTATTCTAGAACAGAGGAGGGGACAGTGCTTTCCACCTGGGGATGGCAGGTGAGGGGCCGGGAGTCCTCAGGAAAGTCTTCTTTGAACAGGTGGCATTAAAAGAACACATTTCGGGCCGGAGCGATAGCACAGTGGGTAGAGCGTTTGCCTTGCACGTGGCCGACCTAGGTTTAATCCCCAGCATCCCATATGGTCCCTCAAGCACCGCCAGGAGTAATTCCTGAGTGCAGAGCCAGGAAAAATCCCTGAGCATAGCTGGGTGTGACCCCAAAAGCAAAAAAACAAAACAAAAAAAAAAACAGAAAAAAAAACAAACACATTTCCCGAGATTTCAGAAAGAAAGAATCACGATGTGCAAATGCCAGAGGCCAGGAGAGTGCCACAGGTTTGCACATTTTCTGGCTGGTGCTTAAAAACAGGCAGCTGAGGGGCTGGAGTGATAGCACAGCAGGTAGGGAGTTTACCTTGCATGCAGCTGACCTGGGTTCAATCCCCAGCATCCCATGTGGTCCCCTGAGCACCACCAGGAGTAATTCCTGAGTGCAGAGCCAGGAGTAACCCCTGAGCATCTCCGGGTGTGACCACACACACACACACACACAAAAGGCAGCTAAGGGGCTGGAGAGACAATAGAGGGAGGAGGGTGCTTGTCTTGTACGTGGCCAACCCGGGCTCAATCCCCTGCACCACGTATGATCCCCTGAACCCCACCAAGAGTGATCCCTGAGTGAAGAGTCAGAAATAGGCCTTGAGCTCTGCCAGTCTGCCAGTTGTGTCCCTCACTCCTTGTCAAAAATAAGATAAAATAAAATAAAGCAATGCCCCTGTATAGCTTGCCTTGCACACAGCCATGGCAAACCCTGTTTCAAATCCCGGGCTCTGCATAGGGTCCCTCCAGCCCTGCCAGGAGTGATCCCTGAGCACAGAGCCAAGAATAATTCCTGAGCACTGCCGGGTGTGACCCCCAAACAAAACACCAACAAAATAGGGGATGTCCCTGATGGATCAGAGAGTGCAACAGGCTGTGGGCAGGCTCTGCGTGCAGGGGACCTGGGTTCGATCCCCAGGCATAGAGCTGAGAAAACAACCCCTGCACCCTAGCAGGTGTGACCTCAAGATGAATCCTTTTTCGTAGGGGGTGTTTGGGTCACTCTGGCGCTTGTAAGACAAGTGTTGTACATCCTCTACTATCATTTCTTAAGCCTCCAAACGGGTTGGAGTGATAGCACAGCGGGCAGGGCATTTGCCTTGCATGCGGCTGACCCGGGTTCAATTCCCAGCATCCGGTATGGTCCCCTGAGCACCGCCAGGAGTAAGTCCTGAGTGCACGAGCCAGGAGTAACCCCTGTGCATCACCAGGTGTGACCCAAAAAGGAAAAAAAAAAAGGATTAAGCCTCCAAACAAGATTTTTTTTTTGAGATGGAAACAGCGGGTGGCTTTCTGAGAAGTAGCACTGTAGCACTGTCCTCCCATTGTTCATCGATTTGCTCGAGAGGGCCCAGTAACGTCTCCATCATGAGACTTGTTGTTACTGTGTTTGGCATATCGAATACATCACAGGTATCTTGTAAGACAGTTAAATTCATGATTAGTTCCTCTTAGTTCTTCCTTCTGGCTGTTAAGTGGAAGACAGCGTGATGTGGGGTTGCGAATGGAGTTAGAGGCAGAGAGGAAGCCAGGGCAATTTTCAGACAGATGGGGATGTTGTAGGCTGGAGGGGAGAAGGTGAAATGCAGCGGACAGAAGAGATGTGGAGGCAGAGCACAAGGTCCGGGGTGGGACTCAAGCAGTAGCTCGTGGCTGGCTTGTGAACTGTCGCATCCTAAGGCCCCTGAGCACTGCCGGCTGTGTTCCTCACAGCCCCAGAGTGTGGCCACTCCAGACAACTAACAAGAAAGTGGACTTCATTGGAATGGAATGGCTCCAGGGTGCCTCTGGAGCTGGGGTGATGGGTCAGTGGGGTTGCCCACTCACAGGGCATAGGGACACACCAGGGTTAGGAGGGGGACATGGAACCACACCAAGAGAAGCCTGGGAGGAGGCGGCAGCTGGGGCTGGCACACATGGGGACTTGCCCTTCATTTTCCCCGGAGAGAGAGACGGAACCCCAGGCCCAGCCCTGCTGTCAGGCTCTAGCTCGGAGCGGTTCCTGGGAGGCCTCTCTGTCCCCTGACAGTCCTGCACGCCCCGGTGGCAAACCTGCATCTCCAACACGGATGACGCTCTCGGCTTTGCGCTGGGCTCCCTCTTTGTGAAGGCCACGTTTGACCGGCAAAGCAAGGAAATTGTGAGTCACCCTCAAAGTCCTACTGCCTGCCCTGGTTTTGGTTACAATTCACTCTTGGGAGGAGGGGCAGAGAGATAGGCCAGGGGTTAAGGTGCTCGCCTTGCACTTGGCTGAGCGGGTTTGGTACCTTGGGCGCCCCCAAGCAGTGCCAGGGAGGATCCTTGAGCACAGAACCCAGAGTATATCCTGATACCACTGAATGTGGCCCTCCTGCCAAAATATCACAATCAAAACTGAGCGATAGTGCAGTGTGTCGGCAGTTTCCCTTGCACACAACCAATCCAGGTTCAATCCCTGGAACCCGATATGGTCCCCCAAGCACTGCCAGGAATCAGCCCTGAGCATGGCCAAGAATGGCCGAAAAACAAAATAAATAAATAACAGGGGTTTGGAGAGGGCTCAGTGGACTGAAGCAGTTGTTTTGGATGTAGGAGGCCCAGCTGTTAGCTCTGACACCCTATGGTACCCTGAGCACTGCCAGGAGTGACTCCCAAGCACTGGCTAAGAGCAGCCTCTAGCCTCAGCACTGTGTGTGTGGCACCAAAATAAGAGTTAAGAGGAGTGAGGGGCCGGAGTGATAGGACAGTGGGTAGGGCTCTTGCCTTGCACGTGGCTGACTTGGGTTCCACCCCTGGCATCCCATATGAGCACCACCAGGAGTGATTCCCAAGTGGACATCCAGGAGTAACCCCTGGGTGTTGCCAAGTGTGGCCCCAAAGCCAAATGATTAAGAATTAAGAGGAGCGAGCCAGGGAGACGGCTAGAAGGGCTGGAACACATCCCTGACATGTAAGGATGCTGCCTTCAGTCCAGCACTGCACAGTACCCTCCCACCCAGCACCTAGCACCTTGGAAAGGGCTCAGAATAAAAAACAAGGGGCTGGAGGAATAGCACAGTGGGTAGGGCGTTTGCCTTGCATGCGGCCAGCCCGGGTTCGATTCCCAGCATCCCATATGGTCCCCTGAGCACTGCCAGGGGTAATTCCTGAGCACAGAGCCAGGAGTAACCCCTGAGCATCGCTGGGTGGGACCCAAAAAGCAAAATAAAATAAAATAAAAATAAATAAAAACCAATATAAATAGCTAAAGGGAGTGATCTTTGAGTGTTAGGGCCGATTGGGAGTCGCCTCTTTACTTCTCTGGCTCTTAGGTTTTGCATTTGCGGTTGATGCATTCTGCTAACTATAATATTAATTGAATTGACTCACGAACTTGCATGGGGTTCTGTTTATTTTGTTTTGGGGTCACCCACGCAGTGATGCTCAGGGGTTACTCCTGGCTCTGCACTCAGGGATCCCTCCTGGTGGTGCTCAGGAAACCAGATAGGGTACTGGGGATCGAACCCGGGTTGGCTGCGTGCAAGGCAAATGGCCCTATCACTGTACTGTCTCTCCAGCCCTTCAACTTTCGTTTTTGATTAATTAGAAAGAAACGGTCACCCATAACTCCAGCACCTTCACAGACCCTATTTCCACCCCACCCTCCTAAAAATGCCCAATCTCGTCCCAAGAGCCTGGACACTCATGGATGCTCCTTATACAAGACAGGCTTGGGGCCGGGGGCACGGGACGGACAGCAAGAAAGGAAACATGCCTGAGCAGACCAGGCTGACTTGTGCCCCTCGCTCCCAGGCAGAGGGAATGATTAGTGAGATCCGGATGGCTTTTGAGGAGGCGCTCGGACAGCTGGTTTGGATGGATGAGCAAACCCGCCTGGCAGCTAAGGAGAAAGTGAGCCGTTGCCAGGGCTGGGGCGCCACCTGGAGGTGGGGATGGGGAGTACAGAGTTTTCCGGTGTTCGCTGGGTGCCTGGGGAATGAAACCCCGAAACGGGTCTTTTCAGGCAGATGCTATCTATGACATGATTGGTTTCCCAGACTTCATCCTGGAGCCCAAAGAGCTGGATGATGTTTACGACGGGGTGAGTACCCATGTGAACTGCAGCCCGAGGAGGGGCTCTTCTCGGGCTCTGTGATGGGACTCAAGCTCTCAGAGGGAAGGACGCGGTTGATGCTTCCTTTCAAAGGCAGGTGAGTGCAGGCCAGGGGCACCTGGGCCCCGCTGCAGGCCAGACAGCAGCGGAAAGCCGTGCTAGCAAATACGGGGGTGCAGTAAAAGCCCCCTTCCTACTCCTAACCGCAGACACTTAGAGAAATCAGTCTCCTCCTGGGACTTCAGTTTGGGGGCAGTTTGCTTCTTTGGGGGCGAGGGGTGGCCTCGGTTTCCTCATCTGTAAAATGGGGATCCCATTAATTCATACCTTCCTCACTGCTGCAAGACTAGAAGGAAATTAATCAAAAACGAAAGTTGAAGGACTGAAGAGATAGTACAGTGATAGGGCCGTTTGCCTTGCTTGCAGCCAACCCGGGCTCGATCCCCAGTACCCTATCCTGGTGGTGCTCTGGTCCTCTGAGCACCACCAGGAGTGATCCCTGAGTGCAGAGCTGGGAGTAACCCCTGAGCATCGCAGTGTGGGTGACCCCAAAACAAAGCACCACACCCTAAATCTATAAATCTGGGCTATTTACAAGAAAAAAATAGCCTCATGGAGGGCTGGAGAGATAGAACAGCAGGGAGGGAACTTGCATTGCACGTGGCTGTCTCAGGTTCTATCCTTGACAGCCCATAGGGTCCCCTGAGCACCACCAGGAGTGGTCTCTGAGTGCAGAGCCAGGAGTGAGCCCTGAGCATCGCCGGGTGTGGCCCCCAAACCAAGACTGAAACAAAACCAACAACCAAAAAAATAGCATCCTGGAGTTGGTGGCAACTTGGATGGAACTGGAGGGTGTCGTGATAAGTGAACTAAGCCAGAGGTGGAAGGACCAATACGGGGGATCAAACTCATCTGTGGTGTGTAGAGAAACAAATTAAGGGCATGGACCAAATCAACCGGTAATTAGCCCTGGGCAGTGGGTTATAGATCGGGAACACCAGGCTGGGAGTGGAGTAGAGCGGGTAGCGGTGAAGTGGGCCAGAGGGGGCATAGATGGAGCATGTGGTGGCGGTTAAGGGAGGCGACGGCACGACCCAAATCAGAACAGCGGGGGATGGGTGGGGGAAAGAAGGTCTGTCCAGAGGTGACTTAAGGGACGGGGCTGGAGGGTCCCAGGCACTTTGGGGCAGGGGTGTGCAATGACCGTATACATCAGTTCCATAAACTCCAGCACTATTGTAACCCTCTGACTGAACAAGACTAATAATCAATAAATATTGGCCCTTTAACTAGGTATTTAATTCCCATTTTATAGTTGAGGAAACTGAGGCTCAGAGAGGCTAGCCAGGACCGACTGTCCTTGCTAACACGTTCTCTTGCTTGCTTCCTACTTCCCATCATCCCCCTGGCCCCGCAGTACGAAGTCTCTGAAGATTCCTTCTTCCAGAACATGCTGAATCTGTACAACTTCTCCGCTAAGGTGATGGCTGACCAGCTCCGAAAGCCTCCCAGCCGGGACCAGTGAGAATAGGGGCCGGACTCGCTTGGGGCAGCCGGAGAGGTAGGGGGAGGTTTCCAGAGGGGACGGGGCGGGCCAGACCTAACCCAGACCAAAAGCCCATGGTCCTGGCAGGAGGTAGGTCAGGGCTGAGGCTGGGGGTGGGCGGGCAGGAGGGGCAGCACCCGCAGGGTGGGGAGCCTCAGCCCTGCCCTCGCCTCCCCCAGGTGGAGCATGACGCCCCAGACGGTGAACGCCTACTACCTGCCCACCAAGAATGAGATCGTCTTCCCCGCCGGCATTCTGCAGGCCCCCTTCTATGCCCGCAACCACCCCAAGTGGGTCTGGGGAGGGAGGACCCGGGCCCGTGTGCGAGCTGGGAGGGGACTGGATGGGGGAGCCGGAAGTGTCACCACGGCGGGCGTCCTCACCCTTCGCTCCTCATCTGTCTCCTAGGGCCCTGAACTTCGGTGGCATCGGTGTGGTGATGGGCCACGAGTTAACACATGCCTTTGATGACCAAGGTAGAGTCACCCTCCACCGCCCCCTCCCCCCACGCTTCGTGAGCCAGGGGCTTCCTCCCGCGGGGCTCTTGTGAGCTGCAGCTTCCCAGGACCCTGGCGGCTACAGGATGGGGCCGAGGGGGCGCTCCTGCCCCCTGTCCCCAGGGTGGGTTGCAGCGATCAGGTTCTCAACCTCAGGGCGAGAGTACGACAAGGAAGGAAACCTGCGGCCGTGGTGGCAGAACGCGTCCCTGGCTGCCTTCCGCAACCACACGGCGTGTGTGGAGGAGCAGTACAGCCGGTACCGGGTCAACGGGGAGAAGCTCAACGGCCGCCAGACGCTGGGGGAGAACATCGCCGACAACGGCGGGCTGAAGGCGGCCTATAATGTGCGTGAGGAGCAGGAGGTGGGGAGGGCTGGGGGGGGAGGCCCAACTGACGTCCCTCCCCTGGGCCCCCCCACCCCCACCAGGCCTACAAAGCGTGGCTGAGGAAGCACGGCGAGGAGCAGACGCTGCCGGCCGTGGGGCTCACCAACCACCAGCTCTTCTTTGTAGGATTTGCGCAGGTACTGGCCCCCCCGGGAGCCCTGGGGCCTGCCCCCCTCCCCAGCACCACCGCCCCCACCTGGCCCCCGCAACACCCTGTCATTATAAACCTGGGGCACTCAGGCCCGCAGCTGGGGTGCAGGAGGCAGAATTCCCCCCCCCCCCCCCGAAGCGGGTGCAGACCTCACAGGGCAGATGGAGCTGCCCTGCTTGCAGGGGGCGCTGGGCTGGGGCTGGGGGTGCGGGATGGGTTCGTGCGAGGCTCTGGTGAGGCTGTGGAGGAGAAAACTGAGCTCGGGGACCAAGGGGCTCACCCAGGAATGAAGTAAGTGGCAGAGCGCGACTTAGCCTCTCCTCCCGGCTCTTCGTGCTTCTCCCCCAGACCCCCACACACCTACCTGGGCCCCCCACGCTCCAGGACAGCGGCCCCGAGAGGCCTGCTAGGGACTGGGGAGGGCGGAGTCCATGCTGCCCCCCTGGTCTGACAGCAAGAGGCGGGCCGTGCTGCTGCAGCCCCCCTCGGCGCGGGGGCAGTGGACGTGTCCCCCGTGCCTGCCTGCACGAGACACCCTCCGTCCCCGTGTCTGTCCTGGCCTGCAGGTGTGGTGCTCGGTGCGCACCCCCGAGAGCTCTCACGAGGGGCTGGTGACCGACCCCCACAGTCCTGCTCGGTACCGCGTGCTGGGCACTCTCTCCAACTCCCGGGACTTTCTGCGCCACTTCGGCTGCCCGCTCGGCTCACCCATGAACCCCGGGCGGCTGTGTGAGGTGTGGTAGAGCCCCGGGTGGGGGTGGGGGCGGCCGGGGCCGGGGAGAAGACATCTATCCAGCCGCTAGAGGCCACAGGTGACATGCACCCCCCCCCTTCTCAACCACCGTGCTGTGCCTCTGCTCTGGGGGCGCCTCCAGCAGAGGTCCCGCCATTCACTGTGACTTCCTTCCGTGTCCCCCTGCCTGGAGGAGGCCTGGCCGGGGAGGGCACTGGTCTCCCCCCGCAGACGGAGTCCACCAGATCCAGCTGGATCTGAGTTCACTTTTCTGGGGGGCCTCCGGGTCTGCCCCGCCTGCGGCTCTGAGCACACAGGCCTGGGCCAGGGCCTCTCACGCTTGTTGGGAGGGTGGATGTGGCTCATTTTTCTGGCCCACCTTGGGGGGCGTTGCCCTACCCCCCACCCCTAGCTCCTCATGCTGTTCGCTGCCCCTCACCCGTCCATGCTGCTGCCAACCCACTCACGGTCAGAGCAAGGCCCTTCCCAAGCCTCCCTGCTGCCTCCTGCCTGCCGTGGGCTCAGAGGGCCAATGTGTGCATGGAGGGCGGGCCAGGGCCTGTGTCACGGGCACCAGCCTAAGCGGGGACAGCTGCTGTTCAACGCAGCAGGAAAGCAGAGAGAGGGGGGAGAGGGCTTATTTTCTACAGAAAGGCGGTGGGGCCAGTGGGCTCGGTTCTGTAGGACTCTGTGCCAATAAATAGACCCGCATTAGCCAGCCTGTCTCTCTCATGGATCATTCATGGACTCATTCCACCTGTATTTATTGAGCACCTAGTGTTTGCCAAGTTTGGTTTTTGATTTGGGGGGCCGGGGGAAGCATGGAGAGGCTTCCCCACTGGTGCCAGGTGGCACCTGGACTTTACCCAGGGGTTCTCTGCAGACCACGTGGTGCTGGGGACCCAGCCCCCGCTCTGTGCATGCCGGCAGCCCTGTGCGCTTTCTCCCTGGACATACTTCTCTACACTCATGGGCTCTCTCATCGGACACAGGGAGAGATTGGGAGCCCCAAGGGGTTCGAAAGGGACTCAAGAGGGAAGAAGCGCGTAGGCCGAGTCTGGCCGGGCTGAACACAGCCGGCGTTCACCAGATCCCTTTGGTGGCTGTGCCCCGGCTGCTATGACTGGCCAGCGTCCAGTGGTGCACAGAGCTGGAACTGACGCTGAGTTTGCTGGCTAGGGGGCCGGGGCAGCGGGGAAGAAGACTCCCCACAACAGTGCTCCATGAAGGGAAGCGTGGTAGCGGCTGTTCCCCAGAGGGTCTCCTGGCAGCTGCCAAAGCTCAGAGCTCTGCTGGCTCGGTCTCCATTCAGTGAGACCCAGCCAGGTGCCAGACATGGCAGCCCCGTGGCCCCTCCACAGCCAGAGGGAAGGGGCGTTTCTGAACACGGCTCCTGGTGCGGGCACCTCGGAGGGTGCTCCTTCTTTACTGCATTCTTTTATTAACTGACATGGTTACGGGTTGGCTGTGAGTCAGCTGTGTGAAGGCAAGCACCTTAGCACCTGTAATCCCTCTCTTCTGCAACCTCTTTCTGTTGTTTTTGTTTGGGGGCCACAGCTGGCTGTACTCTGGGCTTACTCCTGGCTCTGTGCTCAGGGATAATTCCTGGTGGTGATGCAGGGACCATAAGTGGTGTCAAAGGGGCGTTGCCTTGCATGCAGCTAACCCGGGTTCGATTCCCAGCATCCCATATGGTAAGAGTAATTCCTGAGTGCAGAGCCAGGAGTAACCCCTGTGCATCACTGGGTGTGACCAAAAAAAACAAAACAAAACAAAACAAAAGTGGTGTCAAAGATCAAACCACGGTAGGCCTAAGGCAAGCACCTAAAACCCCTGTACTGTCTCTCCACCCCCTTCTTTTTTTGGGGGGGGAGAGGAGGAGGGACACAGGGAAGAAATTAATTTCCTGAAGGGTGGATAGTGCAGCTTCCCAGAGCGATGATGCTAAACTGGGGTGCAAAGATGGGAGAACCTGCCAGCTGCAACCCGTGAAGGACATTTCAGTCAGGAGGAATAGCACTGTGAAAGGCTCATTAGCTTGCAGGGCCATGTTCGGAAATTGGGAAGCACTGGGGGTTCAGTCATAGTACAGTGGGTAGGGCAATTCCTGAGCGCCGAGCCAGGAGTAACCCGTGAGCATCGTTGACTGTGGTCCAAAAACAAAAACAAAAATTGGGGAGGTATTTAGGATGATCCTGAGGGGCAGGTGGAAAAGACCTACAGAGGGAAGGGAATTTGTAACAGTAGCTATGGAAAGGAGGGAGCTTGCAACACCTGCTGTCAGCCCTGGGCATTAGCAGTCAAATCCCACAAAGTAGCAACCTGGGGTAGGGGGGGAACAATCCTTAGGGTGGTGAACTCTGCAGCCCAGCTTGGGGCCAAAATGAGATTTGTGTGGCTATCATTTGACAGAAGGAGGTAGGAGGGGCGGGGCCTTGAGGCAGCTTCTGGGAAGGGAGGGAGAGGGGGGTGTTATCACACTTCCTGGAAAACATCTACCATCTTCCAGAGGCCTCCTGGAAGATAATACAGCAGGAAGGGTGCTTGCCTTGCGCTGGGCCACCCGAGTTTGATCCATATTATCCCCCGACCCCGGCTTCAGTGATACCAGAGCTCAGAGCCAGAAATAAGCCCTGAGCACCAGCAGGTGTAGAAAACCAACCAACCAACCAACCCAAAAAACCCAAAAGCCAAAAAAACAAACAAAAAATCGCCCAAAATATCAAAACCATCAATCAGGCATTTACACTTGGGTAGAGAGGCTTGGGGGTTGGGGGATAGAATGGGGAGCCGGGGACTAGAAGATCTGGGAACTTCCTGCCATAATAGTTGCGCTCCTGCTTTTTCTGTTAAGCTTCGCAGAGCAGTTGTATTCCACTCTTGAAACCATCAATAGGCGTAGAAGCTGCACCCGTGGTGCTGTGCAATACTGTCCTTCGGCTCTGCAAAGTTGAGGAAGCTGGAAAAAATGACAGGTGTCTCCTCTCGAGTTGCCAGGCTCCTGGCGAGGTGCTGTGCACACACTGTCCCTTCATTTGCAGAGCAACTTGCCAGGGAGGTGGTTCAGTACCTACATTTCTCAGAGGGAGGAATCAGGCTGAACACTGAGAAGTGTGCCCACATATCACAGCTGGCAGATGGCGGGCTTTGGCTCTAAACACCAGGTCTATCACTCTTCGAAGCTGTTCTCCCGCCTACCGCAGTTGCATTTACCTTTGTGTTTGGGGTTTGTTTGAGGGTCATACCTGGTGGGGACGGGGGTTGTATGATACTCCCAGCAGTGCTTTTGCGGAAAACATGCAATACCGGAGATCAAACAAACACATGCAAAGCACGGGCTCAAATATTGAGCTCTTTCAAGCACATTTATTTGGAATATAATGATATTTGGGGGCCATGCCCAGCACTGCTCAGGGCTTACTCCTGGTTCTGTACTTAGGGATCATTCCTGGTGGGGCTCAGAGGGACCATATGGGGTTCCGGGAATTGAACACAGCTTGACTGTGTGTATGGCAAGCACCCTATCCACTGTAATATTTCTCCAGCCCCTAGAAATATTTTAATCTTCTGAGGGGGCCACATGCTGAGATGCTCAGGGACTACTCCTGGTGGTGCTTGAGTGATCAACCATATGGCATGCCAAGGATCAAACCCTGCCTCCCTGAAAATGTATTTTTAAAACGTGTGTGAGTGTGTGTATATGGTACTGGGGACCACCAGGACCACATCTAGCAGCACTCAGGGGCTATGGGGTTTTGGAGATTGCACTCTGGTCTCCATACGTGCAAGGCATACCCTCCAATCACCTAGCTATCCCCCTTTATAATCTGAAGTACTTTTAAACCCACAGAAAAGTTGGAATAGTGGAACCGAGGTTCAAAAACCCTTCTCCTAGAGTCACCAATGATCAATAGTCTGTGTTTTATGCTACACCAACACTCCATCTTCTTAAAGGGGGCTGGTTGGGATGTGACTGGTATAAAAGACAAAATCTGAGGTATAATAGAACGATGTCACAGAGAGACTTAGGAGAAACCTGCCTACAAATGACTGAAGAAGAGCATGACAGTATAAGGACATTCAAGCTGAAGATAGAATAGGCAGGGCACTGACAGAACCTGCAATTTCCACCAGCAAACCAGGTCTAGGAAGGAACTGGCTACAGAAATGGAAGTCATTCCCAGAATTCACGCACTGAATGGAAAAGAACTCAGGTGCGTGTGTGTGTGTGTGTGTTTTAAAAAGTTAATAAAAACTTTCTTCCTGGGGGCTGTAGCGATAGCACAGCGGGTAGGATGTTTGTCTTGCATGCAGCCAATATGGCCGATACAGGTTCGATTCCCAGCATCCCATATGGTCCCCCGAGCACCGCCAGGAGTGATTCCTGAGTGCAAAGCCAGGAGTAACCCCTGAGCATCGCCAGGTGTGACCCAAAAAGCAAAAAAACAAAACAAAAAACTTTCTTCCTTTCAATAAGAAAGACATTGAGAAACATAAAAAGAAAGAAATAGAGAAATATATACTCAAGAGAGAACACAGGCTTCTCCAGAGTGGAAAAAGCAGAAAAAGTTTTAAAAACGGGTTTCAGGGGCCGGAGCAATAGCACAGCGGGTAGGGTGTTTGCCTTGCACGCAGCCAACCCAGGTTTGATTCCCGGCATCCCATATGGTCCCCCGAGCATCACCAGGAGTAATTCCTGAGTGCAAAGCCAGGAATAACCCCTGAGCATCCCCCCCCCCAAAAAAATGGTTTCAGAGGAGTCACAGGGCAATGTGCCTTGCACGCGGTTGACCTGGGCTCTATTCTCCAAATGGCCTCCCAAGTCTGCCAGGAGTAATTCCTGAATGCAAAGCAAGGAGTAACCCCTGAGCATCGCCAGGTGTGTCCCTCCCCCACAAGCAAAAAAACAGAATATGTACCATTTAAATCAACCAAGAGATAAAGAATGTAGTTCACACCTCCAGGAACCCTTTTCAGGGTAAGAACTAAAGACAAACTGACTGCAAAGATTTGTTTTTGAGAGGTGTGGGGGGAGGCGGTGGTGGAAGACTGGGAGACACCCGGTGATAACTCGGGTTACCGGGTTAGTCCCGGCTTCGCACTCAGGGATCACTCCCGGAGGCGCTCGAGGGACCCTATGGGTTGCGGGGGATGGAACTAGGGTGGGCCAGGTGCAAGGCAAGGGCCTTACCCGCTGAACCATCTCTCCACCCTGGGGACGGGATTTTATGTCCTCGTGTAGACTCCAGGAGCCAGGTGGACTGAAGGACCATAGCCGCATCCTCACCCTCCCTAGGGGGAAATGCTGCGGTTCATCATTTACAGCGGTGTGGAGCTGGACACAGAAGACGCAGTCTTGGGGCTGGAGAGATAGCACAGCGGGTGGGGGGGTTCGCCTTGCACGCGGCCGACCCGGGTTCGATTCCCAACATCCCATATGGTCCCCTGAGCACCGCCAGGGGTAATTCCTGAGTGCAGAGCCAGGAGTAACCCCTGTGCATCGCCGGGTGTGACCCCAAAAGCCAAAAAAAAAAGAAGACGCAGTCTTTTGGCTCGGACAACAAAGCGAGGCGGATGTCGAGAGTGCCGTCCACGTGTCCCGCCTCGCCGCCGACAGCCTCGCAGCCCACAGGGGTGTTGCCGCGGGTACGCTTTGCACCGCCATCAGGAAATCTGAGAGCAGCGCCTGGACGCCACCAGACCACGAGCTTGCCTTGCACGCGGCCCAACCCGGGTTCGATTTCCAGCATCCCATATGGTCCCCCGAGGACCGCCAGGAGTAATTCCGGAGTGCATCTCCGGGGTGTGACCCAAAAAGCAAAAAAAAAAGAAAAAGAAAAAGAAAAGACCGCCTGTGCCACCGAAGGCCACTTAGCAGACGGCGGGTAGGGCCGGACGGGACGACCCGGAAACTCCCGGTCGGGGCGGGGGCGGGGCCTGTGGCGCGCGCGGACGTCTGGGAAATGTAGTTTTTCGCGCGACTTCCGCGGGCGGGGGGCGGGCAACTCCCAGGCCGCGGAAGTGGCGGCGAGGCGGGGGCGTTTCCGGCGGCGGGCAGGTTGGGCCCGGGTCGAGGCCCCGCCTCGCCCCGCCCCGCGCGCGAGGCCCCCTGGGAAACGGGGCGGGGCGAGCGGTGCGCGCGCACCTGACGGCAGCGGCGGCGGCGGCGATGGAGGACGGTGGCCGGGATCCGGTGCCCGCGCAGCCCCAGCAGCCCCCGGCCACGGCCCCCGGCGGCGCGGATGACAAGCCGGGCGGCAAGGAGCGGCGGGATGCCGGCGACAAGGACAAGGAGCAGGAGCTGGTGAGGCGGGAGGCCGGGAGGCGCGCCGGCGGCGGGGGCTGAGTCACGGCGGTCCCCGCAGGCCCCGAACTCGCGTCGCCACGGCCCGGCCGCGCGGGGGGCCACGGGGGCTGCGCGGGGCGGCCCTCGGGGCTTCCTGCACCCCGCCTCCGGCCCGCAGCCTCGCCTCGTGGGTGCACCCAGGGTGCGGGGGGGGGCTGTCCACCCCGGTTCCCGACCTGGCCTTCCAGTCCCGCGCCCAGTTCCTGGCCCAGGGTAGAGGGGAGGGGGCGGTGCCGGCTCTTTCTGAACTGCGTCTTTTTCTGGACCTGCCCAGTCCGAGGAGGACAAACAGCTGCAAGATGAGTTGGAGATGCTCGTGGAACGTCTGGGGGTGAGTCGCAGCGACGCCAGGGCCAGGGGTGGGCTCCTGTCTGGTCTCCCCGGGGCCTCGTCCCCAGTGGGTGGGGACGCCTCTGCGGGGTGGCAGTGGGAGCGGTGGATCGCATTTTCCTGCGAGTGTCTTAGGGTGATCACGTCCAGAAGGGGGGAGAGTTAGAAGGGATTTTTGCAACGTGAGCTAGAGCAGAAGCCCACCTTGAACTCTTTAGCCCTGGTGGTTTGTCATCCTGGGAGGAATCCCAAGTGAATGAAAACAAAGTTACCAAGTTACTGATTCGGTGCTTGGGACTTGAGACCTCAAAGAAATCAAAGAAGTGTGAGGGGAGGGTGTCCAATGCCACGCTCTGAGTCCTCACATCTTTCCCATCAGGAGAAGGACACATCCCTGTACAGACCCGCGTTGGAGGAGCTGCGGAGACAGATTCGGTCCTCCACCACATCCATGACCTCGGTCCCCAAGCCTCTCAAGTTCCTGCGTCCTCATTATGGCAAGCTGAAGGAAATCTATGACAACATGGCTCCGGGGGAGAATAAGGTGAAAGGATTTCTGGTGCCGCGGGAGGTCTCCTTGGGGGATGTCTTCCTCCCGAGATGACCTGGGGCTGGGGGGCAGGTGGGTCACAGGAGGCTTGGTGGAACTGTGATCTGAGCTTGTTGAGCAGAGCTCATCGCTGTCAAAATACCTAAGCGGTAGAACTGCCTTCTCAGAAGGCACTGTCTATATGTTGGACCTTCAATTTTTTTTTGTTTGTTTTGTTTTCTTTCTGGTTTTTGGGCCACACCTGCCAGTGCTCAGGGCTTACTCCGGGCTTTGCACTCACACATCACTCCTGGAGGGTTCAGGGCACCATACCCAGGATCGAACCTGGGTTTGCTGCGTGCAAGGCAAGCACTTTACCTCCTGTGCTTTGGCTCCAGACCCTAGAATTTAGACTGAGTTTTATTTGTTTTGGGGCCACACCTGGGCAATGCTCAGGGGCTACTCCTGGCTTTGCACTCAGGAATCACTCTTGGTGGTGCTCAGGAGACCATACGGATGCCGGGGATTGAATCCAGGGTTTCCATGTTCAAGACAGGTGCCCTATCCGCTGTACTGTCTCTCCGGCCTCAGAATTTAGGCTGAGTTTTTAATTTTTTCCTTCTGTCTCACATGTGTTAATTCATTTAATGTATTTCACTTTTTTTGTTGTTTGTTTTTTGTTTTGGGAGCTACCTCTAGCGGTGCTTACTCCTTGCTTTGCACACAAGTATGACTTCTTAGGGTTCAGGGGACCATGTGGGGTGCCAGGGATTGAACCTTGGTCAGCCACCTGCAAGATAAGTACCCTGCTTGTTGTACTATCTCTCTGGCCCCAATTTTCCTCCCCTCCTTTTTTTTTTTCGGTTGTAATGGGGGTGTGGAGGTGGGCACTGTTTGCCATTTGGTTGCTTGTGGTGCTCGCTGTGATGTGGCACGTTTATTTGGGGGAAGTTTTTGGTTTTTAAGAGGTGTTGGGGAATATCTAACAGTTCCTCAGGGGTTACTACTCCTAGCTCTGCTCAGGGGTCACTTTTTTTTTGCTTTTTGGGTCACACCCAGCGATGCTTGGAGGTTACTCCTGGCTCTGTACTCAGGAATTATTCCTGGCAGTGCTTGGGGGACCATATGGGATGCCGAGGATTGAATCCAGGTTGACTGCATGCAAGACAAACGTCCTTACCTGCTGTAATATCGCTCCGGCCCCTCAGGGGTCACTCTTGATGTTAATCCAGGGACCATGTGGTGCCGGGTATCAAGATTGGGCCTCCAATGTGCAAAATGTGTGCTCAGACCATTGCACTGTCTCTCTCGGGAGGTTGCTCCATTTAGATGCAGTACCCACGCCTGTTGGTTGTGGTATGCTAGAGACCCCACACGTCTGCAGTTGCCAAGGATCCCATGCAGCTGGGGTCACACTGGACACCCACGCCAGACCTGAGAACAGAACTGTGCCCTTGTGCCTGTAAGGTAGATGCTCTCTCACCGAACCATCCGCAGGTCCCCACTGGTTGGTTTGACCTCTAAAATATGACCCCCAGTTCAACCTCTTATTCTATTTGCTATAACTTTAATTCAGGAAGTCGTCTTCAGTTCTCACCTGCACTGCGGCACCAGCCTCCTAACGTGCCTTTTTGGTTTTGTCCTTGACCACTACCATTTGTCAAATGGAAGGTGTCAAAAGTCTTTCTAGGTTGTGAGTTTTTTCGTCTTAAGGTCTTTTACTAGGTGGCTGGAATGATAGTACAACAGGGCATTAGCCTTGCACATGGCTGACCTGGGTTTGATCCTCGACATCCCATATGGTCCCCCAAACACTGTCAGAAATAATTCCTGAGTGCAGAGTCAGGAGTAATCCCTGAGTATCACTGGTGGGACCCCAAAAAGCAAAAAATAATAAAGTGATAAATAAAACCGTTTACTACTAGTTCATTGGACTGGAGTGATAGCACAGCGGGTAGAGCATTTGCCTTGCACGCGGCCAACCTGGGTTCGATTCCTCTGCCCCTCTCAGAGAGCCCGACAAGCTACCAAGAGTATTCTGCCCGCACGGCAGAGCCTGGCAAGCTCCCTGTGGTGTATTCGATATGCCAAAAATGGTAACAAGAAGTCTCACAATGGAGATGTTACTGGTGCCTGCTCGAGCAAATCGATGAACAGCGGGCGGACAGTGCTACAGTGCTTCTGGTTCATTACTGTGATCAGAGTGAAATTCTGAGTCTCAGTCTTTCTCGCTCTCCGCTGGTCGTCACCCTTCTGCTGTCTGGGTTTAAAGTAGAGGGGGAGATGGCGTTACTGAGGGGTGTCATGGGCCTCTGAAGTAGCCCATGTGCTGGTGTATGGTGAACATTCAGTTTAGGGGGAGGGCGTGAGTGTGACACCACTGCCTTTGCTTTGAATTGGATTCCAACCAGCTGGTTCTTTGTAGCGTTTCGCAGCTGACATCATTTCTGTCCTGGCCATGACCATGAGTGGGGAGCGTGAGTGCCTCAAGTACCGGCTCCTGGGCTCCCAAGAGGAATTGGCCTCGTGGGGTCATGAGTATGTCAGGTGAGACCTTTCCTTTCTTCCTGAGGGTCTGGAGGCAGGGCGGGTATGATGCCGGCTCCGAGGTGCAGGTGGAGGCCATTTCCCAGACTGAGTTTCTTCCCGGCAGAGCCGCACTTCTCTTGACACTCTGCGCCTTTCTGCAGGCATCTGGCAGGAGAAGTGGCCAAGGAGTGGCAGGAGCTAGACGATGCCGAGAAGACACAGCGGGAGCCGCTGCTAACGCTGGTGAAGGAGATCGTCCCCTACAACATGGCCCACAACGCGGAGCACGAGGCCTGTGACCTGCTCATGGAAATCGAGCAGGTGGACATGCTGGAGAAGGACATCGATGAGAACGCCTACGCGAAGGTCTGCCTCTATCTCACCAGGTAGGTGAGCGCGGCACCAGGCCTCCCCGCCCACAAGGACCACGTCTGTCTCCCAGAGCGTCGTTTCAGCATTCAGTCTGGTGGTTGCTACTGTCTTGTGACGCAGCTTGTGAGGACAGACGTTGTGTTCTCTGAGTAGATCCAGCATCTACCCTGGTGCTTGGTACATGGACATTGAGTATTTATTTGGTTGTTTTTTTGTTTTTGGGTTTTTTTTTTTTTTTTTTGGTTTTTGGGTCACACCCAGCGATGCTCAGGGGTTACTCCTGGCAGTGCTCGGGGACCATATGGGATGCTGGGAATCGAACCTGGGTCGGCCATGTTGGCTGCGTGCAAGGCAAACGCCCTACCCTCTGTGTTATTGCTCCAGCCCCTTATTTGGGGTTTTTGTTTTGTTTGTTTTTGCCTTTGGGGGTCACACCCGACAATGCACAGGGGTTACTCTTGGCTCTGCACTCAGGAATTACTCCTGGCGGTGCTCGGGGGACCATATGGGATGCCAGGGATTGAACTTGGGTCGGCTGCATACATGGCAAACGCCCTACCCGCTGTACTATTGCTCCGGTTCCTGAATATTTATTTTTGGGTAAATGGGGGTAAGTGACTGGAATTTTCTAACCTTTTTCTTTTTCTTTTTTTTTGGGGGGGGGGAGTGCTGGGGCCACGCCCAGCTGTACTGCAGCCTTACTCCCCTGCTCAGGCAGCAGTCCTGGGGCTTGGGAACCATCTGCGGTGCTGGGGGTTGAGCCAGGTCAGCTGTCTGCCAGGCAGACGCCTTACCTTCTCTCGTCCTGTGTCCTTGGGCCTTCGGTGACCTGCTCTCCTCCTTGCAGTTGCGTGAACTACGTGCCGGAGCCAGAGAACTCGGCCCTGCTGCGTTGTGCCCTTGGTGTGTTCCGAAAGTTCAGTCGCTTCCCTGAGGCTCTGCGCTTGGCCCTGATGCTCAACGACATGGAGCTGGTGGAAGATATCTTCACCTCCTGCAAGGACGTGTGCGTGGGTGGATGGCGGAGGGAGCGGGGAGACCGGGAGTCGCCAGGCCTGGTCCTGGCGTGGGTTTCTGTGCACTCGGTGCTGGGGGCCTGAGCGGACGGGCCGGCTCTCCCCGCAGAGTGGTACAGAAGCAGATGGCGTTCATGCTCGGCCGCCACGGAGTGTTCCTCGAGCTGAGTGAGGACGTGGAGGAGTATGAGGACCTGACAGAGATCATGTCCAATGTGCAGCTCAACAGTAACTTCTTGGCCTTAGCTCGGGAGGTGAGACTCTCCATTGCCATCAGGACTCTGGGCTGTCGGGGCAGGAGCAGTAGTACAGCGGGAGGGCATTTTCCTTGCGTGCGGCTGACCTGGGTTCGATCCCCGTCATTCTCTGTAAGGTCCCCTGAGCACCGCCAGGAGTGATTCCTGAGTGCAGAGCCAGGAGGGGAACCCCTGAGCATCGCTAGGTGTGACTCAAACAACAACAACGAAAAGACTCTGGGTTGTAATCGTACCTAGCATTTTACCTTCTCCAGAGGACACCTCTGTCTGGATTCTCCTGTTTTTTTTTTTCTTTTTTTTAAAAAACGGTCCAGGACCAGAGAGGTGGTATGGGGAGGAGGGTGCTCACTGGGGTTCCATCCCCAGAACCAAAATGCTTGCCAGGGTAATCCCTGAGCGCAGAATAAGGGGTAAGCCTTGAACACAGCCAGATGTGACCCCAAAAGAAAGTTTTAGACTCCTCTGGTTATTCAGGGCCACGGAGATAAACTCAAAGGGCTGGACCACCTTTTTTGAGGTGTTGATATTAAAGACCCAGGTTCAGTTTCCACTACTGCATGGTCCCCTGAGCACTGCCAGGAGTAGTAGTTCCTGAGTACCCAAATAGGTGTGGGTCCCAAAATAAGTATGTTGGGCTTGCGTGATAGTATAGCAAGTAGATGTTCGCCTGGCACACAGATTTGATCCCCGGCATCCCGTATGGTTCCCTGAGCACTGCTTAGAGTAATTTCTGAGTGCAGAGCCAGAGTAACGCCTGATCATCACTTGGTATGACTCCCCAAAAAACCAAAAAAAATCTGAAGTAGGTGTATTAAAGAGTTTCCATTCAGGCGCCAGAGCAAAAGTCCAGTGGGTAGGGCGTTTGCCTTTCACACAGGTGACCCAGGTTCCATCCCTGCTACCACATGGTCCCCTGCGCACAGGCGAGAGTGATTACTGAACTCAGACCCAGTAGTATAGTAAGCCCCGAGCCTTGCTGAGCCTGCCCTCCCCGCCCCTCCCCCCCACACAAATGCTTGCATTCAGCCGGGTAGTGAGGGACAGCTAGGAGCGAACTGGGAGCAGATGTGACCGTCTGACTTGTCTGCAGCTGGACATCATGGAGCCTAAGGTGCCCGATGACATCTACAAGACCCACCTGGAGAACAACAGTGAGTGGAAGGGAGGGACTCCCGAGGGGCCCCTGGGGTGGGCCCAGCCCTCCACCCTCCTCCCTTCCCTCCCCCACAGGGTTTGGGGGCAGTGGCTCGCAGGTGGACTCTGCGCGCATGAACCTGGCCTCCTCCTTCGTCAATGGCTTTGTGAACGCGGCCTTCGGCCAGGACAAGCTGCTCACCGACGACGGCAACAAGTGGCTGTACAAGAACAAGGACCACGGTCAGTTCTGGGCCTGCCCAACTGGGTGCTGTCCCGGTCCTCACTGTCTTTACTGGGGCACGGCCTGGGACGTGCCCGTTTTTGAGGCGGGTGACAGATGAGACCTCCTACTCGCCAGGGAGTCCCCCCGTCACAGAGCTGAGCTACCTCCCCGACCCCACAGGGTGTTAGTTCTTTGTGTTTGGGCACTGCTCAGGGCTTACTCCTGACTCTGCCCAGGACTCACTCCTGCTGTGCATGGGGGTCTGTTGGGTGCAGGGACGTAGCTAGCGCCTGCCAGGCAAACGCCGTGCCTGCTGTGCTGCTGTACTAGGGCTCCGGCCCCATTGCTCGAGCTGTCTTACAGTTTTCCTGGGGGAGGGCTCCGAAGGCTGACGGGGTTTCTGTGCACAGGGATGCTGAGTGCAGCCGCGTCCCTTGGCATGATTCTGCTGTGGGATGTGGACGGAGGCCTCACCCAGATCGACAAGTACCTCTACTCGTCTGAGGACTACATCAAGGTTGGTGCGGGCCTTCCCCGAGGCCTCCCCCAGCTTTCCCGTGGGCCCTGTGTTGTGGCCCAGTGCGAGGGGGTACGGCGAGGCCGGCCGGCGACCCCAGCGCTGAGCAGGGCGGTGCTTTGCAGTCGGGAGCCCTGCTGGCCTGTGGCATCGTGAACTCGGGCGTGCGGAACGAGTGTGACCCGGCTCTGGCGCTGCTCTCAGACTATGTGCTCCACAACAGCAATACCATGAGGCTCGGCTCCATCTTCGGGTATGCGGCGCCAGGCCCCTTGGCTTGGCTCTGCGCGGGTGGGCTCCGGGCCTTTGGGGACCTGTGCTGGGGAGGGCTGGCGTGGCTGTGGAGCCGAGCTTCCCGCTCCCTCCCTCACCTCGGCTTGGCGTGTGTGGGAAACTGTGTCTGCCTCTACAGGCTGGGCCTGGCCTATGCTGGCTCCAATCGCGAAGATGTTCTGACGCTGCTCTTGCCTGTGATGGGCGACTCCAAGTCCAGCATGGAGGTGAGTCAGGGCTGTTGGTCCCGAGAGAGAGCTGGGAAGGTGTTCTGCATCCTGCCGTTCTCCGAGGGAAGTAGTGGAAAGAGGAGGGGGGAGGGTGGAAGAGATTTCAGTGGGTAGGCGCTTATCTAGCCTATGGCTCACCCCGGTTTGATCCCCGGCCCTGCAGGTGGTCCCTTGAGCTCTGCCCCGAGTGATCTTTTTCTTGTTTTGTTTCGTTTTGTTGCTTCATTTTGGGGCCACACTCAGAGGTCTTGAGTATTGCTCCTGGCTCTGTGCTCAGGGATTGTTCCTGGGGGTCTCAGGAGACCATGTGGGATGCCAGGGACTGAACTGAGGTCTGCTGCATACTAGGCAAGCACGTAACCTTCTGTACTATTGCGCTGGCCCCAGGAGTCGTCCTTGTTGGTCGAGTTGTTTCAGTGATGCACACAAATCGAACGTGGGGGCCGGGGCGGGGCTTTCTGTTGTGGAGGCCACACCTGGTGTTGCACCAGAACCACTTTCAGCCTGGCCCTAGTGTGGGGCAGGGCTTCTGCAGCGGGAGCCTGGACTCGGCATCCCACCTTATGTCAGGGCCTAGGTCTGTGTGAGTCTGATGTTAGTTTAGAGTTGCCACCTCTGCTCTCCAGGGAGAGACCCTGGCCACCTTTAGTCACCGCAAGCTTTGGGGGGTTGTGGGAGCGAAAGGGTAACAGCATGCAAAGCGGCGGGCACGGCAGGAACTGGGTAAGTGGCTGTGAATGGCCACGGCTTCTGGCCTTGGGCTGCGGGTACCGACTGCCTGGCGCCAGGAGCGGTGAGTGCGTGCTAGTCGCCTGCTTCTCTCGTCTACAGGTGGCAGGGGTGACGGCCCTGGCCTGCGGAATGATCGCGGTGGGGTCTTGCAACGGCGACGTCACTTCCACGATCCTTCAGACCATCATGGAGAAGTCGGAGACTGAGCTCAAGGACACTTACGCCCGGTGGCTCCCTCTGGGGCTGGGCCTCAACCACCTGGGTCAGGCGCGGCACGCTCTCGGGTGGGAGGCTGGGGGCTGAGCTGGACGCCGGTGGATGTCCTCTGACCCCTCCAACGAACCTGTCCTTTAGGGAAGGGCGAGGCTATTGAGGCCATCCTGGCCGCACTGGAGGTGGTGTCGGAACCGTTTCGCAGTTTCGCCAACACGCTGGTGGACGTGTGCGCCTATGCAGGTCTGTGTCCTGCTCCCTCCTGCTTCCCAGCCCCTCCCTGTTCCTCGCTGGCCTTATTTCCGACGCTTTAGAGTCTCTGGTTTCCGAGAGAAGGAGCGATAGTGCAGGGAGAACTTTGACTTGCGGCTTGCCCGGGTTCGATCCCCGGCACCCCATCTGGTCCCCCAAGCACGGCCGGGAGTAACTCCTGAGCACCGCTGGTTGTGGCCTAAAAACAAAACACGCACGACAAGCTGTTAGTGTCCCCTGTGCAGCGGTGACTTGGCCGTCTCGTGTCTTAGCCTCTCCCCGTCCCGACCCACCACAGGCTCCGGGAACGTCCTGAAGGTGCAGCAGCTGCTCCACATCTGCAGCGAGCACTTCGACTCCAAGGAGAAGGAGGAGGACAAAGACAAGAAGGAGAAGAAGGACAAGGACAAGAAGGAAGCCCCGGCCGACATGGGGGCACACCAGGTGCCGTGGGCAGCTGGCTGGGCATCTGGGCGGGCGCGGCTGGCACACCCTGTCTGTGCCAGGCTCCCTCCACAGGGGCTTTCTGCTGGCAGCGGTTCCTCAGACAGAGCTGGAGCTGGGGGCTTGGGGGACCCACTCATGGGGCCCTGCTGTTCCCTGCAGGGCGTGGCTGTGCTGGGCATTGCCCTGATCGCCATGGGGGAGGAGATCGGTGCGGAGATGGCGCTGCGGACCTTCGGCCACCTGGTGAGTGTGGCGTGGGGAGGATTGGGGAACGCGGCGTGCGGCCTGGGCGTTTCCAGAGCACATGTTCCCTCTGGGGTGTCTGGGAGAGGCCCACTGCTGTGCTCTGCCCGTGTTCATTGTAAAGTTGGTGAAAACTCTCACCCCCAGCAGCTGGAGCGATAGCACAGCGGATAGGGCGTTTGCCTTGCACGTGGCCAACATGGGTTCGATTCCCAGCATCCCATGTGGTCCCCTGCACACTGCCAGGAGAAATTCCTGAGCATCGCCAAGTGAAGGAGCGATAGTGCAGGGAGAACTTTGACTTGCGGCTTGCCCGGGTCAAAAGGGGGATAAACCCCAAACCTCTCCCCCCCCCCCCCCCAGTCTGTTCTGTAAGGGAGCCTGCTTCTGCTGCATTCTGTGATCACCTTGTCCTTTGCCGGCAGGGGCTAGGGAGGAGCTTGGGCTGCACGCGAGGTGTTTGAGGGCCGTTCCAGCTCTGCTCTGGAGTGACTCCTGGTGGTGCTCAGGGACCGTGCGCAGGGCGGTCGCCTGTGATACCGCCTCTCTCACCCTGCTGCCCTGACAACGTTTTCTGTTTGCCCCAGCTGCGTTACGGCGAGCCTACACTCCGACGGGCTGTGCCGTTAGCACTGGCCCTGATCTCAGTTTCAAATCCACGGCTCAACATCCTGGACACCCTGAGCAAGTTCTCTCACGACGCTGACCCGGAAGTCTCCTATAACTCCATCTTTGCCATGGGCATGGTGGGCAGTGGTGAGTAGAGGTCTGCATCTTGGGAGGGGGCTGGGGGTCCCTGCAAGCCCCTGCAATGCCTGCCCTTCTCCAGGCACCAACAATGCCCGGCTAGCTGCCATGCTGCGACAGCTGGCCCAGTATCATGCCAAGGACCCCAACAACCTTTTTATGGTGCGCCTAGCACAGGTAAGGAGAGATGCTTCTTCCTTGGGTGTGCCCAGGTGTGATACGAGAGATGAGGCGATGTGAAGGGCATGGCGGGGTCGGCCAGCAGGGAGGCAGAGCTGGGGGCGGGCAGGGCAGGGGGGTGGTGTGTGTGTGTGTGTGTGTGTGTGTGTGTGTGTGTGTCGGTACCCCTCAGAGGCCACCCTCACTTCCACTCTGCCCTGTCCTCCCCAGGGCCTGACACATTTGGGCAAGGGCACCCTCACCCTCTGCCCTTACCACAGTGACCGGCAGCTCATGAGTCAGGTCGCAGTGGCGGGGCTGCTCACCGTGCTAGTCTCTTTCCTGGACGTTCGCAACAGTAAGTTTCTTTCAGAAATACTCTGTCACCGTGCGCCCGGCCCGCGTCCTGGCCTTACCAGGGCCCCGGTGGTCACCGAGGAGCACAGCTCCGGCTCCGTGGGCCCTCCACCCCCCACCCCACGGCCTCCTGAGGTCCTGTGGGGCAGAGGGGAGCTGGAGGGGGCGCAGAATCCTTACTTGCCTCTCATGCTTTTCAGTCTGGGTCAGAGAGATTGTCTCCGGAGCGCGAGGACCCGAGTCCGGAGTCTGCTCCTGAGAGACTGGGGCAGTGATGGGCAGGGCAGGGCAGGACAGGGGTCTCTGGGTGCGGGATCTGGCCTGGGGGAGGAGTGGGCTTGGCGTGCGAGGCTGGAGGCCGGCCAGGGTTGGGTCTGGCGGCCTCACATACTGCTCTTCCCCGCAGTCATTCTGGGCAAATCCCACTACGTCCTGTACGGGCTGGTGGCCGCCATGCAGCCCCGCATGCTGGTAACCTTCGACGAGGAGCTGCGACCCCTGCCAGTGTCCGTCCGCGTGGGCCAGGTGAGGGGCTGCAGCCCGGACCTTGGGGGAGGCCCATCCGCCGGCTCTGCGGAGCTGCAGGGCCGCTGGCTGTCGCTGTCCCCCGCCAGAGCCCCTCCATTTCCACTCTCTCCCCCTGCAGGCGGTGGACGTGGTGGGCCAGGCCGGCAAGCCCAAGACCATCACGGGGTTCCAGACACACACCACTCCGGTGCTACTGGCTCACGGGGAACGGGCAGAGCTGGCCACTGAGGAGTTTCTTCCCGTCACCCCCATCCTGGAAGGTTTTGTCATCCTGCGGAAGAACCCCAACTATGACCTCTGAGTGGCCACCAGGGACTCTGAACTGCGGCTCTTGTGTCAGGCCAGGCTTCTGGCTGCCCGGAGTGGAGGCTGCTCCACACCTTTGGGGAAATGGTTCTCTTTTCATTCTTTTGTTACTGAGCGAGGAAGGTTGCTGAATAAAGGCCTTTATCCCCGAGGCTCCTCTGTGTCTGGTTTTTTGGGTGTCCTTCTGTGAGACCAGGCCGAGTGTGTCGGGGGGTGAAGGAGTGGCAGGTGGTGGTCCCAAGCCTGGGCCAGCAGGGAGGTGGCCTCCCCAGCTGCGGAAGCCTGCCGGGCATGAGCTTGTGCCCACGGACCAGTAGAGCGGGCCTTCTCTCAGGAGACGCAGACACACGTGCTACTTTTTGTTTGGAGAGGGGAGCTACACCCAGTGATGCTCGGGGGATCAGAGGGGATGCTGGGGATCAAACTCGGGTCAGCCGTGTGCCAAAGCAAGTGCCTTACCCCGGTAACTTCACTTCGGTTCCACGTTACACTTTTTGATTTGATTTTGGGGGTACATCCCCTAGCAGTGCTCGGGCTATACCTGGCTCTGTGCTCAGGTATGATCCCTGTCGGTGCTTAAAGGACCATATGTGGTGCTGGGGGTCCACACTCAGGTCTGCTGGGTTGTGTGCAAGCTAGCTCCCCACCTCCCACATTTCTCTGGCCCTGTATTTATACACCTTTACACAAACTCTTAGAAAAATAGCTTTTTAGGGGCCGGAACCATAGCACAGTGAGTAGAGTGCTTGACTTATACAAATCTGACCTGGGTTGATTCCCAGTGCTCCGTATGGCTCCCTGAGCACCGCTGGCTGTGGGCCCCCCTCCCCCCTCAAAAAAAAGACTTTTCAGGGACTGCGGACATGGTTCAAAGGGCTGGAGCACATGCTGGATGGCGGAGATCAGGTTCTAGCCCTGCTATCACCTGGAGTGACCCCAAGCGTCAAACCAGGAACAATCTCTGGGCACTGACAGGTGTCACCCTCCCAAACAATAAAGGTTTTGAAGGTCCCGTGGATCCTTCACCCACACCAACCGACTGGACCTCACACCACCATTTCCCGACTGGGTAAAGGACCAGCTCTCTTGAGTCAGTGGCATTTGCTCTAGCTCACCTTCCGTGCTGCCTGTTGGCAGGAATATCTATGAGGGAACATGGTGCTGGACAGACTGGTTCCCAGCGGCACACAAGGGACTGAACCCAGGGCTCTTGCATTTACAGGTGCCTTTCAGTCCTTTGAACCTTCCTCCCAGCCCCAGGGAAAAAAGTCTTCACCTGTGTTTACCTCCGTTGGGGAGGCTGCTTCAGGAGAGACTAGACTTCTGCTGGGCTGTCTCTGTCGCCTTCCTCCTAGCACAGCAGTGGGGAGAGGCCTGACCCTTATGGGACTGCTGCTGTGACCATGCTAGGCCTGGCCTGGGTGAATACAGTGGACAGTAAGTGGCCCCCACCAGCTAACTGGGTTTCACCTCCCAGCACTGCCCCCACTTGATGGATCTCTATAAAGGCTGGAAGTGTAATTGTTTTGCATGTTTTGAGACGCCTCCCCACAATAACGGGTTATTGTTTTGGGGGGTTTGGGTTTTGATTATTTGGCCACACCTGGCTGTGCTCAGAGCTCACTCCCGGCTCTGTCCTCAGGGATCACTTCTGTTAGGGCTGAAGGGGACCAAGTCTGGTGCCGAGGATCAAACCTGGGTTGTCTGCACCTTACCCACTGTATTATTTCCCGGGCCCAAGATATAGGCAGGTATTTCTATGTTTTGGTCAAGAATGTACGGTTTAGGGACTGGAGCGATAGTACAGTGGGTAGGGCATTTCCCTTGCACTTGGCAGACCTGGGTTTGATCCCTGGTATCCCATATGATCCTCCAAGCACCGCCAGCAATGATTCCTGACTGCAGAGCCAGGAATAACTCCTGAGCAATGTTGGTTGTGCCTCTGACACACACACACACCCCCACATCCCCCAAAGAAGAATGTAGAGTTTAGGGCTGGAGAGATAGTATAGCAGGTAGGGCATTTGCTAGCACTTGGCTGACCTGGGTTTGATCCCCAGCCATTCAAATGATCTCCCAAGCCCTCTGAGGAGTGATCTCTGAGTGTATAGTCAGGAGTAAGTCCTGAGCACTGCTGGGTATGCCCCCCCGATATATAGATAGATAGATAGATAGATAGATAGATAGATAGATAGATATCACTGTAGCACTGTCCTCCCATTCATTGATTTGCTCAAGCGGGCCCAGTAATGTCTCCATTGTGAGACTTCTACTGTGTTTAGCATATCGAATACGTCACGGGTAGCTTGCCAGGCTTTGCCATGCGGCCAAGATACTCTCAGTAGCTTGCCAGGCTCTCTGAGAGGGACGAAGAAATCGAACCTGGCTTGGCTGGGCCGGCTGCAAGCAAGGCAAATGCCCTACTGCTGTGCTATCGCTCCGGCTAAATATATATATATATATATATATATATATATATACACACATACATATATTCATATAAGTATGTATATATTACTTTTATTTAGTTAAAGTCATTTAGACTTAGTGTCGTTTAGGGCCTGGAGCAATCATGCATGGTGGAGTCAACATTGAAGTCTCAGGTGGATCTGACTCAAACCTCTGTATTTATTCTCACTTTTCTAGTCTGTGTCTGTCCTTGGGTACTTTCTGTACTCTCCCTCTGGCCCCTGACAAATACAAATTTAAAGTACCTCTTAACCTTTCATATTCAGGCAATTATTTAGTCACTGATTTGGGGTTTGGGCCACACTCAGAAGTGTTCAGCGGCTATTCCTGACTCTGTGCTCATGAGTGACCCCTGGTGGGGATGGAGAGATAGCACAGCGGGTAGGGTGTTTGCCTTGCACATGGCTGACCCGGGTTTGATCCCCGGCATCACATATGGTTTCCCAAGAACCACCAGGAGTAATTCCTGAGTTCAGAACCAGGAGTAAGCCCTGAGCATCGCTGGGTGTCCAAAAAGGAAAAAAAAGTGACCCCTGGTGGTTCTTGGAGGGACAGCATGTGGTGATGGGAATTTAAATCAGCTTGGGCCCCACCTTACCCCTCTCCAGGCAAGCACTGGATATTAATTCTAGTTTGGGGAGGTGCAAAGATACAGGCGGAATATCCTATCTTCAGAATTATTTATTTATGGGTTTTGGGGCCAGACCCAGCTGTGCTCAGAGCTTACTCCTGGCTCTGCAATCAGGAATCACTGCTGGTGGGCTTGGGGGACAATACAGGGCTGGGTCCACAGCATGCAAGGCAAGCATCTTACCACTCTACTATCTGTCTGATTCATAATTCTCTTGTGCTTGTCCTATGTGCGTTACTAGCTCTCCAGCCCCCAGTTCATAATTCTTATGTAACGGATCAGAACAATAGTACAGCGAGGAAGGATTTTGCCTTGCATGCAGCCCACCCAGTTTGATTCCCAGCACCTCAATAGTACCTCGAGTCCCACTAGGAGTGATCTTGAGTGCAGAGCTGAGAGTGAGCCCCAGTGTGCTATAAAACAAACAAACAAAGAAAACCAACTTATGTAATGGGAAAGAAAACAATTGTTGTACTGTATTGTACTGGAATGTGAACAAAGTATCAGAGTGTCATTGAGATACAGAATCTAAATGCTTGGATAAGTCAGGGGAAATAGACTTGGAGGATGATAAGGAATTTGTCCAGGAAAAAGCTGTATCCAAGGAAGTAGCAAGTACAGGAAGTTTAAAAAGCTATTTGCTTTCAGAAACCAGGTTTGGCTGTGTGTATAAGGTAAGGCCTGGGTGTGGTAGGAGATACTGTTAGAGACATAGGCCCAGAGCAGGTTTCAGGAAGCTCTGTTGTGGGGCCAGAGTAATAGTACAGTGGAGAGGGCACTTGCCTTGCACACTGCCGACCAACAGGGGTTTGATCCCTGCATCCCTGAACACTGCCAGGAGTGATTCCTGAGTGAAGAGCCAGGGCTAAATCCTGAGCATTGTTGAGTGTGGCCCCAAAACCAGAAAAAAAAATTAAAAAAAGCTTTATTGTGCTGAGAAATTAACAGGGCGTTTTAGTAGGACTCCTGAGACAGGAAAGAAATCAACCGTGGGTTTTTGTTATTTTTTATTTTATTTTATTTCATTTTTTTGCTTTTTGGGTCATAGCTGGTGATGCACAGGGGTTACTCCTGGCTCAAGTATTACTCCTGGTGGTGCTTGGGGGACCATATGGGATGCTGAAAATTGAACCCGGGTCTGCCGAGTGCAAGGTAAATGCCCTACCCACTGTGCTATCGCTCCAGCCCCTTGTTTGTTATTTTTGCATTCAGGAGTTACTCCTGGAGGTGCTTGGGGGACCATATAGGATGCCAGGAATCAAACTCAGTGGGTTTCATGGAAGGCAAACACCCAAGCCACTGTCCTATTGCTCTGGCCCCAAGAGATTAACCAGCGGAAGACAACCCACAGAGGAGTGGCAAGGGAAATGAATGCCCGGACAGAGGCAGTAGTTAAGAGGAAAGGCAAGAGAAGGAATTCCTTGGTGCCACACCCAGTGACCCTTGGGGGCCTCTCCCACCTGTCCTGTGACCAGGCTCTGCGGGTGATCCAAACCCAGGCCTCCCATTTGCATGTGCCCCAGCACTTTGTGCTCCCTCCAGGAGTCCAGGAAGAACTGTTGAAAGATAAAAATTCGTAGGACTTGATCTTGATCTAAATACCAGTAGGACCTGGTACCAGAGAAGATGTGGCTGGGAAGGAATGTAGGAGAAATCCCAGATGTTCAGCATGTGCAGTGTTGAAAGAGAATGTGAGCAGGCCTGTGGAGGAAGTATGTGACCTGTATGCAGGCCTGGGTGGACCCCCACCAAGCACTCCCAGGAGTGCCCAAGTGTCCAGCCAGTGAGCAGGGACTAGCCCCTGAGCACTGCTGGGTGTGGCTCCCTAAACAGTCCAAAACAAAACAAGCATATGTGAGCAATCTGGCGGAAGACGATTGAAGAGGGACAGATGACAAAGTGTATATGAAGTTTAGGGCATACCAAAGGTAAGGACCTATGGGTCAAGTCAAGATGTCTCTTAGATACTATCTTGTTTGGATGAGTTTGTCACCGCGGTTTCTGAGTCAGGAACTGATGGGCATTTAGGCAATAATAGAATAGATTCTTGTTTGTTAATTTGCTTAATAATGTGAGGCCAGAGCGATAGTGGAGCATGGGAGGGATGCTTCCCTTGCACACGGCCTTCCTGGGTTTGATCCCTGGCATCCTCTTTGGAGCAGCACCAGGAACAAGCCCTCAGCACTGCTGGGTGTGGCCCCAGAACAAAACAAACAAACATAAAAAACAACAAACAAGATTAGGGAAGGGTAGAGAAAGTAGCTTTAAGTGATGGTCACAATATCTACTCTGCTCTCTTTCTGTGTTTAGTTTTTGAGCCATGCCTGGAGTTGTTCAGGGGTTATACCTGGCTCTGTATTCAGTAATCACTCCTGGTGGGCTCAGGGGACCATCTGGGATGCTGGGGATTGAACCTGGGTCGGCCATGTGCAAGTCAAGTTTCCTATCCATTGCACCTATCTCTCTGTGCCCCTCATCTGCTCTCCATTTTTTGCATTTATTGCAGTTTCTCATATACAGTGGGGATAATGCAATCTATTTGTAAGAAACTGTGAAGATTAAATTATATCATATATAGAGTACAGTGTATATATATGTATGTATATATTTATGTGAACAGAGAAGGGATGGAGGAAGAGATAGAGAGAGAAGTGTCTGCCACAGAGGAAGGCAGGGTGGGGGTGGGAGGGAAACTGGGAACATTATAGTAGGAGATGTACACTGGTAAAGGGATGAGTGTTGGAACATTATATGACTGAAACCCAAACATGAACAACTTTGTAACTGTGTATGTTACTACCATTCATTAAAAAAGTTAATAAATGGGGGCTGGAGAGATAGCACAGCAGGTAGGGCGTTTGCCTTGCACGCGGCTGACTCGGGTTCAATTCCCAGCATCCCATATGGTCCCCTGAGCACCGCCAGGAGTAACTCCTGAGGGCAGAGCCAGGAGTAACCCCTGTGCATTTCTGGGTGTGACCCAAAAAGCAAAAAAAAAAAAAAAGGTATCATATAGGTTACATATGACCAGTTTCTGGCTGCTGAGGGTATTTGTTTTATTTGGGGGCCACACTGATGGCTTCTCCAGCTCAGCGCTTAAGAGGTAGCTCTCTCTGCACTTTGGATCGCATCTAGGCCCCACATATGAAAGCCTGTGCTCCAGCTTTATGCCATCTCCCCAGCCTCTGAGGAAATACATTCTTAGCTTGTGAGAGTACATATGTGTGTGTACAACAGAGTTGGGGGGGGTTGTAGAGAGAGAGGGCCTGAGTCGTTGCTAATAACTTAGTTTTAATAAGCACTTTCACGTATTAACTTCACCCTCACTGGATGTTTTATTCTGAGAATTTCTATCATTAATAGAGAAAATGTGATTTTTTCGCTCATAATGATAGAAATTGGGGCAAGACTTAGGGCCAGAGAGATTATACAGCAGGCAAGGCGCTTGCCTTCGTCCCGGTGACTTTCCCAGCAACATACATGGTCCCTGAGCCCACCAAGAGCCAGGAGTAAGCCCTGAGCACCGCTGGGTGTGACCTAAAACCAAAAACTGAAAACAAAAAAGTTCAGGCTTGAGCTGCACTGGTTTCCGCTAGTTTCAAATCGTCCTCATTTTCCTACGGGTAAACGAAGTAGGTAGTAAGTATATTGTCAGGGAGTTGAGTGCTGAGTTGGGTGACACACCCAGCAATGCTCAGGGCTTACACCTGGCTCTGTGCTCAGGAATTTCTCAGGGCCCATATGAATTTTTTGAAGACCTGAATTTGTCTCTAGGCCGTCTCTTCTGGGGTCAAAAGTCTTTTGGGAGGGCAGGTCAAGATAATAAACGCAGGTTACTTGCCTTGCACGCAGCCACCCCGGGAACGAAACATAATCCCAGAACATCACCAGAAGCGACCCAGAGCCTAGAGCCAGGAGTAAGCCCGAGGCAAGGAAGGGTGCGTGGCATCAGGACGAACCACCGCCACCGCTTCAAATCAGTCTTGTGACCGCGAGCAGGGGGTCTCTGGATTTCTCAAGTGTTCGACTTTTCCCGGGAGGGGGGCCCGGGTCCCCAGGGGAAGCGTCTGTGTGATGCTTGCAAAACACGAATCCACCAACCCTTCCCCACCCCACGACTTTCCCGGTTCGAATGTCTGCAACCCGTTTCGAGGGGCGCCCGCGCGACCGCGACCTCCAAAGGCCTCCAGCTCGGCCCCCTCCTTGCCTCGGGAGCCCCCCTAGAGGCAGGAGGGGAGGCGCCGCCGCCAAGTTCGGGAGGGGACACGGGGGCGGGCGGGGCCGGGCGGGGCCCGGAGGGCGGTCACGTGACGGGGCGGGGCCCGGCCCATGTGCGCGGCGGCGGCGTCGACTCCGCCCCCCGCGCGCCGGCGGCTCCGCCCCCCGCGCCGGTCACGTGGGGGCGCCGGCTGCGCCTGCGGAGAAGCGGCGGCCGCCGAGCGGGAGCCGTGCGGGGAGCCGGAAATGGTCGTGGACTGCGTCTGTGCGGCTGCGTGGGGCTCGGCCGCGCGGACTGAAGGAGACTGAAGGTAAAGCCGCCATGTCCGGGCCCGACCCGGCCCGCCCGCCCCCGCCCCCCGCATCCGCCGCCATCCGCGCCGGCCGCGGCCCCCGCGCGCCCGCCGGCCCGGCGCCCCGGCCCCGCGCCCCGCCAGGCCGCGATCGGCGGGCCCACGTGTGCGCGGCGCGGCGCGGCGCGGGGCGGCGCGGCCGGGTGGGGGCGGGGAGCGCGGCGCGGGCCCGGGGCCGCCCGCCCGCCTGCTCGCCCGCCGGGCCGCCGGGAAGTGACACGTCGTGCTCTGGCACTGGCCGGCGGCGCCGCGCGGGGCGGGCGCGGGCGGCGGCGGCGGCGGCGGCGGCGGCGGCCAGGGAGGAGCCCCCGCCCCGCCCGGCCCGGCCCGGCCTCGCCCCCGGGGACCCCCGCCCGGCGCCCAGGCCCCGCACCCGGCGTCCCCGGGCGGGGGGTGGGGGGGACGCGCACGGGGCCCGCGAGGCCGCTCCTGCCCCGGGTGCGTGCGTGCGAGTGTGTGTGTGTGCCAGTGCGAGTGTGAGTGCGCGTGTGCGCGTGTGCGCGTGCGAGCCGGGCGCCGGGTGCCAGCGAGACCTGGAATTTCCGGTCGGGTCGGTCCGGGGCCCCGCGGAGCCAGCTTGATAGCCCCTCGCCTCCCCAACCCCAGGCCCTCGGATGCCCAGAACCTGTAGGCCGCACCGTGGACTTATTCTTAACCAAGGGGGTGAGTCAGGGGGCTGCGGGGTGCTTTGGCCGTGCTGCTGCTGCTGCTGCCACCGCCGGGTTTTTGGGTTTTTTTTCTTTTTTTTTTTTGACAAATGCCTTGGGGGGGTGGGGGACGGAGACAGAAGCGACGTCGCTTCCTGCTCCCTTCTGTACCCCCGTGCTGCGCCTGCTCCTCTTCCTCCTCCTCCTCCTGTTCCTCCTCCTCCTCCTCCTAGGCCCCGGGTGGGGGGCTGCTCGCGCGGGACCCGGCCCCTCGCTTCGCCCCTAGGCCCCTTCCCCCTTGCCGAGCCCCACTCTTTCCCAACAGGTGCTGGGGGGACCCTGATGTGGCACCAAATGAAATGAACAAACCTCCACAGCCCACAGGCCCCCCACCCGCCCCGTCCCCTGGACTCCCACAGGTAATTAGGGGGAGGAATCGCCAGGCAGAGGCCCGGGTGGGGGTGGGGGCCGCCAGCCAGCCAGCCAGTCAGCAAACAGGCTCCAACCTCTGGATTTTTCCCACCCCCATCGGTGTCAGGGCAAAGTGCAGCTTCCTGCTGCCAAATTGAGACAGGGCCCCTGGGCTGTTCCCAGGGGCTGGCCCGGCCGGGGAGGGGGCATGTGGACAGCAGGAGAGGCAGGCCCCGGCCAGAGACCTCCGCCCCCTGCCTCACCGCCTTGGGTTTCTGCCCCACCCTGGTTTCTCCCGCTGAACTCTGGTCTCCCCCCTCCCCTTCAGCCAGCGTTTCCCCCGGGGCAGACAGCACCGGTGGTGTTCAGTACGCCACAAGCGACACAAATGAACACGCCTTCTCAGCCCCGCCAGGTGAGGGGCTGCGGGGAGGGGAGTAGGGGGCCTGGGTGGGAGCCCTGGAAAGCCAAGGCCACTTGGGCCCCTAGGATGGAAACCATGGAGGCCCTGGTACCCGGTGCCCCATTTCCCCTCTGTGGATTGCTTACTTCTGCTGGCCCCGTGGGGCAGTGTGTCATCGAGGGGGGTGGCGTGACTAGGGGTCCCGATGCTCGGAGAGTTGGGAGCAGTGTTTTGGGGTCCTGCCAGCTCCTACTCTCTCCTGATCTCTCCTTTCACTGGGAGCTCGCCGTTGCTCCGTTTCCCATACTGTCTTTTTTCCCTCCGGAGTGGGGCAAGATCGACGCTCTCTAGCTGGTTCTTGCTTTTCTCTGTTCCCTCCGTTCTTCCTCACTGAGTGGGAGGTTTCTTGCCCTACTTCCGTGTGTGCGTGCGTGCGCGCATGTGTGTGCGTGTGCGCTCGCGTGCGCCTGTCTGCGTGGGGCCCCTCATCACCTTGGGGATAATTCTTTTCTCTCCTGTCCCATGTGCTCTCAGGGAGGATTCAGGTCTCTGCAGGTAATGCTCCTTCGCTCATCCTGGACCTTGTCCTGGTCTCACTCTGACCTTCCACCCTTGTCAGGTGCTAGGCGCAGGGACTGGGGGACTTCAGGGTGGGGACTTGCTTGTTGTCCAGGTCCTCAGTCTGAGGGTGACCGATGCATGAGGGCCTCGGTCTTAAAGCCCTGCATCCGGGCCCCGGGACATGGTTGCATGTCAGTGGTGAGCGCCTTGGGTGTGGGGGGGGCGTGCATGCTGGGATGTGCAGTGCCCGACTGGCTGTACTTAGGCACCGTGCATCTGGCCGTTAGGAGGCCTCCGCGGCAGGATAGCTGGCGGGGGCCCCCCGAAGATGCATGGCGGTCCGGGGGTCAGTGTGTACCCCGAGTGCCAAGGCTGGACTCGGAGTTTGCAGGGCCTCTGTGAGTCCAGCGGCCGCCTAACCCATCAGCTGGTCGAGGGGGTCTCGGAGGGGCTGCCCTTGTGCTCCCCAGCAGCAGTTCTCTCTGGGCCGGAGACCCTGTGGAGTTGCCATTCTGCTCGACTTCCTCCCCTGGCCAAGCCAACCGCCTTCCTCCCTCCCTGACAGCACTTCTACACTAGCCGGGCCCAGCCCCCGAGCAGTGCAGCCTCCCGAGTGCAGAGTGCAGCCCCCGCCCGCCCTGGCCCAGCTGCCCATGTCTACCCTGCCGGATCCCAAGTAATGATGATCCCTTCCCAGATCTCCTACCCAGGCTCCCAGGGGGCCTACTACATCCCTGGACAGGTGAGGCTGGAAACCTGGGGGCTGAAAGCCGCAGAAACTTGTCTCCCGACCCTTTCCTCCCTGGCCCTCACCTCTGCTCCCGAGTCTTCTTCCCAGAGGTCGGCCTTCCTTCTGGACCTTGCCAAGTGTTGGCTTGTCCTGTCTTGCCCTGCATTCTCTTGGCGTCTGAGAAAGCGCCTCCTAGCGCCCTCAACTCCGTGTCTCCCTTCGTCCTCTTCCCCAGGGGCGATCTACTTATGTTGTCCCGACACAGCAGTATCCCGTGCAACCAGGAGCCCCAAGCTTTTATCCGGGTGCAAGCCCTACCGAGTTTGGGACTTACGGTAAGGCTGGGGAGTGCCGGGGAGAATGAGTTCAGGGAGCATCTAAACTCACCTGTGAGCTCCTAAGACCTTTCCCAGGCTTGTGTTGGTTAAAAAATGATAGGGTTCGTCAGTGGTAGGGATCAGTTGGTACTTGACCTGTGTCTGGCGGTGGCTTGGGGATGGGGGAAGGAGGTGGCATCCTCTCCTCGGAGCTCGAGTCCCCGAGGTCGCGGAATCCAGGCGCGGGCACCCCCAGTCAGGGCCTGCCAGTCAGCGTTCATTCCCTGTGGCCCGCACTCCCCGGCTGCGGGGAGCTCAGGTCGCGTGGATTTGAGAAGCGTCTGTAGCCGTGTCCTCCTTCACATTCTAGGAAAGGATCAGTCTGTTCTTTATGGCAGTCGTTTCCAAAATTTCTTGATCGTCAGGAGAAATTTTGAGTGTGTACCCCAATACCTGTACGTTTTTGTTCGTTCATCCACATCCATAACTCGGACGAGTAAATGAGAGTTGCTAGTCAATCATATGTGGATATCGAAGAGTGCATCCCATTTCGGAGACTGTTGCTTTAAAGGCTTTCGCTTTCCTTCACCCTGGGTCTGCTAGTACATAATGTTGCATTTTGTTTCCTTGCCCCTTAGCAGAGGGCTGGAGACGGGACTGGACCCAGTTGAGAGCAGCAGGGTTGGCAAATCAGTTTTTCTCATTCCCAGCCAAAGCCCTGATTGCGTTTCAGGCTAAGGAGCAGTCGCGGCTCCCCGGGAGTCCGCGCGTGCTGCGGGGGGTGGGCTGCTTGCCTGCTCACTCAGCTAGTAGAGGAGGAACAGGCCCGAGTGCAGGTAGCTGGTACCCAGTGGCTAAGGAAGGCTTTGCCCACGAGGCGTGTGTCAGGAATCCTTGTAAACGCAGCAGTTCGGACTGGTTTCCCAGCTCTGACAGACACCTCATTCCCTTGGGGAGGAGGGTGGAGCAGGGCAAGGGGCTGGCTGAGGGTGATGAGAGGCTCTGGGGGCGGGAGGTTTGCACGGAGGCATTTGTGTCTGGCTGGGCCCTGACGCTGCCACCGCTCTTCCCTTCCCCTGTGTCCGTCTTCTCCCGCCCCCTCCAAGCTGGCGCCTACTATCCAGCCCAGGGTGTGCAGCAGTTTCCCACTGGAGTGGCCCCCGCTCCGGTTTTGATGAACCAGCCCCCCCATATTGCTCCCAAGAGAGAGCGGAAGACGGTGAGTAGCAGCAAGGGGCTCCAGGACGCCTGGAAAGGGATCATCAAGGTCAGGCGCATGTGGGTCAGGGAGCAGGAAGTTGAGGAAGCAGATCTGAGGCTGAGAGTGGGCAGAGCATGGGGACTTGGGAAGCGCTTGGGCTCTTTGTCAGGGACCGAGGTGGCAGCGTGGAGGCCGCTCCCGGGCAGGCAAAGGGCCGCGCGCGGGTGGAGTCCCCCGGTGCCCCGGCCTTGGGGGTCCCTCACATCTGCATTTGATTCCTCGCGTCTGGTGCCTTGCCTTGCTGTGGCAAAGGTTTGCTTTCTGTGCCCCCGCCCCCCACCTCCCTCCCCGGTCCTGGAAGCTCTTGAGGCCTCCGCCTCTGCTCAGTCCTCAAGCCCTGGGCGTGGTGCCCAGAATAGGGTGCCAGGGCTGGGGAAGCCGCTGAGTCACCCTGGCTCCACCCACCGGGTCTGGGCCCTGCCCCCAGAGATCAGGCCGACCAGCCACAAGTGAGCCGGCCGGGAGCTGGCTGGGGGTCCTGGGCCCGCGGGCCGGCCGGGAGCTGGGGGAGAGCATTATGATGCCCGGGACTGCTCTGTGAGGTCAGGCCTCTCCTCGGGTGGCGGCCAGCGCAGGGCTCAGCAGCACAGCCGGATGGATTGACAGTAGAACTCATGGGCTTCCTGGCGCCCACCCACCTGCTTCCCGGTGGGGGGTGGGAGCTTGGCCTGGAGTCTTAGGCGTGGGGCAGGGTGGAGAGGTGGCTCCTCCTGCTGTCCACTCACCCCCCGGCTTTCTTTCCCCAGATCCGAATTCGAGATCCAAACCAAGGCGGGAAGGATATCACAGAGGAGATCATGTCTGGGGCCCGCACCGCCTCCACCCCCACCCCTCCCCAGGTACGTGGGTCCCGGGGCGTCTCGTCACAGTGGAGCTGGCGGGCGGGCTGAGGCGAGCAGGGCTGTGGGGTTCTCGGGGGCGAACCCGGTAACCCTTTGTGCTCTGCAGACGGGAGGCGGTCTGGAGCCTCAGGCTAATGGGGAGACTCCCCAGGTGGCTGTCGTCGTCCGGCCAGGTAAGGCGACAGGTGGGGCAGAGGAGGGTGGCACCCAAAGACGCTGAGGAGGTGGCTTGGCACGAGCCGCCGGCTAGAGAGGAATCACCGGGATGCGAAAAGGACAGATCGCGTTGTGGGGGCGAAGGGGAGAGAACTTAGGTCGCCGAGGGGTGTGTGTCTGTGTGTCTGGGGTGGGGGCACCGCGTTCCAGGTGCTTGAGCCGGGAGGAGGAGGGGCGCCAGGACTGGAGACCTGGTCTTCAGTTTCGCTGTTCATTTTCTGGGGTGCAGATGACCGGTCGCAGGCAGCGATCATCGGGGGCCGGCCCGGGCTGCCGGGCCCAGAGCACAGTCCTTCCGAATCCCAGCCATCGTCACCTTCTCCGACCCCGTCACCACCCCCGATCCTGGAGCCGGGGTCTGAGCCCAACCTCACCGTCCTCTCTCTTCCCGGGGACACGATGACGACGGGGATGATCCAGATGTCTGTAGAAGACTCCAGCCCTGTGGCGCATGAAGCCGGGGAGCCGTACTGCCTCTCTCCAGAGCCCCCTCCCCTCGCTGAACCTATCCTGGAAGTCGAAGTGACGCTGAGCAAACCGATCCCAGAGTCTGAGTTCTCTTCCAGCCCTCTCCAGGTGCCCGCTCCCCTGGCATCTCACCCGGTGGAAATTCTTCCTGAGCCCAATGGCATTGACGCATCGGAGGACCGGGAGCCGGAGGTGGACTCCGCCGCCGAGCTTGCTCCGCTCTCTCCTCCAGCTGGTCCCTCAGAGCCGCCCTTGCCCGCGGCTCCGACTGCCCAACCAGAGGAACTGCTCAACGGAGCCCCCTCGCCACCAGCTGCGGACTTGAGCCCCGTCAGTGAGCCCAAGGAGCTGGCCAAGGAGGCCCCGGCCCCGGCCCCAGCCCCGGCGGCTCCACCCGCTGCCGCCCCCTCTGCCCCGCCAGCGGCCGTCCCTGCTCAGGAGGAGGAAATGGAGGAAGAGGAGGAAGAGGAAGAAGAAGGAGACCCAGGAGAAGCCGAGAGTGAGAAGGGAGGGGAGGAAGTGCTCCCCGCAGAGAGCGCCCCTGCCCCCGTGCACCCGTCCCAGAACTCGGAGGCGTCCACAGCGACCCAAGGTAAAAGGCATGTTGGCGGCCGGCGCGGGGCTCTCTTCGCGGGTGCCACTGTGCACCTGTGCCTGGCGGTGAGGGGGCGTGTGGTCGGGTGGTTGGGTCACGGAGACGGGTGGAACCTGGGAGCTAGACTTTTCCTTAGGAAGGTGCGGTGCAGAGACAGCCGTGCACCGGATGCTACTGGTTTTCCCTGGGAATTCTCAGGTCAGTCCCACTGCTTTTCTCTTCCCCTGGAACAGTGGCAGTGTTTGTGCCAAAGAGGAGACGGAAAATGAAGGATCTCAATAAGAAGGAAGCTGTCGGAGACCTACTGGATGCCTTCAAGGAGGTAAGGGAGCGGCCGGGAGCTGAGGGCGAAGGCAGGTTTGGGGGGGAAGCCACGACCCCAGCACCGTGTCCTCCGGTCACAGGCGAACCCGGGAGTGCCAGAGGCGGAGAACCAGCCGCCACCCACGGGCAGCAATCCCGGCCCAGAGCCAGAGGGCAGCGGCGCCCCGGCTCGGTCTGAGGAGACGGAGGAGACGTGGGACTCCAAGGAAGACAAAATCCAGAATGCCGAGAACATCCAGCCCGGGGAGCAGAAGTATGAGTACAAGTCAGGTATGCTGCGGAGGGGCCGGGCGGGGGACAGGCCCGGGGCGCCCCTTGGGCCCCTGGTGGGCGCCGGCTGAGCACGACCTTTGTTCTTCCTTCCAGACCAGTGGAAGCCTCTCAACCTGGAGGAAAAGAAGCGCTATGACCGAGACTTCCTGCTTGGCTTCCAGTTCATCTTCGCCAGCATGCAGAAGCCAGAGGGCTTGCCCCATATCAGCGATGTGGTGCTGGACAAGGTGGGTAGGCTGGCGTGGGCGTCGCTGAGCCGGGCAGCCTGGCCTGTCCCCGCCCTTCATGCTCACTGTGCCGACGCCTTACTCTCTTCCCAGGCCAATAAAACGCCACTGCGGCCGCTGGATCCCACTCGGCTCTCGGGCATCAATTGTGGCCCAGACTTTACTCCGCCCTTTGCCAACCTTGGCCGACCAGCTGTCAGCACCCGAGGGCCCCCAAGGGGTGGGCCAGGTGGGGAGCTGCCCCGCGGGCCGGTGAGTGGCCGAGGGGCCAGGCGGTGTGGGGGTGGTTCTCTGGGCACTGGAAGCCATCTGCCCTTGACCGGTGTGGGAGGCGGTGGGGGTTCCCGGCTTGCTCTGACTCTCTCCCTTCTCTTGTCCTGGCCCCCGGCTTAGGCTGGTCTGGGACCCCGGCGCTCCCAGCCGGGCCCCCGGAAGGAACCACGCAAGATCATTGCCACGGTGTTAATGACTGAAGACATCAAACTGAACAAAGCCGAGAAGGCCTGGAAACCCAGCAGCAAGAGGACGGCGGCCGACAAGGACCGTGGGGAGGAAGACGCTGACGGCAGCAAGACCCAGGTATGGGCAGGTTTGCTGCGGGCCCCAGCCCCCTGCGGACCCCGCCCGCCACGTGGCCGCTGTTGTTCTGAGGTTCTGTGTCTTCTCTCCCCCACCACCAGGACCTGTTCCGCAGGGTGCGCTCCATCCTGAATAAGCTCACGCCCCAGATGTTCCAGCAGCTGATGAAGCAGGTGACCCAGCTGGCCATCGACACGGAGGAGCGCCTCAAAGGGGTCATCGACCTCATCTTCGAGAAGGCCATCTCAGAGCCCAACTTCTCTGTGGCCTATGCCAACATGTGCCGCTGCCTCATGGCGGTGAGTGTCCCGTCCCATGTCCGTCGTCGTCGTCCCCCCCCCCCCCCCATTTGCCTCGGTGAGGGTCTGGCTCGGAAGGTGCCCGAGTCCAGCTTGCTGGTGGGCCATGCTGGCGAGGACAGCCGAAAGCAGGCCGCGCTGGGGTGGGGGCGTTCGGGTCAGGTGGTGGGAGACTCAGGGCTGGCCCCACCCTGGCCTGGCCTGAGTGGACGCTTCTCTCCGACCCCCAGCTGAAAGTGCCCACTACAGAAAAGCCAACGGTGACTGTGAATTTCCGAAAGCTGTTGTTGAATCGGTGTCAGAAGGAGTTTGAAAAAGACAAAGATGACGACGAGGTGTTTGAGAAGAAGCAGAAGGAGATGGACGAAGCCGCTACGGTGAGAGGAAACCCAGCAGAGCCACTGCCCGTCCTCGGGGCACCCTGGTGCTGCCCACCCCCTGCAGAGTGTGGCTGAGTGACCGAGTGGCATTTCTCTGCCTTGGGGCGTGAGTGATTACTGCCTGTGTGTGTGCACGCAGCTTTGGACTCAGAAATGGTACAGCGTTAGGGCAGTTGTACTGGCTGGCCCAGATTCTATCCCTGGCATCCCATATATTGGCCTACGGGGTATGGGGGTGCCCCACCCCACAGTCCCCCACCCCCCAGATGAAAAGGACCCGTTGCCGGGGATGGAGAGAGAGTGGTGCATGAGTAAGGCACTTGTCCTGCTTGCAGCTAACCTGGGTTTGATCCTGGGCACTCCATAAGGTCCCCCGAGCACTGCCAGGGGTGACCCCTGAGAGCAGCGCCAGGACAGGAGTTAGCCCTGAGCCTCTCTAGGCCATGCAGTCATCTCGCAGCACCGTTGGGTGTGGTCTGGACCTCCCATTAGACCCCCCCAAAGTATGCAGGTTGTAGGGGAGTGAGGCTTCTGCTGAGGGTTGTTTCGATGCACTCCTATTTCCTGGTGGCAGGCAGAGGAACGGGGGCGGCTGAAGGAAGAGCTGGAAGAGGCTCGAGATATAGCCCGCCGGCGCTCATTAGGGAATATCAAGTTTATTGGGGAGCTGTTCAAGCTGAAGATGCTGACGGAAGCCATCATGCACGACTGCGTGGTTAAGCTCCTTAAGAACCACGATGAGGAGTCCCTCGAATGCCTTTGCCGTCTGCTCACTACCATTGGCAAAGACTTGGACTTTGAAAAGGCGAAGGTAGGAGGGCGTGCAGGGCAGCACAGGCTTGCTCTGTCGAGCTGTTGCCTGGGCCACAAAGGCCCAGGGTCACTGTCGGTGGAACCAGGGCCTGCTCTGGGTGGGGAGAATGAGGAAGGGCTGCCCTGGGCTCACCAGATGATGCGAGGGTTGCAGCCCAGGTTTGGCCCCTGACCCTGCGTGGTCCCCTGAGCAGCACCTGCCTAGGGCTCGCCTTCAGGCACTGCTGAGGGTCATTCCAAAAACCAGAGAGGGGCCAGAGATCTAATACAGTGGGAAGGGTACTTGCCTTGTGTGTCCCTGACCCAGACTCCATCTCCAGCACCCCATATGGTCCCCGAGCATCACCAGGAGAAAGCCCTGAGCACTGCTGGGTGTGGGGGCCCCCTGGGGAGTGGTTGGAATACCAAAGAGAAATGAATGACCTCATCCTGTCGCTTCTAGCCCCGGATGGATCAGTATTTCCAGCAGATGGAAAAAATCATCAAAGAAAAGAAGACTTCTTCCCGAATCCGCTTCATGCTGCAGGACGTGCTGGACCTGCGGCGGGTAGGGACCCTGCTCCCTCTGCTGGGCTGTTTTCTGACCAGCCCCACGGTGTGGCCTGGCCCGGCCCGCTCTGGCGGACGTTCTCTGACTGACCCCCTGTTCTCACAGAGCAACTGGGTGCCGCGCCGAGGAGACCAGGGTCCGAAGACCATCGACCAGATCCACAAGGAGGCTGAGATGGAGGAGCACCGGGAGCACATCAAAGTGCAGCAGCTCATGGCCAAGGGCGGCGACAAGCGCCGGGGAGGCCCCCCAGGTCCACCTATCAGTGAGTCCCGGGGGCTGGGCTGGAGGCGCCACCTGGGGGGGGGGTCTCCTTTCCACTGATGACTTCTGTGTTAGTGCCACGTGTCTGGGCCACTGAGACCTCCTGATGGAACTGAGGATCTGAGGAAGGGAGATGTGGGCTGTGCAGGGGGCGGGGGCCAGGGAGGGCTGGCGGGGGCTGACCCTCGCGCTGTGCTCTCCTTTCCACCCCAGGCCGCGGGCTGCCTCTTGTGGACGATGGTGGCTGGAACACGGTCCCCATCAGTAAAGGTAGCCGTCCCATTGACACGTCACGACTCACCAAGATCACAAAGGTGAGTGTGTGTGGGGCGCCTGCAGAGAGGGATTGGGCCCAGGTCTGCGTCTCCTGTTCTTGGGGACATACTCCATTTGGGCCATGGTCAGCAGCCACGCACGCCAAATCTCGTCCGCTCCCTCTGGCTAAGAGTTTCGGCTCAGAAATGGAGCATGGTGAAGTGGTGCAGGCAGGATGAGTGTCCACGTCCCTGGCCTGCTCGGGCATAGCCACACTCCTGCCTTGCGTGCCACTAGTGGCTTCCGTGCTGCTGTAACGGAGTCGGGTTGATGTGCTCAGCTGTAAAGTGCGGCTGACAGCTCAAAAGGCCACCTTAAGGGGTGCAAAAGAAAACGGGGGCTACCTGTGGTTTTCTGTCTGTTGGTTTGGGGACCACACTCTGTTTGGAGGACCACAGGGGCTGGGGATCAGTTGGGGTTTCTGCACGCGGAGTATGTTCACCAAGCCTTGAAGCTGTCCACTTGTCCTTGGGGCATTTCTGTTGTTACTGTCTGTGGACATGGGCCACACTGGCCACTGTTGCCTCGGCGTTGGGGTCTGCTCACAGCTGTCCTGGGTGTGGAACCCGGGCCTCCAGGTGCAAAGCCTGCACGCAGGCCCTTGGAGCTTTCCCCAGTCCTCTGTAGAAATGTTTGCTCGGCTCCAGGTTGGGTCATTCAGATCCTGCGTGGCTGTGTGTGGTGGTGGGCTGGGGACTCGCTGGACCATCCCCCTGACGCTGCACCCCTTTCCTCCCTCAGCCTGGTTCCATCGACTCCAACAACCAGCTCTTCGCGCCTGGAGGCCGAATGAGCTGGGGCAAGGGCAGCAGCGGAGGCTCCACGGCTAAGCCCTCAGACGCAGGTAGGGTTGTCTGCAGGGCGGGCTGAGCACAGTGGCTGGGGGCGGCGGGACAGTGGCGTGTGCCTGGATCCTTACATCCAGCTCCTGGGCTGCGTCAGTACCAGAATGAGAACCAGGTGTTGTGTATCTGTTGGCAGGTGATGGGCTGTAGGAAAGCAGAAAGGTATGGGTGGAGGGGTGTTGGGTCTCACCCAGGAATGCTCGGGGTTGACTCCGCCTCTGCATTCAGGAATTAACTCTGGCGGGAGCACACACGAAGAAATGGGATGCCGGGACCGAACCTGGGTTGGTCGGTCAGACCCTGAAAGTAGAACGTCTGTAACGCGTGTTTTGTCTCCCAGCATCAGAAGCTGCCCGATCGACTACCAGTACCCTGAATCGCTTCTCAGCCCTTCAGCAAGCAGTGCCCACAGAGAGCACAGACACCAGGAGGGTGGTGCAGAGGTGAGCTCCCCAGCCCAGGCTGTTGCCGTGGAGATCCTCGCCTGGGCTGCACGCAGCCCCTGGCTGAGACTGGGACCTCCTCCTTCTGCTGGGAACTGGACTCCGCAGGGCCTGGTGAGGACACCTGCTGAGCCGATGTGCCTGTCTCTTTCCCAGGAGTAGCTTGAGCCGGGAACGGGGTGAGAAAGCCGGGGACCGAGGAGACCGCCTTGAGCGGAGTGAGCGAGGAGGTGACCGGGGGGACCGCCTCGATCGCGCACGGACGCCGGCCACCAAGCGGAGCTTCAGCAAGGAAGTGGAGGAGCGGAGTCGAGAGCGGCCCTCCCAGCCCGAGGGCCTGCGTAAGGCGGCTAGCCTCACGGAGGACCGGGACCGCGGGCGGGATGCTGGTATGGGCCGGCCTGGGACGGGAGGGCTGGCCCAGCTGGGCCCGGGACAGGCTCCACGGGAGGTGCACTGCTCTGAACTGGGGCTCTGGCTCCATCTTCTCCTCAGCCAAGCGAGAAGCCGCTCTGCCCCCGGCCAGTCCCCCGAAGGCGGCGCTCTCTGAGGAGGAGCTGGAGAAGAAGTCCAAGGCCATCATTGAGGAGTATCTCCATCTCAATGACATGAAGGTAGGCTGGGGGGTGGGAGGAGCGCGTGGACTGCGGCGGGGGCGCGGAGGCCTGCCTGCATGACCGCACTGTTGGCCCTGCAGGAGGCAGTGCAGTGTGTGCAGGAGCTGGCCTCGCCCTCGCTGCTCTTCATCTTCGTGCGACACGGCGTCGAGTCCACGCTGGAGCGCAGTTCCGTGGCCCGGGAGCACATGGGGCGGCTGCTGCACCAGCTCATCTGTGCTGGCCACCTCTCCACGGCGCAGTACTACCGAGGGTATGCTGGGCTCTCGGGGCCTGCCGCCCGCACTCGCCTAATGACCCCCGGCCAGCACCCCGGTTTGATCCCCGGCACTGCCAGAAGCGATCCCAGACCACTAGGGGTGGCCCAGCGTAAGAAGAACATAGGCTTCTGAACGGCCACGTTTCTGTACCAGGAGTGGGGGAGGTGGCTTCATGGGGCTAGTAGGGAGGGCGTTTGCCTTGCACACACTGACCTGGCTTTAGTCTGCGGTGCCACACTCGCCTGAATACTGCCAGGAGTGATTCTGCTGGGTATGGTCCCAAAACAAACCCAGAGGAATCAAATGGGAAAGGAAGCGGCCTTAGCTCGAGGGCTAGGGCAAGGGATGTAGCTCGGGGTGGAGTACCCACCGCACAGGTGTCGAGGTCCTGGCTTTCATCCCCAGCAACCACAGGAGAGATGTCCCGAGCTTGAGGTAGTGGCCTCACTCGAGTTCCCTTTGCAGGCTGTATGAAATCCTAGAATTGGCTGAAGATATGGAGATTGACATCCCCCACGTGTGGCTCTACCTGGCGGAACTAGTGACCCCCATCCTGCAGGAGGGTGGGGTGCCTATGGGCGAGCTGTTCAGGTAAGTGTTCGGGGTGGGAGGGGGGCAGGTGTGGGACGGTGGGGCCGTGCGTGGAGCCTTCTGGGTAGGGGCTCGACGTGTGTGGCCTTGGCTTTTGTAGGGAGATCACAAAGCCGCTGAGACCCCTGGGAAAAGCTGCCTCGCTGCTGCTGGAGATCCTGGGGCTCCTGAGCAAGAGCTTGGTGAGTGGTGCCCCTGTGTGGGTCGGCCGGTCCCTCAGGACCCCGGGGGGACACTGTGGCCGACAGCTAAGTTGTTGTCCCGAGGAGAAGCGCTGGGCTGTGGGCACCTTGCCTCGACCAGAATTAGAGTCCCAGGCCCGTTTGGCATCACCAAGAGGCCGACTTGTTCCTTCTTCAAACTAGTTTCTTTTCTCCCATGGGAGGTTCACACTTGGGGGATCTCAGGGACTGTGCAGCCTCGGGGTCAGTGCCCACGGCCCTGCGCACACAGTGCTATCGCCCCTTGGAACTGTCTCCTCTAGCTTTTTGTAGGTTTTATTTAGGTGGGGGCACACCCAGCGCTGCTTAGGGCTATGGCTCTGTGCTTGGGATTCTGGGGTCCTGGGGATCTAACCCTTAGTCAGCCCCCTACAAGGCAGATGCCCTACCCACTGTATGTACTAGCACTCTGGCCCTGCTGTCTCTTAGCGTTAAAAGAAAAAAAATTACCACGTACTAGGCACTGGGAATAAAGCACAGGAAACAAGTTGGGCGGGGGGCGGGGATGACAACTTAATGAAAACAAGTGTGAAGGAAAGCGTGAAATAGTTGAAGTTGAGTGCCGTGAGCACTGCGAGGCTGCAGGCGTGTGCTGGGTAATGTTCAGTCTGGGAAGCTTTTCTGGAAGGGCAGTGGCTTGGACACTAGAGGGTGGAATGGTGAAAAGTTGGGAAAAGGCAAGTTCGGGTTGTGGTACTTAATGGTAGTGAGAGGCCCCCAGAGTTCAGCTGCCTTCGACCCGGAGAAGTGAGACTTTGAATGGGAAAGAACTATTTTCAGTGGTGTAGTAATCCTTTCAGTGGAGACATCTTGGCATAGTTTGTTTCTAAAAGCATTGAGGGGGAGGGCTCTTCCTTAACCTTGCATGCAGCCAACCCAGGTTCAATCCCTGACATCCCATATCATCCCCTGAGCTCGCCAGGAGAAGGCCATGAGCACCACCAGATGTGGTCCCCAAACCAAAAATTAAAATAGAAAAGCTTTGAGTTACTCTTGTGTTTTCCCGCACCTACCAATTCTTACTTGTAGCACCTGTTTAGGCACTTTCGAGACGTGAGATCATAGCGATTTTGTTTCATTTCTGGTTTTGAGCCACACCCAAGGATGTTCAGGGGTTACTTCTGTCTCTGCTCGGGAATCACTCCTGGCACTGCAAGGGTTCCGTGCAGGATGCGGGGGATCAAACCCAGGTTGGCTGCATGCAAGGCAAGTGCCCTAGCTGTCATGCTATGTCGCTAGTGCCAGCTGTCATATTCTTGAAATGCTGTTTATCAACTGTGGGACAGTTTTTTTTTCTTTCTTTTTGGGTCACACCCAGTGATACACAAGGGTTTCTCCTGGCTCATGCACTCAGTAATTACTCCTGGTGGCGCTCAGGGTACCACGGGATGTTGGGAATCAAACCTGGGTCAGCCGCGTGCAAGGCAAATGCCTCACCTGCTGTGCTGTCTCTCCAGCCCCGAGTTGTGAGATAACTTTTTAAAAATAAGTTTTGTTGTTGGGGCTGGAGTTATAGCACAGCGGGTAGGGTGTTTGCCTTGCACACGGCCGACCCGGGTTCGATTCCCAGCATCCAGGAGTAATTCCTGAGTGCAGAGCCAGGAGTAACCCTTGCGTATCACCAGGTGTGACCCAAAAAGAAAGGGAAAAAAAAGAAATCTTTTTGGCCATACCCATCAGTGCTCAGGGATTGCTCCTGGTGGTGTTTGGGGGCCATATGTGATGCCGGGGATACCTGAGTCTACTGTGCAAGGCCAGAACCTTATCTGCTGTACCGTACTATTGATCTAGCTCCCCCAACAATTTATTTTTTAATCTGTTAAAATGTAAAACAAAATGGGCCTTTTTTTTAAAATTTTTATTAGTGAAACACCATAAGGTATAGTTGTAGACTTACAAATTTTTGTGCTTGGGTTTCAGTTATACAATGATTGAGTACCCATCTCTCCACCAGTGCCCACTCTCCACCACCACTGATCCCAGTATCCCTCCCACCCACCATTCCCCCAACCCTCCCTGCCTCTGTGGCAGGGCATTCCCTTTTGTTCTCTCTCTCCTTTTGGGTGCTGTGGTTTGCGAAAGAGGCATTGAGTGGCAATCATGTTCGGTCTAGAGTCTACTTTCAGCATGCATCTCCCATCCTGGGTGGATCTTCCCAACACCCTTTATTTGGTGCTCCCTTCTCTATCTGAGCTGCCTTTACCCCTGGAGTGTGCGGCTGGCCTCCAAGCCATGGAGTAAACCTCCTGGTACTTACCTCCGCTATCCTTGGGTGTTAGTCTCCTATTTTGTTACTTTATGTTCCAAAATGGGCCTTTTTAAATGCGTAAACTGTTAAGAATTTTGTTGGGTTGGCAGTGGCCATTAGTAAGTGAAGCTGCAGGTCTCATAGTGCAGGTTGCTGTTAGTGTGAGGATCGGGCTCGTCAGGGTGTGGCACGTACCTGCAGCTGTCAGCCGTGAGTGCTGACTGCGGCGTGTATGCCCATAAACGTCCTTACTTGGCATAGTGTAATGAAAGGAGAGCTGGAGGCGAGCGTGGAAGGCTAGGGCGAGGTGCTGGGATTTGGTGGGCCTTTGAGAAATCCTCTGTGAAGTCTAATAAACATCTTTCCTGAGGCGCGTAGGCCTCCAGTCTGTCCCCTCACCCTCTGCCCGGCCTCACAGCTGTTTGGCAGATGAGTTTGTTTATTGGGGGTTTGCTGATATCTGGACTGTGTAAGAGGCCTATTCTTGTTTGGGGAATCTGGTATTCTTCGCCCCTGTTTGGTGCATCTCTAGCATCCTTAGCCAGTAGTAGGTAGTTTGAGGTCTTTTCTATGAATACCATTTTACTCTTCAGTTAGCTTGTTTTATTTTGTGGTCTGGGGCTATGTCTGGCAGTGCTCAGGGCCTGCTCCTAGCTCTGCTCAGGCATGACTTCTGGCGGGATTTGAGACTAGATCGGGTGCTGGGAGTGAACCTGGGTTGACTTTGTGCAAGGCAAATGCCTTAACCCTTGTGCTTCCTCCCCAAAATTTTGCTTTCTCCTTGTAAATTTTGGGGCTTTCGGGGTGGGGAGGGTGACTCTTGTGGCACTGTTAGATTGTTGTGGGGGTGGTGCTTAGTGGATCTTGTGTGTTTTTCAGGGTCCCAAAAAGGTAGGGATGCTGTGGCGAGAGGCTGGCCTCAGTTGGAAGGAATTCCTGCCTGACGGCCAGGATGTTGGTGCCTTCGTTGCTGAACAGGTGGGCAGTTAGCGTGGGGTTGAGTGGCAGGGGGTTGAAGGCGGACCCCTTCCTCACTGCGGGTGCTGGACCTCCTCTGGGCCTTTGTCTGCAGAAGGTGGAGTACACCCTGGGCGAGGAGCCTGAAGCCCCTGGCCAGCGGTCGCTGCCCCCCGAGGAGCTGAGAAGTCAGCTGGAGAAGCTGCTGAAGGAGGGCAGCAGTAACCAGCGGGTGTTTGAGTGGATCGAGGTACGTGGGGGGCCGGGGAGCGCCGCAGCGAGCCTGCACCTCGGGCCACGGTCCAGGACTTACACTCCGTCTGTTTCCCCCGACCAGGCCAACCTGAGCGAGCAGCAGGTCGCATCCAACACGTTAGTCCGCGCCCTCATGACGACGGTCTGCTACTCCGCGATCCTCTGTAAGGGGGGCCTGGCGCGCCTGGGCAGGGAGGGGGATCTGGGGCGCCCCTGCCGGCCGAGGACACGCCCGCTGACCCTGTCTTTCCTCCCACAGTTGAGACGCCCCTCAAAATCGATGTCTCGGTGCTGAAGATGCGAGCGAAACTACTACAGAAGTACCTGTGTGACGAGCAGAAGGAGCTGCAGGCGCTCTATGCCCTCCAGGCCCTTGTAGTGACCTTAGAACAGCCTGCCAGTAAGAACAGGGCTGGGGGAGGGGAGGCGTCGTGGAAGGTGCCACCTCAAAGGGGGGTGGCCCCTGGAGAAGCACGGCTCCCTTATTCGGTGACTGGTCGGCTCTCTGCTGCCGGGAGCGCAGGGGTGGTAGTCGCTGACTCCTTCCGGGTGTGGACTGCCCCACTTGGGCCCAGATGCTCTCCTTCCCTGGCCTCATGGGGCCCATTTTCGTGTTCCTGCGGGTCACTGCGGTTATCCCTTTCCCAGAACGGGGACAGAGACGTGGGTTACCTGTTCCTGAGATGCGCCTTCAGGGCACTAAGGGAAATGTTGAGCGCTGATCCCCTCTTGGGTGTGGAGCAGGGATGGAGGGAACACGGGTGGCCTGGTGGGTGCTCTCCAGAAGGTCGTGCACGGCGGGAGTTCTGTGGCACTGGAGGGGGAGGGGGGCGTTGGAAGCAGCCTGCGTCCAGGAGGGCCTGTGGCAGAGCACGGCTGAGGGAGGTGGGCTGGGTAGCAGAGTTGCATCTTAAGCCCGGAGTTTAAAAATTGTACGTTTAGTTCATCCTGGCCTTTGCACGCACTGCATCAGGCAGGCCTGGGAGCGAGAGTAGGTCCGCCCCTTCCATGTGAAGGGGATGTGTCATCCCTAGGGAACCTCATGGGGCGGGGGCTGGTTGGGGTTTTGTTTCCTTAGTTTGTGAATGTATTTTGGGGGTGGGTGAACGGGAATATTCAGGGTCAGCAGATGAGGGTGGGGTTGGGAATGGGAGCAGCTCTGCTGCTGGCTCTGGAGGTGGGAGAGGAGGCGGCGGATCACAGACGCTGGTCTGGGGGTAGCGGTGGGGGAACAGAAGCCGTGGGTGTCCGGGACGAGTGTGCGGCAGACAGGGTGGCTGTGCGGTGCCATCTCTGGGTGGAAGCCACTCTGCGTTAAGCTGCACCGTGGGCATTTTGTGTTCGCATTCCCCGGCGGAGGCAACAGGGAATGCCAGGTCGCTGCTGGGCGTCTAGGTTCATTTAGAGGTCAGAGGTTGGAGACCGGTCGGCCTAGCTGGCACAGGTAGCGCATCACAAGGGGACCTGGGATTGCCTCGGGGGTGCTGGAGGTAGAGACCAAAATGAATGGCGGGCTGTGGCGCCTCAGCCAGGGTAGTAGCCGTTCACACAAGACTGCCTGGGAGTGCCTGGAGAACAGATCGGAGTGTTTCCAAGCGTGGAGGTCGGGCGGGAGGACGTGGTAGGCATGCTGAGGGCCTGGGTTCAGTCTCCGGCGCAGCTGTGGTGGGTATGACCCAAAAAATGGAGGCACCCCTCTCCTTCAGCAGACCAACTGTCTGGTGGGGCACGGGGCAGAATCTGGATTGGAAAGGACTAAGTAGTAATACTGAGACAGGAAGAAAGAAGAACAGTAAGTGGAGACAAAAATCTTTGAGTTCAATTAATCTCTTGTCGAAAGACAAAAATCTTTTGTTTGGCTATAAATAATAGTGGTTGTAATAAGGCCTTTTGTGTTTGGATGAGAGAAACTCGAGCTTGAAAATAGAAGGCAGAGTGGATGATGGATTGCTCAGGGTCCCCAAAGCAGCCGTGGCCGTGGGATTTTGGTGTTAATGAGCACAGGCTTAGTGGAAACCCCGGCGAGTTTGGTGTAAACCCCAACATTGTGGGCTGGGGCTGAGAGACCTCTTAAAAGCGACTGTGAATTTGAGGGCGTGCCCTGAGGAACATTGTGGCTTATTCCTGCCCGGAGACATCCCCGAGTGTGTCCCCCTGGCCTGGATTCCACATTCACTCCCCGTGTTTAGTACGAGCCTTTGCTTTTGGGAGGACCCACAGTGCTGTGTGGGCAGTGGCGTGGGTTTGGCTCAGAGGCTCAGGGGACAAGTGCTCAGGAAGACTGCTGGGCAGCCAGGAAGGCAGGGGTGGGCAACACAGGGGCAGAGTGGGGGGTGGTGTGAAGGATGTTCCTGCCACTGGGATAGGGCTCGAGGCGGGGTGGGTGAGGACCCTGGGACCAGGGCTTGTCAGGATCTGCAGGGGGGTCAGAGGATGTGGCAAGCTGGTCCACCGTGACGTCTGTGTGACAAGCTGCGATTTCTGGAGTGCTCGAGCCCTAACGCAGCAGGTGCTGCCTGTCACTGGCCCCTTCCGATTCATAATATCACGTTGTCATCTGAAGCTGCTGAGGCGCGAGCCTTGGGGTGGGCGTGAGGGTTGACCAGATGACTCACCCCTGCACACCAGCCTCTGGGATCATGAGGTTGGCTTCCTGTTGGAGATCTGGGAACTGGAATGGTCAGGCGCTGGGATGCTGGCCTGGTGTTTGCAGCGGGACCTGGGGGAGGGGGGCCCTGGGGCATGTGCCCGCCCGGCCTCTTAACTGCCGTCCTTTGCAGACCTGCTTCGGATGTTCTTCGACGCGCTATATGACGAGGATGTGGTGAAGGAGGACGCCTTCTACAGCTGGGAGAGCAGCAAGGACCCTGCTGAGCAGCAGGGCAAGGGCGTGGCCCTTAAATCTGTCACAGCCTTCTTCAAGTGGCTTCGTGAGGCAGATGAGGAGGAGTCTGACCACAACTGAGGGCGGGTGGGGCCGGGGCCCGGCGCCCCATGGACACTCGATGGCCCGGCCAGCCGCCTGGACTGCAGGGGGTGGGGGTGGCAGCAGCGGCGGCGGCGGCGGCAGTGGGTGCCTGTAGTGGAATGTGTCTGAGCTAATAAAGTGGCTGAAGAGGCAGGATGGCTTGGGCTGCCAGGTGTCCCCCTCCTCCCCCGGGGCACAGAGATATATTATATATAAAGTCTTGAAATTTGGTGTGTCTTGGGGGGCAGGGGGGCACCACCGCCTGCCCCTGGGGTCCTTTTTTATTTTCTGAAAATCACTCATGGGACTGCCGTCCTCGCTGCTGGGGGCATATGCCCCAGCCCCTGCACCCCCCCTGCTGCCTGGGCAGGGGGAAGGGGGGGCACGGTGCCTGTAATTATTAAACATGAATTCAATTAAGCTCACTGCCTCGTGCTTGCTTCGTGGCTGATCCCTCTGGAGGAAGGGGCTTGTCTGGGCGGGCGGGAGGGCGTCCTTACAGACCCCTGCACTCTGGGAGGGACCCGGACTTGCTTCGAACTGAATGACCATGACTTCAGAGGCCTGGGGCCTTTTCCCGGGAGGTTTGGGGCCTGGAACTGGGTCAAAGGGGGTGACCTACAGGACTGCCCTGTAGTTGGGTGTGGAGGAGGAGACCGGCTTGCACCTGCGGAGAGCTGGCCGGGCCCCTGCTGGAGGAGGAGGAGAAGCATCCCCGAGGAGCCCCGGCCGGGTCCGGGCCCCCCCGCCCAGCCGGGGGAGCCTTCTCCGAGCCACCCTGCTGGGTGACGTGGCCGGCCCCGCCCGCCGCGGGTGGTGACGCGGTGGCCACGCCCCGCGCTGACGTCACCGGCCCGGTTCCCTCTCCGGGGAGCGGAGGCGGAGGCGGACGCGGCGCGCACCCCCTCCTCCCCGCGGGCGGGCTCTCCCCTCCCCGCCGGTGGCCGTGGCCCGACCCTCTGCGAGACGATGGCCCGGGCCTCGTGGCCCAGCGCGGGCTAGCGCCCCTGGCCATGGGCTGCGTCGGCTCGCGGAGCCCGGCGGGTCAGGGTAAGAAGCGGAGGCCGGGCACGGGCTGGGCAGTCGGGCCGCGGGAGCCCGGCCGGAGCGCGGGCCGCGGCGGGCGGGGGGCCTTGAGGCAGGGGCCGGTGTCGAGAGGGAGGAGCCTGCGCCGGGGAGGCGGGCCAGGCCCGAGCCGGGCGCGGCGGGCGCGAGGAGGGGGCTAGACCCGCTCGGTTTCGCTCCCGGGGCCTGCTTGCTGCTGCGGGTGCGCGCCGTGGGCTGGGCCGCCCGCATCGCCACCGCCGAGGGTGGCAAGAGGCGCACAGGCCGGGAGGGGCCCTCTCCGCGCTCCCGCCCACGGCCGGTGGCCTTGCATGCCCCCCCCACCCCCCCCAGCTCCCTCTTCCTGCACCTCTGCCAGTCCGGGAAGTGGCCCTGCGCTCGCAACCTGCCAGCCCCGGGCTGTGTGTGTCTCAACCCCGGTCAAGGGGGGTAGCCTGCAAACCGGCTAAGCACCACCGCGGAGTTGCCGCCTAACACAACCCCCTTCAGAGTCAGCTGCCTGCTGGAGAGGGAGGGAGGCCACTTTTGGGGCACCTGTGAGTCTCTGAGTTTCTCACCTCTTACGACTCTTAAGTGTCCCTCCCCTAACCCAGACAAATCCCCCACCCCACCCCTGGCCCCCTGGAGACAGACCTAGTGGGAAGCCAGGGGATGATGCCCAGGGATGGTGCTGTATGCTAGGCCTGGCCTCTGGCCACGCATCTGAAGGCCAGCAGCTAGCTCTCCCTTCATGTCAGGAAATTCGGCAAGCCCGAGTAAGGCCATCCAGGGGCTTGTGATGGCGAAGTGTGGGCTGGCGATGTTTTCAGGACACGAGGTCAGCCACACAGGACTTAGTGCCATTAGTACTTGAGGTTCTTGGAGTTCAGAGTCCAGCTGAGAGCTGTACTTTTCCTAGGGCTCCCATGAGGAACTCTGGGATGTCTAGTGTAGTTTTTAAATTAACCTCACAGTTTTTTTGGTGGTTTTTTTTGTTTGCGCCCCCCCCCTTCGCCGGTTTTGGGGTCACACCTGGTGGTGCTCAGGGGTTACTCCTGGCTCTGCTCTCTAGGATAACTCCTGGTGGGGCTCAGGACACTATGGGATTTTGGGGATTGAACCCAGGTCGGTCACTTGCAAGTCAAATGCCCTGCCTGCTTGGCTTTTTTTTTTCTTTTTTTTGGGTCACATCTGGCGATGCGCAGGGGTTACTCCTGGCTCTGCACTCAAGAATTACTCCTGGCGGTGCTCAGGGGACCATATGGGATGCTGGGAATCAAACCCGGGTTGGCCAGGTGCAAGGCAAACAAACACCCTACCCGCTGTGCTATTGCTCCAGCCCATTGGTGTTTTTCTTTGTTTGCCCCACCCAACCCCCCCGCCCTGGTTTTGGGTCCACACCTGGTAGTGCTCAGGGGTTACTCCTGGCTCTGCACTCTAGGATTACTCCTGGTGGGGCTCAGGGCACTATGGGATTTTGGGGATTGAACCCAGGTCGGTCACGTGCAAGTCAACAGCCCTGCCTGCTTGGCTTTTGTGTTTTTCTTTTTTTTGGGTCACACCCGGCGATGCACAGGGGTTACTCCTGGCTCTGCACTCAAGAATTACTCCTGGTGGTGCTCAGGGACCATATATATATATATTGGGGATCGAACCTGGGTCGGCCGCATGCAAGACACATGCCCTACCCGCTTTACTATCGCTTCAGCCCGTCATTAACTTCTTTTTTTTTTCTTTTTGGGTTCCATCCAGCGATGCACAGGGGTTCCTCCTGGCTCATGCACTCAGGAATTACCCCTGGCGGTGCTCGGGGGACCATATGGGATGCTGGGAATCGGACCCGGGCCGGCCGTGTGCAAGGCAAACTCCCTACCTGCTGTGCTATCGCTCCAGCCCTCCCTCATTGGCATTTTTTTTTTTTTTTTGCTTTTTTGGTTACACCTGGAGATGTACAGGGGTTCCTCCTGGCTCATGCACTCAGGAATTTCCCCTGATGGTGCTTGGGGGACCATATGGGATGCTGGGAATCGAACCCGGGCCCTCCGCGTGCAAGGCAAACTCCCTACCTGCTGTGCTATTGCACCAGCCCTCCCTCATTGGCTTTTGAAGCTGAGAGTCCCCGTGGGTGGTGTTGATCCCTCTGGCCTTGCTAAAGCTTGGAGTTGTGGGAGTCATTCCCTCCTGTGGTCAGCAGAGAGTTAGGCTGACCTCAGGATTGGCTTCAGGAGCCTTGGTTAGGTGCTCGCTGGGAGCCCGGGATGGCCCGTAACCTCGTGTCTTCCTTCTGGCCGGTAGCATTTCTGGGGACCACCAACTGGCCGCGGCTCTGGGACAGAGACGGCTGCTCCAGCTAAAGGTCAGTTGTGTTATACCTACCCGTCAGCACGTCTAGCAGCCAGGGCCTCAGCTTCCTGCGCTGCAGAGAGCTGGCTGCGCCTCTTGGTGCTCCCACCTCCTCAAAGCCATGAGGCAAGAGTGTTCTCCTTCTGTGACTAGGCACGGGTTCCAAGTGGGGAGGGGACTGGCTCAGCATCCGGAGCCAAAATAGGAATAGAACTGGGAGCTGAGCCGGGAGCAGTGCTGGGCTTTTGGTTCTCCGCATCGACGCAGCCAGCATGCCTATGATTTCTGTGCTGGGCAAAATGTTTCTGTGGCAGCGCGAAGGGCCCGGAGGACGATGGACTTGTCAGACAAGTCGTCGAGGTGAGACCAGGCACGGTGGATGCTGTCTGGGAGGTGTTGGGAAGCTGAGGGGGAAGGATGTTTAGGGGGTCAAGAGGAAAATTACCCGGTTGGCTCTCGGGCACCGGACTGGAACTGGGCAGGGGACCCAAAATCAGCCTTAGGAGTTGGGATGCGGGTGGTGGTGGTAGAAGCAGGAGAAATCATGGGTTTGTGGGAAAAGAAAGGAGAAGTGTGGGCTGGGAGTAGAGACCCCGGAGAAAGCAGACAGCGATTCTGCCTGAGGGTGCTGAGGGCATAGTACTGTCTGTGCCCGCCCAGCGGAAAGGGGAGACAGCCCCGTGGGAGACCAGAACTGCACCCACTTTGATGTTTCATCCCCAGAGTTTTGTTGAGCAAATGTGTCCAGAGGGGAAACGGTGGCCACCGCTGGGGAGGCCACCAGTGACCCCCCAGGAGCCGGAAGGTCAGGGCAGGAGTCTGGAGGGACTTTGCCAGGCGTGGAGCACCAGGTGGTCGCTATTAGCCTGGGCGGAGGGGCCGGTGACAGGGGCCGTTGTCGAGTCGGGAGGCGCAGCTGAAACCACCTTTCCCCCCACCCCTCAGTGGCCGCGGACCCCGCGTGGGCTGTGGAGTGGATCGAACTTCCTCGGGGCATTTCCCTCTCCTCCTTGGGATCCGCTCGGACCCTGCGAGGCTGGAGCAGCTCCTCCCGCCCTTCCTCCGTGGACAGCCAAGACTTGCCAGAGGTGCGGGACTCCGGGTGTCGGCAGGGGGCCGGTGTGTGTGTGGTGGGGGGGAAGCAGAGGCAGGGAGAGGGGGTCGGCCGCCCCTACCCCCGCGCCTGTTCCTGCGGGAGCGGAGGCGCTATCCGGACGCGGGCCCGCACAGGGCCGCCCCCGCGCCGGTCTGCTCCGCTCGGCGCCGCGCCAGCGGGCGGGCGGGCTCGCGCCTCGGGCGCTGACGTCAGCGCATCCCGGGCCGTATCCCGGGAGACCCTGTTGCATGGTGATGGGTTGCCAGGGAGACATACACCTTTTTCTCTGGGTCTGGGCCGCAGCTGCGCGGAGCGCGCCCGCACGGATGGCGGTGGGGGGGAGCCTGGAAACACCCAGCAGGGGCTCCTCCCCCCAGGCCCGGCCCGGAAGCTTCCCGCGCCACCCTGGGGGCCCCGTTAGCCAGGTACGGGGGGGTGGGGGGGGACCGCGGGTGGGCTGGCTGGCGGAGGGTGAGGACGGGAAGGATGCAGGCGAGCGATGCCATGGAGCATCCGCGCGGCGCCGGGCGGACGGGGCCGGCGGGTGCATCCTCCCGCTTCATTCATTCCCGCAGAGAAGCGCAGCCCGGCCACCCCAGCAGGGGGGCGTGGAGAGGCCCCCAGGCGAGGCCCACTCAGGCCTGCCTGGAAGCGAACCCTTGGAGGGCCCCCTGAGTCAGGCCTGAAGCGGCCGGGCGCGTTTGGTTGGGCTGAGATGGCCTGCTTAGCCCAAGGGGAATCCGGGTGCCTTTGCTGACCGGGAGGAGGAGAGGGGCTTGATTGGCAGTGGGGGCTGGCGGGGCGGGGGGCGTCCAGGCCCGCGGGAGAGGAGGCAGAGCTTTGCTGTTCCCAACTCATTGGAGAGCCAAGGAGCCCCCGGCCAGATTTCCACCCGGGGATGTTGCGAGCAGCCGCTGCACTCCAGGAAAATTATTTGTTTACATTCCGACCTTCACCTCCCTTGGGCCGCCAATGTGTTTGGGGAGATTAGTGGGGATTCGGCGCTGTACTCCACATTGGGGAGCAGTGGTGACCAAAAAAAAAAGAAAGAAAATTCTCCAAGAGCTAAAAGCCTGGTAAGAGAGAAGGAAACAGGACAGAGGCCTTCCCCACACATGGGGTCCAGAGGGGGCCGGCAGCAGCTGACATGAGGGCAGCAGGGGATAGGATGGATGCCTGGGAGGGGGGCCAGAGAGCCTCCTTGGAGGGACCAATCTCTCAGCCCAGACCCCCAAGATGACAGAGAGCCTCGGGGGAGAGAAAAGGGCCCAGGGCCTTGAGGAAGGACAGGGCAGTGGACACAGAAAGAAAGCGGATGGGAGGCCTTTGGGGGTGGGGTTATTAGGTCTTTTTGTTTATTTGGCGGTTTGGGCCACACCTGGTACTGCCTAGGGGCCCTACTCCTGGCTCAGTGTTTGGGGGTCACTCCCAGTGGGGCTCAGGGTGGCCACAGGCCTCCTGCTATGGACCCTCCGCCCCTTAGCGCTCCATTCAGCCTGGTCTCCATGGCTCTGGGCGAGCCAAGCGCTTCAGGGGAGCGGGTGGTGGTGTTGGAGTTTGGAGTCAGGCTACCTGGGAGAAGTCCGGGAGATGCAGAGGGAGGAGGGAGGGCGGGAAGAGGTGGTGGTCTGGGCTGTCACCCTGGCTCTTGATGCCACTAGAGGGTGGTTATGAGCCCCCAGAGGAGAGTGGCCACAGAGGCCAAACCCTCCCTCGCCCTGCCTTATCCCCTCCTCATCCTTCCTCCTCTCCTCTCCTCTCCTCTCCTCTCCTCTCCTCTCCTCTCCCCTCCCCTCCCCTCCCCTTCCCTCCCCTCCCCTCCCCTCCCCTCTCAGCCTGGTGCTTGGTCCTTTGCCCTCTCACCAGTCCCTTTCCCTCGGGGTGGGGAGGTGGTAGGTCAGCATAGCCCATTTCGGGGCTCCTTCCCCTGGTCTGGATAAGGGGACCCACCCTGGCCACACACACAAATCCCCGCCCCCCATCCCCGCTGTTTCATCACTGGCTGGGTGCGGTGGTCTGGGGCACTGCTTGAAGCCCTGATGCCGTCGCCTAGGTGAATGTTGGAGACAGAGTCGCGATGCTGCCCAAGTCACGGAGGGCCTTGACTATCCAGGAGATCGCTGCGCTGGCCAGATCCTCCCTGCACGGTACGCGCTGCCCTGCGCACGGCCCCTGGCGGTCGGGGCCAGGCCCTTGTCTTTTTCTTTCCTTTTGCGGCTCTTGATGGCAGTTGTTCCAGGGCTCTGCTGGCCGCCGGGTGGGGGTTAGTTGTCTCCTGGACCGCGCGCTTCCGGGAATGATGGAATCCAGCCTTCAAGCATGCAGATCCTGGGCTCGGCACTGAGCCGCCAGCCCCCCCCCCCCCCCCCCCCCCCCCGCCCCGCATTTCCCTTTTCTTGCTTTTCTCAGATGGCCCCCGTTGGTCTCCTCCTGGGAGCCGCGGGTGGGCGCCTGTGGCTCCCTCCTGCCACCTTCCCTTGCTCTCAGATGCCCCCTGGCCCGCCGTGTTCTCACCTGGCTTCCTCCCTCGCCCCTCCCCCAGGTATTTCCCAGGTGGTGAAGGACCACGTGACCAAGCCCACCGCCATGGCGCAGGGCCGAGTGGCGCATCTTATTGAGTGGAAGGGCTGGAGCAAGCCCAGCGACTCCCCCGGCTGCCCTGGAGTCGGCGTTTTCCTCCTACTCGGACCTGAGCGAGGGGGAGCAGGAGGCCCGCTTTGCGGCAGGTGGGTGGGTGGGGGTTTAGCGTGATGCCCCTCAATTTGGGCCTAAAGCAGTGGGGCTGGGGGTGCTGTCTCCCTCCTGGCTGACGCATCCCGTGCCCTCTCTTGACAGGGGTAGCTGAGCAATTTGCCATCGCAGAAGCCAAGCTCCGGGCCTGGTCTTCGGTGGATGGTGAGGACTCCACCGACGAGTCCTACGATGAAGATTACGCTGGAACTGACTCAGGTGAGGGGCCTTCCGGTGAGGGCCCAGCCTCTGGCAGGGGAACTCCAGGCCAGCCATGGGGGCCAGCGCATAGCTCAGCAGGAGGATGAGTTTTTGGAATTAGATCTCCGGCACTCTAGCAAACACAAGTGGACTCGGGGCTGGAGCGATAGTACAGCCTTGCACGTGGCCGGCCCAGGTTCCATCCCAGTCATCCCATAGAGTCCCCCGAGCACTGCCAGGAGTAATCCCTGAGCATCACTGGGTGTGGCAAAACCAAATGGACCAGAGAGTGAGTCCAGGGGTTAAGGTACTTGTCTTACAGTCAACTCACCCCGTTCCATCCCCAGCACTGCCTATGGTCCTCTGAGCACCTCTGGGGTTCACTCCTGAGTGCAGCGCTAGGAGTAGCCCACGAGCACTCCTGGGTGTGACCTCCAAATACAGAACAAAGCAGAATGTCCTCAGCCTTTGGAAAGACAGGTGAGGGACCAGTCTTGCCTGAGGTGGGTGTAAGGGTTCAGAGAGCTCCTACATCAGGGCACTTGCCTTGCACACAGCCAACTCAGGCTCTATCCTCATCATCCCATATGGTCCTCTGAGCCCTGCCTGGAGCCATCGCTGAATGCAGAGCCAGGAGTCAGCCTTGAGCACTCCCTGTTATGGCCCACAAACAAACAAAATTTTTTTTTTTTTTTTGCTTTTTGGGTCACACCCGGCAATGCACAGGGGTTACTCTCCTGGCTCTACACTCAGGAATTACTCCTGGCGGTGCTCAGGGGACCATACGGGATGCTGGGAATTGAACCTGCGTAGACCACGTGCAAGGCAAACACCCTACCCGCTGTGCTATCGCTCCAGCTCCCCAAAAATATATTTTAAAGGAAAAGAAGTTGGAGAGATAGTACAACAGGAAGGGTGCTTGCCTTGCATGCGGCCAACTTGGGCTCCATCCCAGACATCCTGTATAGCCCCCGGAGCACCACCAGGAGTATTTCCTGAGCTTCGCCGATGTGGCCCCAAAACAAAAAGAAAAAGAAAAAAGAAAAGGAAGAAGCCCCTAAATGGGTAATATGCCCCTGAGGGGCAACTGGAATGATGGGGGGATAAGGTGGTCGTAGCCCTAAGTGCCCTCGCAGGGTCCTTTGTTGGTTGGCTCAGAGAAGGTCGATTTTAGCAGGAGGAGAGGCCAAGGGTTGGAGCGTAGCCTTTGCATGCAGAAGCCTGGGTTGACTCTGATCAGTGAGCCAGGAGGAGCCCTCAGGTACTGAAGGTGCTGAGTGATTTTCTTTCTCTTTTTCGGAAAAGGAGGTAGGAGAGGGGGCTGGAGAGATAGCACAGCGGGTAGGGCGTTTGCCTTGCTTGCGGCCAACCCGGGTTCGATTCCCAGCATCCCATATGGTCCCCTGAGCACCGCCAGGAGTAACTCCTGAGTGCAGAGCCAGGAGTAACCCCTGAGCATTGCCGAGTGTGACCCATAAAGCAAAAAAACAAAAACAAAAACAAAAAAACAACAAAAAAAAAGGAGGTAGGAGAATAAGTTTAGGAACCTGTGCTTTAAGATAAACAAAAAAAACTCAACACCCCCCCCCCCCCCCAAAAAAAAAACACCAAAAAACCTCCAGAAAAGGTCCAACAGCCACTCCTGCCTCCGGTGCACTCCGGTGGGGCCGGCCTGGCCTTACCCTGCAGGATAAGCGCCCCACTCCGTGCAGCTGTGTACGCAGCGCGCGCGCGCCCGTGGCCCCCAGGTGCGCGGGCTCCCACCACGCAGCTTTGCGGCGCAGCCAAGACCCTCCTGTGGGCCGCCTGGGCCGAGCGCGCAGCTGTGCTCGGCGCCTTTCATCTCCCTTCCCCGACCCCAGGCCTGACTTTCTCTGCAGGTTCCGGGCTCCGCCCCCGCAGGCTTTCATCCTTTCCGCCCCCCCACATATGACGACGGCTCTCCAGGGCCCTCCCACCCCTGCCCGCCCTTCCAGCCAGTTAACAAGTTCTCCAAGGTGGGCGATGCTTTCTCACACGTGGGAGACGCCAGCTGTGGTCTCGAGGGGCCAGATTATTGGGGGTGCCAGCGCTCCGGATCGCAATGTTCCTGTCTGATTGCGTTCCAGGCCCGTACTGACCCCTGGGCTCGTAGTAACAGCTAACATTTCTCGGAAGGCCGCCGCTAGTGGAACTCCGTGCCAGGGAGGGAGAGGCGCCCCTTGCTAGGACAGGCGACTGGAGGTGGTGGAGAGGGCGAGAGAGAGGGCTAAGGGCACTCCCGCTCCTTCCCTTGGGCAGCAGAGAACTGGGCCACGAGTTGGACCACCTCCGCATTTGCTTCCTTTTGGGAGGGAGGGAGGGGCACACCCGCCTGGGCTCCGGGCTTACTCCTGGCTCTGTGCTCGGGAATCACTCCTGATAGGGCTCTGGGGACCACTTGGGATTCCAGGGATTGAACCAGGTCAGCCGCGCAGAAGGCAAGCGTCCTGCCTGCTGTACTATGTCTCTGGCCCAGCTGCCTTTTTTTTTTTTGTGTGTGTGTGTGTGGGGGGGGGGTCATACCCGATGATGCACAGGGGTTCCTCCTGGCTCATGCACTCAGGAATCACTCCTGGCGGTGCTCGGGGGACCCTATTGGATGCTGGGAATCGAACCAGGGTCTGCCGCGTGCAAGGCAAATGCCCTCCCCGCTGTGCTATTACTCCAGCCCCTTGTTTTCGCCTTTTTTATTCCACACCTGGCAGAGCTGAGGGTTTACTCCTGCTTCTGTGCGCGGTGATCACTCCTGGTGGTGCTCAAGGGACTGTGGGGGGTTCCGGGGATCGAAGCCGGGTCAGCCCTTCCTGCAGTCCGGTCCCTCCGGTCCTAGCTTGTCTTCTTTTGTGACGGGGAGGGGGAACTCCGCGTGGTGCTCAGGGGGCCTCGTGGCCTCGTGCATGCATGCGCGGCTGCCCTGGGCGTGACTTGCCCACCTCCTCACCCTTGAGGGACCCTTTCCAGGCCACCAGCTTCAACTCCCAGTGCGGCACCCGCGAGGAAACAAACGGAGCACAGAGGCTGCTCCTCTCCGCTGGGCCGAGGGACCCGGCTTCTGGCCGGCCAGCAGAGATGGCGCTAAAGGACCTCCCCTCTCCCCCACAGAGCTGGCGGGGCAGCTGCCGCTGGGTGCCCACCTCCAGGACCTCTTCAGTGGCCACCGGTTCTCCCGGCCTCTGCGCCAGGGCTCGGTGGAGCCCGAGAGCGACTGCTCGCAGACCGTGTCCCCGGACACCCTGTGCTCGAGTCTCTGCAGCCTGGAGGACGGGTTGCTGGGCTCCCCGGCCCGGCTGGCCTCTCAGCTGCTGGGCCAAGAGCTGCTCCTCGCCCAGCTGCCCCCAAGCCGGGAAAGTGCCTTCCGCAACCTGGGTCCCCTGGAGGCCCAGGACTCCCTCTACGGTTCCCCGCCCATGGAGTCCTGCCTGTCCCCTGCAGAGGAGGAGGAGGAGGCAGCGGCGGCGGCCGCCCCCTGCGAGGACTGCGGGCCACTGCGCCCTGCGTGGGAACGGCAGCGGCAAACCTCCGATGTGGCTTCTTCCGGGGTGGTGTCCTTGAATGAGGATGAGGCGGAGCCGGACCAACAGTGACCCTCGCCCCGCCCGCCCGGTGACGGGACGGCCTCAGCCCCTGCTGGGGGCAGAGCCTCCGTGGCCAGGGTGGCCGACACGGGCGACGGGGCCGCCAGCAGAGGTCCCAAGCCTGGAGGCTCCCGGGAGCACTCACTCTTCTGTTGTGTGTCTTTGCATGATCGTGTCGCGGGAGGAGGCCGGGGGCCGGGCTGGGGGCGCATGTCCTGCCCCCAACTCCAGGGCTTTGCTGGAGCTCGCCCGGGGGCCCCGGAGCAGAGATGGCGCCAGCTGTGGCAGACGGCAGTGATGTTCATGTTCCTAAATCAAGAATCGTCACAGACACGGTTTCTTCCTCGGACGATGTGAATCCCGGAAGGGCGGCGGTGATGGCCTGGGGCTGTGTGTGTGGGAGGGGCAGGGGGTGTTTGGGGAGAGGGAACCCGACCCCCCTGTGCCCACCCCACGCCCCTCTCCTCTGCTGCTCTCACCTCCCATCTGTCCGTGTGCAGTGATTGATCTCACCCCTCACCCCAGCCCCCTGCCCAGCCAGGCTTGTGCTGTGCGTCCCCTCACCATCATCTCTAAATCTTTTCTTTTTCCGAAAGAAAGAGGGGGTTTGGGTCTGTTCTTCCAGTCGCATCTTCCCTGGCAGGCATCGGCATGACAGAAATCTGTGCCCTGCACCCTTTCCCTGGCCCCGCTGGAGGGAGGGGAGGGGGGCGGGGGTGTGTGTGGGGGGCTGGGTCCTTCCCCAGTCCCCTGGTCCTGTATCTCCAGGGTGGACCCAGAAATTGCTGCAGAGCTGGGGCTTGGGTGTGCTGCTCGAGACGGCCACTAGGGGGCCCTCCTGGGCTGCTGCTGTCCCACTCGGGGCAGGAATGGTGCCAATGAGTGAGTCCAGAGGGAGGAACTCTCTGGGGAGGAAAGAGGTTAGTGCCTTTCTCGGCTGAACAAAAAGGCCAAAGCTACCGTCCTGGGGCGGGGCAGGGGGAGGGGGGAGCCTCCGCCCCAGGCAGGGTGTTGGTGATGAATCAGTGGAGGCCTCCGCAGATTCAAAGTTTTTCTGGAACCCCCGGGACCCCGGAGTTGTAGGGCTGGGGGTGGCCCCGAGGGTAGCTGCAGGATTCGGAGCCCTGTAGACTTTGGCAGGTAAGAACAAGAGCTGATGGGCACAGACATTCTATATATAAGTGGCTCATTAGGTGTTTATTTTGTTCTATTTAAGAATTTGTTTTATTAAATTAATATAAAAATCTTTGTAAATCTCTATATACATCTGCTCATTGGAGGTTCCAGTATAAACCCATCCTAGTTCTCTCCCCGCCCCCCTCAAAGTGGAGGGCAGGGGGGTGGTCCGGTCACCCCACCCCTCCCAGCTAGGACACTTGATTTCCTGCCGCTGGGGTGCTGCGGTGGGTTCCAGGCAGAGTGAACTGGGAGGAGCAGCATCCCCTGGTCTGGACGGGCGCGGTGGGCAGTGGGGGGGGCTCAGCCTCCGAGAGCTGCATGCCCTTGGCAGAGGGGCCCGTGGTGTGGCACGGCGGGGCTGCTCACTGGCACTTGTCGTCGCTGTCAGAGGGGCTGCCTTCCCGGGGGAGCCCGTGGCGGGAGCGGGGCCCCCAGAGCGCATGCACCTCAGTGGTCTCTGTGTCGCTGCTGCTGGTGGCACTGTCCCGGAAGCTGGCCAGAGGTGGCCGGACCTTCACGCCCTGGGCTGTGACAGAGCCCTCAATGGCCTTCCGGAGCTGTGAAGCGGCAGGGAGAAGAGGGTGAGAGATGCTCCCCCCCCCCCCACTACCCTAACCCAGGGACAGACTCCGGGTGCGGCCCGGGAAGGGGCCCTCAGGGTCCTCTCACCTCCTTGAGGGTGACGATGCCGATGAGTCGGCCGATGCTGGTGACGTAAGCGTGGTCCACTCCCAGCAGTGAGAAGATGGTGTGTGTCTGCGGGCGGGCGGGGAGACACAGGGACTTAGAGTGGGGGCCAGGCCAGGCCTGGGGCATGGGCCACCTGGATTCTGCAGGCTGGCCTCCAAGTGGCCAGAGAGTCCGTCTGCTGCTTCCACTGATGGAGGAACAATCGGGCCAGTGAGCCCTGATGTCAGGGGCAAGGCCTGGATGGCGCCCTTCTGTGGGAGCCCTTCACTTCCGCCCTGAGCCCAGGAACGCCCTGCATCCTGAGAACCACACCGAAGGAGTCCAGTTCTGAGAAGGAAGGCGGGAACCCCTCCTTCAGACGCAGCCTGGCCTCGGTGGTGCCTCGTGGGGTCTCAGGACCCTTTTTGTCACAGCCTCGTGAGCCAGTGCTGACACTCATTAGCGGGGGGCAGACTGAGGTGAGGAAGGTACCCCCCCCATGCTGACCAGAATATTATACACACACACACACAGATGCTGACCCGAACTCACACCCCCACAGAGACCCTGGGCTGCTGACCTGAAACACACACACACACACACACACACACACGTTGACTAGAATCTCCGGAATCGATCTATCTCTCTTACACACACACACACACACACACACACACCCAAGATATTGACCGGAATTTCTCTCTCTCTCTCTCTCTCTCTCTCTCTCTCTCACACACACACACACACGATGTTGACTAGAATCTCCGGAATCGATCTATTACACACACACACACACCCAAGATATTGACCGGAATTTCTCTCTCTCTCACACACCCAGGAAGTTGACTGGAATCTCTCGCTCTTACACACACACACACACACACACACACACACACACACACACACACAGAGGCAAACCCCGGGTGTCGACCCGAATCCTGGCCTCGGCCCACATAGTGTTGACACAGGCTTCCAGGCTTCCACCTGTTCCCACTAGCTGTCCACTTTGGTGACCCTTCATCCTGCTCCACTCCCTGGTCTCAGCCTGACGCATCCTGCATGTCTCGGAGCTCGTCTTTGACGGCAGTGAAACCAGGGCTGTGACCAGTGTCTCCCCTCAGTGTCCCCTAAACTTTCTTAAATCATCACCCAGATCTCAGAAAATGCCAGCCAGCTCCCCTTGCATACTCTGTGTTTTTTTGGGGCCAGATGTCTTGAAAAACGTGCTACTGACTCAGCAGTTCCCGGAATTTGGGGCCTATCATTTATCTCACTGTTTGGGGTTTACTTGTAAGCCTCTTGGCTTAATGTTTGAATCAAAATGGGCATTAATAACCCAGCTTCTTGAGTTACTCAGAATTCATTGTAATTGTCTTAACACTTTAAAAATATTTTCTTATACAGGGGCTGAATTCTTTAGGAGTTTCCAGAACTTTCCTAGCTTTTTCTAGCTAGGGCATGATAGGACTTAGAAAAGGAGCTAGAAGTTCAGTTTCAGAGTAAGCTTTTGTGAAGCTGATTTTTTTGTTTGTTTTGGGGCCTCCCCTGGGGTGCTGGGGGCCAGCAGGGTCACACCTGGTAATGCTAGGGAGGTCATGTGTTCCTGGGGGGGGGGGGGGGGAGATAGCAGGAAGGGCGAGAACCAAACCTAGGGCTCTGTGCTTGCCTGCCGTGGGTTCCACACCTCCAGGCGCTGCATCTCTCTGGCCCTTTCGAGTCAGTTTTTTTGTTTTGTTTTGTTTTGGGTGGTACTCCAAGGTTGCTCCTGGCTCTGCACTCAGGAATCATTCCTGACAGTGCTCGGGGGACCATATGGGGTGCCAGGGATTGAACCCATTTGGCATGTGCGGGATAGCATTGTACCTGCGGTACTATCTCTCCAGCCCCTAGCTTTATCTTTTTACGACTTATAATCCCTCATAACTTCTTCCAAGGATTCTTGTAACAGTTTCACTGGAATTTCCCCTTTGCAATCCTTATCAGAGGGAGCTTCTGACATGCTCTATGCCTTTCAGTTTAGTTCTGTTTTTTGGTTTTGGAGCCAAACACAGAGTGCTCAGGGCTTACTCCTGGCTCTGCACTAGGGTCCTTCCTGGCAGGCTCAGGGGACCAAATGGGATGCCAGGGATTGAATCTGGGTTGGCTGCATGCAAGATGAGTGCCCTACTCTCTGCAGTATTGCTCTGATCCTAAAGGTTTTAAGTTTTTGAGCCACACCCAGCAGTGCTCAGAGTTACTCCTGGCTGTTCTTAGACATCGCTCCTGGAGAGCTTGGGGGACCGTATGGGGTTGTCAGGGATCGAATCTGGGTCGGCTGTGTGCAGGGCCAGAGCCCTGGTATAGAGTATAGCCTACCCTAGGACCCTACTTTGGCATACTACTTCCTGCTGCGCGGGCAGTTACCCTGACTTCCTACACACATGGCACCCAACCCACTTTTTCCTTTCTTTTCTTGCTTTGTTTTTTGGGGGCATACCAGACAGTACTCAGGGGCTATTCCTGGTTCTGTGCTTGGGAGTGACCCCCTAGCAGCGCGAGCACCTTATCCCCTGCACTATCTGTCCAGCCCCAGCTCAGGGCTTACTCCTGGCTCTGCACTCAGATATCACCCTTGGCATTGCCCTAGGGACCACCTGCGGGGCAGGAGCAGTGAACCCGGGCAGGCTGCCTGCAAGGCCAGAGACTTAACCCCTGTCCTATCTCTCTGGCCCCCCAACCTACTTTTTGAGCACCCCAATACTCCGGTGGGGCCACTTTCCTCTAGCTTGGCTTTGCCATCTTTCTCTGACTTGACTCAGGCCAGAAGGGGCCCAGCAACCTCTGGCCAAGCCTGCCCAGTTACTTTTTCAGCTCCAGCAGGACCCAGCCCCCTGCCGACTGATCACCTACCCGCTCCTGCTAACATGCTGGTCTTCACCCCCGAGCCCATTGCTCATCCCCGCACCGAGGTCTCTGGCGTTGGGTGGGTCTATGGCATCCAGGCAAACTGCTGACTGCGTGCCCAGTTTGAATTCATCTCTCGACTTCCTTTCCTCTTCAGAAAACCCTCAGGGCTTCCCATGACCCCCTTTAATAGATAAACCAGAGGGGTGAGGAACCGTGCCAAGGTTACCTGGTTAGTTGACCGCTGGGGATGGAGACCTGGGCTCAGCCCGTGGGGCACAGAGTCCGCACAAGAGCAAGCTGGCTGCCGGCATGGTGTACCCCAGCAGCACAGGCTCCTAAGCCTTCGTCTGCCCCTCGGAAGGTCCCCCTCTGGCATTTAATGGGGCTACTCCTATTGATTCTTCAGGCCTGCAAGGACATTCTGCATTTCTAATCTTTCATGGCTTATCGCTGGCAGCTCTTTGTACCTTTGTTAGTCGGTTCCTCAAAGACTTTTTTCTCTTCCTCTTATTTTTAACTTTGTAACAAACACCGACTTTGTTCGTTGGCCCGTTAATTTAATGAGACACCAGGGAGTCGGCTGGAAGGTCGACACTTCTCAGGCTTGGGAACAGAGAATTGACAAGGAGAGGGACAACGTGGCCTTCTAAAAGAGCCTCGGTCCCCGGTCAGGGAGTCTGGACTCCCGGCCTGACCCTGCTGCACTAATTCAGCCTAGTGACCTCCGTGCTGCCTCAGTTTCCCAGCGTCATAAACTGGCCACATTCACAGACTCGGTAGAGTCAGACCATCTTGGATTCCAGCCCAGGTTTGCTGCTTACCAGCTGGGTGACCTTGGGCAACTTGCTTAACCTCTCTGAATCTACAAGTCCTCACGTAGAAAAACTCCCGTGCCGTGCAGCAGGTGTGAGGACTAAATTAAGCACGTGAAGTGATTAGCCCAGCCCAGTGCCTGGCACCTAGCAGGCACCAAGAAAAAAAAAAGTGCCCCATCATCGTCATCATCATCATGGGATCTGTGAGGACTAAGAAAGATGTCCCCTGCAGAAGAGGGTTAGCGGTCTCAGAAAGATTTTCCATAAAAGCCCAAGTTTATTATTATTATTATTATTATTATTGTAATTATTCTGGATATGAGCACCTGCAAGGTGTGAGCTTTGCCACTGAACCACATGACTGTCCCTTGGCCCAATGTCTTATCAGGTCTCCTTTCTCCTTCCTGTTTTGTTTTTGGGGCCACACCGGGTGGTGCTCAGGGGACCATATGGGGTGCCGGGGATCAAACCTGGGTCAGCTGTGTACAAGACAAGTGCCCTCCCCGCTCTGTGACTGCTCCTGCCCCCTCCTTTCTGTGAGGGTCTTGCAGTGCTGGGACCCTACGGGGTGCCAGGGATCCCCCATGGAGACAGTCTCCCACTTGCTTCCAGCCCTGCCCTTTGCCTGATCTTATATGTTCTCTTTTGTTTTGGGGATCTCATTGGGCAATGCTCAGGGACCTCTCCTGCCTCCATGCATGGGGGCTTCTCTCGGTGGTAGTCCAGGAAACTTGTGGTACCAGGGATCGACCTCCTTCACGCAAAGGACCCAGTAAGCCTGCACTCTCTCTGCAGCCTGCCTTCTGCTTTTTTTTGCTCCTTTGTCCCAACCGTTCTGTGAGCCTGTGGGACTTAGACTGGCCCGTGGGCGTAGCTTGAGCTGGGGACCCGGGCCACATCCCCTGCTGCAGTTCTGCCCCCCAAGCCTGCAGGCAAAACTGTCCGAGACTGAACTAAAATGCCCCTTTGGGGACGGGGGCAATAGCACAGCGGGTAGGGTGCTTTCCTTGTGGGCGACCGAGCTGGGTTGATCCCCCAGCATCCCATATGGTCCTCTGAGCACTGCCAGGAGTAATCCATGAGCACTGAGGGATGTGGACCGCAAACCAAAAACCAAAAACCAAAAATAAAAAAAAAAAAAGAAGTGACCTTTGAATATTGCCAGCTCTGGCCCCAAAACTACCCCCCCCAAAATAAAAATCAACAAACCAACAACCCAAAATCAAAACCCAAACAAAACTCCTTTTGGTTTCTTGCCTTTGCTCAGCACTGGAAAGATGTTTTATGATGCAGTCACTTCATCGGGGGCGGCTGGGGTGTCCTCGCAAAGGAGGACACCTCCTCTGCCCTAGGACCCGAGTGTGTGCCCCCCCAAGACCCCTGCACCCCCCTTCCACTCTCCCCTTTCCCTGCCCCTCCCAGCTTGCCTCTGGCCCATATTAAGTCAGACTTTCTGGGGTCTGACATTCCAGACCCCCCACGGGGCGGCTCTCATCTCTGTTTATCTCTTCTCTGCAGGGTCCCCACCCCTACTTGGACGGTGGTTGGCCTGTTTATTAAGATTTCCTTATCCTGCCTGTTTCTCACCCATTTCTTTCCGTGTGGGTGTATCGGCCTTGCTGGGTGCTGGCCGCCTCCCGCCTGTGCTGACCCGAGCGAGGCCTGCTGCTGGCGGCCGGCCAGCTCAGCCCTTTCTCCACTGCTGCTGTGGTCCAGAGTTCCCCGGGGGCCGGGCTGAGTGGAGGAAAGCTGATGCCAGGCTCGCACAGGGAGCAGGAGGAAGCTCGGCACCCCAGCTCCGAGCCTCCCAGGGTTGCGCGTTTGAAAAGCTCTCTGCCTGGGGCCCACGCTCTCGGCAATGATGGCAGCTGAGCTTCCTATTTTTTTAATTTCTTTTTTTGGTCCTTTTTGGGCAACACCAGCCATTGCTCTGTGCTCAGGGTTTGCTCTTGGCAGTGCCAGGGGAACTGCGCCCGGCTGCGGATCCGTCCCGGGGCTTGGGCAGGGCATCTTAAGCATGCTCCCAGCCCTCTGAGTGTCTCTCGGCTCCTCTGCTTGTCCCCCGCCTCGCTGGCCTGAGTCCAGAGTTGCTTCCCGTGGCCTGGCCAGCGGACCCTACCTTGTGCAGGGAAGTGCGTTCCACCAATTGGAAAGGCGCCGGGTCGATCTTGCAGTCGCTGAAGTTAACGGGCTCGTCCAGCTGCTGCTCTTCCCATTCCAGAATCTGAGCGGAAGAGTGCCGACAGGGTGAGCAGAGGAAAGGCACCCTCAGCTTCCCCTCCACCCCCCCAAGCTGCCCTTTCGCCGGCCCCGGCTCCCTCCCATGGGGACCGCAGCCAGGAGGCCAAAAGAGCAGGTTCCGGAAGCTCGCGGGGCCAGAGTCCGGGCACACCCACCTCCTCCCGGCTCATCTCGCCTTCCAGGTCCGAGTCGCTCTACGAGAGAGGGAGGCAGGGTGGCAGCTAGGAGCCAGGGGAAAGGTGGGTGTATGCTGGGGGCTCCCCGCTGAGGGGGAGGACCCCCACACCGCCCAGACCGCGGCAGGAAAGCAGTGGGGTACTTACTGCCAGGGAGATTCGGACTCGCTTCAGTTTGCGCCTTTCGCACGGTTCCGACTTGGACTTTGTTAGGGTCAAAGCAGAGACAAGAGGAGCAGGTGTTATGGGGAGGGGGGCGGTTAAGGGGTGGTGGGAGAGGCCTAGCAAGGTCGCGCTACAGGAGACACGGTGCAGGGGCGACGCGGGACTGGGAGGGGGGAGGGGAGAGGGCCAGAGCGCACGCGCCAGAAGAGCCAGAAGGAGCCTCATGCTCTGCTCACCTCTGACGCTTCGGGGGGCGGGCTGCCACAGAAGAGGCTCCGGAGGGCGATGCCAGCCTGCTCCATGTTACCTGGGTCCCCAAACACAGTGCGGGGCCAGGTCAGTGGGGCTGCCGGCCAGTGTGGGGGCGCAGGGGGCCGTGGGGAGGGGCTCGTGGGACACCGGCTCACCTACGGGGCTCTCCCCCAAGTTGCTGGAACCCCGCTTGAGAGCAGGTTTCAGAGGCTTGTGAGTGTCCCCCCGGGGTGCAGGGAAGCCTGACTCCTCTGTGTTCACCTGCTCGGGCGGGAAGGGGCCGGCGAGGCTGTGGTCACGGACGCCCCCAACCCTAGCCACATGCACACACGCACTCACACATGCACACACATACACGCACGCACGCACGCACTCATGCACGTACACACGCATGCACACACACGTGTGCGCACACGCGCACCCACACACACACGTGCACGCACGGGTGTGCGCGCGCGTCCTGGCACCTGGGGAGTAGTTTGACTCTCACCTGAAAGCGGACACAAGTCTCGGGGCTCGGGGAGCTCTCCTGATCGGACGTGGGGGAGGTCTGCGCCGCCTTCCGCTCCTGCATGTGCTGCCGCCGGCGCGCGGGGCTCAGCTGGGCTGTCAGCAGTGCCACCACCTGGGAGCGCTCGATGGAGCCCAGCAGGATCATGGACTCTGGGCAGGACGAGGGAGGGGCGCTCAGGATCTGCGGGGGAGACCCCGCTCCCTCCCAGACCCGCCCTCCCTCGCTCACCCGCACACCAGGGCGTCACTCACGGAAAACCAGGGTGGCGCGGCGCAAAGGCTGACTTTGGGTTTTGTTTTTGGGTCACCCCGGGGGTCGAAGTCAGGACTGACACCTAGTGGGGCCCAGGGGCCCAGATGTGGTGCCGGGGATCGAACCCGCGCTGCCCGTGTGCAAGGCTAGCACCCTACCGGCTGTACTATGGATTCAGCCCCTGGCCTTTGACTTTAGTTTTGGGGCCACACCTGGCAGTGCTCAGGGATCACTCCTGGGGGTTCTTCTGGCAGACCCGGTGCCAGGAATAGACGGGGTCGACCACATTTAAAGCAGAGCTTCCTCTGCTTTTCTAGCTCCCAGACCGGCCCTTTGCGGTTTATTTTTTCTTTCTTGCAAAGCTGTCTCTGGAACCAGGATGGGTTCTGAACTCCTGTCTCCTCGCCCTTTCTGATCCACCACCCAAGGAAATGCTCCTGGCCCCTGGGTGCCCTCTTGGCCTTACCAGGGGACTCCACGAGGGCCAGCATACGGCCCTTGGTCCTGTGCAGTGCCACCCGCAAGTCACGAAAGGTGCAGCTGAGCGCCACGTAGGGGACATCCCGCACCATGATGTCCTCCACCCTGACGCGGTACTGCCTGCGGGCGGGGAGGGGCGAGGACTGTAGTCAGCAGGGGCAACCCAAGCACCCTGGCCCCCGCACCGGCCTCCCCCACTATCGCAGGGCGCCGCCTCCCTTACTGGTGGCGGCCCCAGCCTAGCTCCGGGAGGTACGGCAGCTTCTTGATGCGGATGATGCTGTCATAGAGTGAGGGCTGCAGGCTCTGCGCCACCGCGTTGGCCAGGATGACAGCGATCATGACCGGCAGGATGTGGGCGATCTGGCCCGTCAGCTCGAACACGATCACGGCCGTGGACACTGTGTGTGTGACTGCTCCCGCCAGGGCGGCAGCCCCTGGGGATGGACGGCCACCCTCAGCCTCCCCTGCCTGCCCAGTCCCCAGAGCACTCACCCCACCTAGGGACAGATCTGGGTTCTGGGGTCTTCTTTTAGTTTTGGCTTTTGGGCCACACCTGGCTACAAGCAGGCCTTATTCCTGGCTGTGCTCTCAGGGATCACTCTTGGCAGGGCTCAGGGGACCAGATGGGATGCCGGGCATCGAAGCCAGGTTGGCAAATGCCTCTGGGCCCTCTTCTTTTTATTTTAAGAGGTGTGTGTGTGTGTGTCTGTGTGTCTGTGTGTGTGTGTCTGTGTGTGTGTGAGTGAGAGAGAAACAGAGACAGAGAGACAGAGAGAGACAGAAGATGAGAGAAAGAGAGAGCGCGCGCTATACCTGGCAGTGTTTAAGACTTACTCCTGGCTCTGTGCTTAGGGTTCACTCCTGGCAGGGTGGCATGGGGAACCATAGGAGGTGCCAGATCAAACCTGGCTTGGGGGACCGGAGTGATAGTACAGCAGGTAGGGCGTTTGCCTTGCACACAGCTGACCCGGGTTCAACCCCCAGCATCCCATATGGTCCCCCAAGCACCGCCAGGAGTGATTCCTGAGTGCAGAGCCAGGAGGAACCCCTGAGTATCGCTGGGTGTGACCCAAAAAGCAAAAACAAACAAACAAACAAACCTGGCTTGGCCATGTGTGAGGCAAGCACCTTACTGGTGTACGATCCGTTCTGGCCCTTTGTTTCTGAGTCCTGAGCCCTCCCTCCACCCCTGGGGCCCAGCACGGGCTCAGGAAGGAAACCTGATTTCTCTGCGCCTTGCTATCCCACCCCCCATCCCTCCAGAGGGGCCCCAAGGGCACTCACCCACCACCGCATAGCCCCCTGGCACGATCCGGTAGGTGCTGCTGTCTGTGTGGATGCCATCTGGGAACCAGGCGGCCATGCTCTCACCCACCAGCCGCCCAAATGCCGCTCCTTCGGGGAGGGGGTTGGGAAGAGAAAGAGGCAGTGGAGGGGGAGGGCAGGGGCACTAGGAAGAGAGAGGGTCAGAGGGTGGGGGAGGGGCCAGCGGGTCACTCAGGGCAGGGGCAGCCCTGTGGGGGTGGGGCTGGACCCCACCCCACCCGACCGGGGCAGACAGAGGACAGCAGCTGAGAGGGCTCACCGATGACGAAGACGGGCATGAAGGCCCCGCAGGGGACCGGGATGGTGGTAGCCAGCGCTGACATCCAGAACTGTGGGCAAGAGAGGTGCAGACCACTGGGGCAAACCGGCCCCCAGCTCCACCCCAAAGAGCCCAGCTGGCTTCTCAGTGGGCACAAATGTCCCAGAGACCCCAACTCCCCTGTACCAGGTACAAGGAAGGCCCCAGAGGCCAGTGGCATGGCTCGAGGCCTCACCCTGCCATCTAGCCAGGCGACTTGGGGGTCCGCCGTTGGCCACTTTGTGTCTGGACTTCCCATCTGCTTTTGGTTTGGGGGCCACACACAATGGTGCTCAGGGCTTACTCCTGGTTCTGCACTCCTGGCAGTGCTCGGGGGACCATACTGCGTGCCAGGGATCAAACCTGGGTTAGTCATCATGTGCAAGGCAAATGCCCTCCCCTCTGTGCTGGTCCCCTGGACTCCGCCAACTTAAATTGCCAGTGCAGCCGTTTGTGTGAATTGAGCCACCTCCCAGGATGCGTCCCGGGGGGGACATGCCGCAGCGACACGCGTTTGAGCAGAAGGATTCTGCCACCTTTCACAGCCTGATGCCAGGTGTGAAGGAGTTAACCCGCTGGAAGTGCTGGAAACACAGGAAACGGTGGCTGTGGAACATTGAGGAGCCCCACCTTCATGAGGATGAAGATGACCAGGGTGAGGAAGACATTAGCACGCGGTGGGCTCCAGGCCTGGGAGGTTCCGGGAGGTTCCAGGTCCTCCACCAGGCCCTGGCGGACCCACGTCCGGTTGTCAAAGAGGGTGACCAGCGTCTCTTTCTGGGAAAGCTAGAGGTGGACAAAGGTGCCAGTCTGAGGAGCAGGCGGGAGGAAGAGAAGCAGCCCATGGGCGGGGGGTGGGGTGGGGTGGGGCGGAGGCTGCCGCACTGAGCCCCCCTTCTGTTTCCTCCCGCCTCCCTCCCCCCCAGGGGAAAGGGCACATTCCTCAGCTGCCCGCGGATACCTGCCCAGCCATGAACTGTCCGAAGCCAGGGGGGAAGGTCAGCGTGGAGATGAGCAGGGTCACCAGTGCCGGGAAGAGCAGGCGTCTGGAATGTGGATCCCACAGCATCAGGTGGTGCCGGCGGACCCCTCCCAGGGCTGGGGGCTGAGCCGGGCTTGCGGAAGGTCCCCTCCCTGGGCCCAGCAGGGACTCGGCCAGGCGCTACTAGGAGGGGATCTGGGGGCTTCTGGGGCCTCCCTGAGGGGGCAGTGGAGGTGCGCGGGGTCCCCAGTCTGTCCACTGGCTGGCTCCGCCCCCTGCCCTCAGGAGCCCCAGCTGAAGGGCACATGGTGAGCGGCTGTGAAGTTTCTGCTCGTCCCTGAGTCTGTGGCTGCACAGAGTGAAGGTCAGCGTGGCGGGAGGCCGGGTCATGCTGCGGCTGACCCAAGGTGCCACAGGAAGTGGGTTCAGTTGGCAGCTCTCTCCCCAGAGGGCGTCAGACTCAGCTTCCCAGGCTCAGGAGAGAGGCCGTCCCCCCATCCCCGGACTCTACAGGCTGGCAGGGGGCAGCACTGCCCGGCCCAGCCCACGGGCACAAGGAGCCTCAGTCCTTGACCCCAAACCTGTCTGCCCGGGCCAGTTTTCAGGGGACTTGGCAAGAGCCATGAGGTTCGCTTAGCCTGGAAAACCACACAGGTTGAGTCTGTCAAGAGTGTCTGGTTTCTGTCCTTCTTCTCGGGGTGGGGGCAAGTTCGAAGCCCAGCTGTGGTGCTGGGGGACCATGCGGTGGCCGGGTTGAAACCTGGGGGCCCCAGCAGCGCCCACACCCTTCGAGCTGTCTCCTTGGACTGGGCGCGACACACAGAACCTAGTTAAGTTTAGTTTTGGCTGGGGGCCACGCCCGGGTCACTGCTGGCGGTGTTTGAGGGACCACCGGGGATGCCAGGGATGGAAGCCAAGTCAGGGGTGCAAGGCAAGCGCCTTCCCGCTGTCCTGTCTCTCCGCCCATCACAGGAGCTAGTTCTGCCGGGCCACGGCCCACTCTCTCACCCCCCGCCCTGGCCGCACACTCACTTCTTCATGAGGAAACGGTTGATGGTTTTCTGCTTGCGCATCACCTGCACGATCTTGCGGTTCAGGTAGACGAAGAGGGCCCCCCCGAAGCCACTTGCAATCCTGCAGAGGGGAGCAGCGGGGTCAGAGATGCGGGTGGCGGCGGGGGTTGGGGGGTGTCTGTCCCTCTTTGCCCCTCCTCCTCGGGACGTGCCCCACCTCCTCACCCGATGACCGCGAAGGCCGGCAGCTCCTGCAGGTCGAAGGGGAAGTCGAGGCGGAACCGGGTTTTGAAGAGAGCGGTGATGGTTTCTGGAGGGCAGGCAGAGGGCCGGAGGGAGCGGGTCTAGCCTCCCGGGCCCCCCGGGGTGAGGAGGCGGCCCCCCCACTTGCCCGGGATGCCCCCCCTCACACCTTCATCACGGTTCCAGACAGCCAGAACACGGAAGATGAAGGCGCTGAAGGTGGCGGCGAAGAAGCCGCGCCAGTAATTTCGAACGGCGAAGAAGGTGGATGTGACCTCGATGCTGAACAGGACGCCTGCAGGCAGCATGGGCACGGGGGACAAGACCCTTGAGGCCTGGGCCTGGCCACGGGCTCAGCCCTGGGGACCGGGGGCGGGGGTGCCCATGTGCCCACTCACCTCCGATGGGCGCGGCAAAGCAGCAGCCCACTCCCACGGCGCAGGCGGCCGCCAGCATCTCCGTGTTCCGGGACTCGTTCTGGCGAGAACGGGCAAAGGGGAGGGCAGCCATGAGCTCCAAAGCCTGGACGCCGTCCCCCCACCCCCGATCCCAGCCCCCTCCCCGGCATCCCCCAGGGTGCACCTTACCTCATAGATACCCCCAAAGAGAGACAGGAACTTGCTGAGCAAGGCGGCACACATGCTGGCGATATGCACAAAGGGGCCCTGGAGGTGGGGGGCACAGACAGGGGGCAAGTGGGGAAGGGTCGCACCCTGACCTGGGCCCAGGACCGTCCCCTGCCCCCCAACCATTTCCAACCGGCAGTTACCTCCTTGCCCAGGGGCATCCCGCTGCCCAGGGCACAGGTCAGCCCGATGACCTTCGCCACGAAGGTCTTGAGCGTGAGGTATTCCTTGAGCACCACGCCCCGCAAGATGGTCTTCATCTCGGGGATGCCGGACCCTGAGGTGGGGTGGGGGACAGTTCCAAGGGAAGCTGTGGGTTGGACCGGGCCTGATGTGGGGGTGGGCGCCCCATCTCTCCCCTCATACCGACGGCCTGAGGAGCCAGGATCTGCGTGAAGCCAGCTGAGAAGGTGATGAGCACCACGGGGTAGGTGACCCAGGCCAGGTACTGGAGCAGAATGTTGGTGTTTAAGCCTTGGGACATCCACTGCTGAGCTGAGGGGCGGGAGGCGGTGGTCAGCCCCACAGCATGCACCGGTGGCCGCCTGGCCTTCGGGACCCCCTGGATTTCTCCTCCATCAGTTCCAGGGGACCCAGCGCCTCCAAGTGCCCTCCTTGATTGGTCTTAGGGAATTTCGCCCGCTTTCCCCAAGGTGGGGGTGAGCAGGCCCCAAAGGGGTTGCAGAGGGGAGCAGCTGGACCTCTCTTCTGGCTCACCGCAGAGGAGAGGCCCAGTTGGAGAGGGCAGGCGGGAAGCTATGGCCTGGGTGAGTGTCTGTGACTGTCCCGGAAGACAACAGGGCTGTCGGGCTGGCTGGGCAAGCGGTCAGTGGCCCAGTGGCCAAGCCCTTTGGCTGAGAGCGGGAGCCGGATAGTTCTTCCCAGTCCTCCCCGCCTCAGCCCCTGCGCTCACCCTGCAGGCACGCCGCGATGGCGTAGTCCATGGCCCAGCTGACCAGTGCCATGAGCAGGCCCAGCAGGACCAGAAAGATCCAGTCTTCACCCACCCGGGACACCAAGAACTTGTGGCAGCGCACGGAGCAGACTGGGAGAGAAAAGGGCCAGAGGAGGGGGAGTTGGGTACCTCAGCGGCCCCCTGTGCTCTGCACAGCCCCCTCCACGACCCCCTCCACGACCCCCACCCGCAGCCCGCTCTCACTTCGGCATGGGGCACAGCGGCTCTTCCTGTATTCCAGGAGTTCCGGGGGTGTCCGGGGGGACGGCGGGCCTCTCCATGTCTCGGGCCCTCCCAGGCGGATCCGTGCCGCTTCTTCTTTGGCAAAGGCCCCGAGGTCTTGAGTATACCTTCCATACATCTGGGGGACAGGCGATGGGCAGGAGGCTCGCAGAGGGGGGGCCCCCCTCGGGCTTGGAGTGTGGGAACAATGCGCATTGCAGACTGTGGGGGCAGTCGTGGGCGGGCGCGGCTGGGGACAGCCAAGGTACATGGACGAAGTCTGGGGGCGGGGGACTGAGACTGGGCCCTGGCTGGGGCCTCCCCCAAGGAGGAAGAGAGAAGAGATGTGGGAAATCCTTGGGCGAAGGAAAAAGGCTGCAAGCAGGAGCAGAGAAGGTCAGAGAGAAGGGATGGGCAAGGGCATGTGGGTAACAATGAGGGCCTCATGGCGCTGGGGGCAGCTGCGTGGAGCGGGGCGGCAGGGCCCCAATCCTTATCACGCTCAGGGCTGGACTCAGCCGCACCCCTCCCTCCCACCCACCTAATCCCCTTGTCCCCATTCAGCCCCCCTTCCTGCCCCGCTGGGACTGGACTCTCTCTGGGTGAAAGAGTGCTCAAGAGCTGCTTCCCCCGACTGGGGGGGGGGGTGGGCACCGGTGGGCTGGGGGCTGCAGGGACCCAAGGCCGAGCTGTGTGTGTGGATGCTGGGGTGATGGGGCCAGAGAGTGGCAGAGCCAGGGCTGGACCTGCCAAGCTGGGCGTGGAGTGGGGGGGTGGGGAGGAATAGATTCCGGCTGCCACCCGCAGAGCTTGGGGACACAAAGGGCTCCTGTTGGGGCTGGGGTGGGGGGAGAGGGAGGGGAAAATAGACAGAGAGAGAGAGAGGGAGAGAGAGGGAGAGAATGAGGAGGAGACAGAAGGAGCGCCAGAAGGGGGAAGAAAGGCGAGAGGAAGGCGCCCAGGAAAGAAAAGGGAGATGAGAAGGGAGAAAGGGGAGGAGAGAGAGAGAGAGAGAGAGAGAGAGAGAGAGAGAGAGAGAGAGAGAGAGAGAGAAAGAAAGTAAAATATCCAGAGGGGAGGGCAGCGTGGGAGGGGGAGGTGAGCGGGAGTGAGAGAGACAAAGGGATCGGAAGGCGAAGGGGGAGCGGTTGGAGGAGAGAGAGCCCGGCCGGCCGGGAGAGAGCGTGACCCTGGGAGCTCATTCCAGAGATAGAGGCCGGGCCGGCAGCCGAGACGGGTCCCCAACGCAGAGGGGCCTGAGGCCACGGGCCAGGTGCCACCGCCCGCACTTCAACACTTGCTCCTCCACCCCGCCACCACCTCTCCGGTCACCTAGCTTCATTCACTCTCTCCTGTCACTCAGGGTGCCTCCCAGCCTGGGGGACAGCCCAGGCCCCCTCCTCCAGGGCAGGCTCCCTCCCCGCCTCTCGCCTGGGCAAATTCCAGCCCAAGACAGTAGGAAAAACATCCCAAGAGGCGCTCCCTTCCCCAGAGACGCCAGCAGGGCCTTAAGACTTGGGAAAGGCAGAGGTCCCAGCGCCCGCCCCCGGGGTCAGCCTGGAGCCCCAGACCTCCTGCCAATAAGCAAATAAAGTCGGGGTCCTCCTCTAACCCGTGGAGGGAGGGTGGGGGTTGGATGCCCACAGCCTGGACCAAGGTCCCAATGCCCGCACTCATTCCAGCTCAGCCCCTCATGTCCCTAAAGGTCCTCCCCCAGAGTCCTAGGATTTCAGGGCACTTTTTTTGCCTCCACCAAATCGAGTGAAGGGAGCTGTCAATGTGGAGTGGAGCGTGCCTTCGGATCCCATCTCCCTTTGAACACTGGATTCTAGGCAGAGAAGGGTGCCCTCGTCGGAGGGAAGGCAAGGGGCTAATCACGCGTGGTAAGAGTGGAGAGAAAGTTCAAGGGTGTAAAGTGCTGGGAGGGGTGGCAAGGTGCTGGGACAGAGGCCCAGGTGGTGAGGGGGAGGAGCAAAGGACGGGGGGGGGGAGGAGGGAGAGCAATCGGGGCCAGCACCTGATGTCCTTGTCCTCTGCAGGCCCCCAGCCTCAGCCCGAGCCACGCACGGAGAGCTTGCCAGCGCTCGGCGCTCCCCCTCTCAGGCCCTGCAGCCTCAGTTTCCCCATCCCAGAAGGCAGGGCGAGGCTCCCCGCGCGCCACCCGCCCCCGGTGCCGGCGCGGCGGCGGCGGCGCGGGGGGCGCGGGGCGGCACTTACCAGCGTCTGCTCGTACTGCAGCGCCCGCGGCTCCATCCCTTCCTCCGCCGCCGCGGCCGCCGCGGCCGCCGCCGCCATCTCCGCCGCCCGCCCCGGCGCCTCCCGCTGCGGCTCGGGCCCCGGCCCCGGCTCGGCTCCCCCGCGGCCCGCAGAGCCCGCGCGCGCGCCCCGTCCGCTGCCCGCAGCCCGCGCGGCCGAGTGCAGAGTGCGCCGGGCCCCGGGCGGGTGCCGCTGGCGCAGCCCCGCGCTCCGTCCCCTCCTCGGCGGGCGGGCCGAGGGCGGTGCCCCGAGCGCCGCTCCGCCCGCGCGCCCGTCCACTCGGGCCGGCCCTGCCCCGGCCGGGGTCCGCGCTCCGGCCGCCGCCCGGACTCGGGACAGGCGGCAGGGGGCGCTGGGCACGCGCGCGGCCGCGCCCCGCTCCGGATCCAGCGCCCCGGGCGGGCCTGGGCCGCTGGCACGTGGAAGGGGCCGGCTCTCGGCGCCTGGCCCCGAGGGACGGAGAGGCCGGGGACCTGGGCTGGCCTCGAGGGGCTGGAGATGCCCGGGACCTGGGCTGGCCCCGAGGGGCCCCTCGGGACTAAGATGCCCGGGACGGGGGCTGGCCCCGAGGGGCTGGAGATGCCCGGGACCTGGGCTGGCCCCGAGAGCCTGGAGATGCCCGGGGCCGGGGCTGGCCCCGAGGGGCTGGAGATGCCCAGGACCAGGGGCTGGAGATGCCCGTGACCTGGGCTGTCCCCGAGGGGCTGGCGATGCCCGTGACCTGGGCTGGCCCCGAGGGACTGGCGATGCCCCGGACCAGGGGCTGGAGATGCCCTGGACCTGGGCCGGCCCCGCCCAATCCGACCCTTTGGGGCTCAGTCTGCGTTCGGGAACGGCCCCCTCTCTGCGGCTCCGAAGGGCCCACCCAGGGTCGTCTCCGTCGGGGGTGAGCAGCTAAGCCGGGCGGGACGCGGAGGGAAAAACATTAGGCCTGGAAGGCAGGTTCGGGACAGTCTGAACGGAGACCCTGGGTCTCACACCCCCTCCCCTCATATCGCCCCCTGTACGCGGCGCTCTAGGGGACGTGCGGCCCGGCGCAGCCTGGCTCGCGGGGTGTGCCGCCCGGGTGGAGGCGGGGAGGGGACGCGGATGGGGGAGGCGCGAGGGAAGGGAGGGAGGCCCAGGTGTCCGGGAGGCCGCTCTGGGGAGGCGGGCGTGGGGGGACAGAGGTCGCTTCACCCTGGCAGGGCCCAAGGAGAAACTCGAGGAGCTGCTGACGCCTCGTGGCCTTGGGGGAGCCGCCTGCTGGCGCTCTGCGTTCTCTGTCTGGCTTCGGAGAGGGGTAGAGCCGCAGGGTGCGGGGGCCTGGGAGAGGCAGTGCCTGGGCAGAAAAGCCCGTGCCCCGGGACACCCGCAGCGTGCGGGACGCGTGCAGAGCGGGTGCGGGGCGAGGGGGCACCCCGGCACCCCCGAGGAGGCGGCGATCTGAGCGCGGTGCCTGGGGGAGCAGAGCGTGGCAGGGTGAAGGGCGCACGGGGGAGCACTGTCTCGGGGAGCCGGCTGTTCGACGCCGCGGGGAGCTGGGACGGCTCAGGCTCGACCTCGCGCTCCCAGGCTAGCTGGGGCAGTGCTCGCGCGGGCACTGCGATGGGGTCAGGAAGAGCGCCGCGTCCAGAGAACAGTGGGGGTGGGGGGCATAGGACCCGGGGTGGGGACACTGCAGGCTTTCCTTTTTCCCGTAATGACATCATGGCAAATTCCCAAACTAGACGAACCCGGCTCGGGTGACATCCAGCAGGACCGAGCCGGCGCGGACCGGCTCGGGGGACCTGGATGCCAGCTGAAGGGGCTGGGCACGGCGTCGTGCCGGGCCCGCGAGCTGGGAAGGGGGCGGGGTTCTGCCTCGCCCGCCGGCTGAGCGGACTGTGCCCTAGGCGGGAACGGGGATCGGCTGGGTAGGGCTAGGACGGAGCTCCTCTGGGCCAAGGATCAAGGTCCCGGGCTGGGGCAAGCTCCGGTGCACCCTCGTCCGAAGGGGGACCCGGAGTCCGAAGGGGGCGCCGCAGAGCTTCAGCAGAGCCGAATCCGCGCAGCCTCGGCTGGAGGCGGGGCCGATTGTATCCCCGCCCCTGGGTGGAGCCATCCCGGGTCGGGACACGCCCCCAAAGGGCGGAGCCTCTCGGAAGCCCTCCTTCGGGGCGGAAGTCGTGCTGCCCCGAGCGCGGGGCGGCGGAAGCGGCCGCGCTCCGCCTCTCTGTGCGCGTGCGCGATCCGGCTCTCGGCTCCCTCCTGGCGCGGGGTGTCGCGGCACGCCGGGTCGTGGGTGCGCGCTCGGCCGTCGCGCCCCTCTCGTGGCCGCTTCGCCATGGCGGGAATCCTGTTCGAGGATATCTTCGATGTGAAGGACATCGATCCGGAGGGCAAGAAGTTTGACCGAGGTGAGCAGAGGGGCGGAGGGCGGTCGTGGAGGGGCCGGCCGCGGCCTCCGCGGACACGCCCCCCGCGCCCCTGCCCACCCGGCCCACGTGGCCAGCCTGACCCGCGGGTCCCGGGGCGCGGGGCATCCTGCGGAGCTCTCCCGTGGGCGAGGCCGGGGGTGGCCGCTCCCCAGGGCTCCCACACGCTACGCGGGCGCCCGGATGGCCTTTTCTCATCGTTCGAGTCCACTCGGGGCATCTTGACAGTCGCGGTCCTCCCGGGCCAGGCGGCCCACGGTGCACCGACACCTCCGCCGTCCTGGCCCTCCGCAGGTCTGCAGGGCTAGCTCCTTTTGCGCAGAGAAGTTGAGCAACTCACCCAAGCCAGCACAGAAAATAATTCAGCTTCCGACTCCTCCTCGTGTAGCCCTCCTTGTGAAATACTTTTTCTTTTTTTATGAACTGCTTAATTTGAGAGTGAATATCTTGGGAGTAGAAAGTTGTTTTATTTTATTTTTTTAAAAGCAGTTGGGGGGGCTGGAGCAATAGCACAGCGGGTAGGGCGTCTGCCTTGCACACGGCTGACCCAGGTTCGAGTCCCAGCATCCCATATGGTCCCCTGAGCACTGCCAGGAGTGATTCCTGAGTGCAGAGCCAGGAGTAACCCCTGTGCATCGCCGGGTGTGACCCCAAAAAAAGCAAAAAAAATAAAGAAAGAGCAGTTGGTATTGTTTGTTTGTTTGTTTTGTTGACCGCACCTGGCCAAACCCAGAATTTACTCCTGGCTCCTCCTGGCTCTTGCTTGCTCAGGGGTCAAACCAGGGTGGGCCTCGTGCTCAGCAAGTGCCCTACCCACTGTCCAGTAGCCCCACCCCAAACATCAATTCTTTTTTTTTTTCTTTTTTTTGGGTCACACCTGGCGATGCACAGGGGCTACTCCTGGCTCATGAACTCAGGAATTACTCCTGCCAGTGCTCGGGGGACCACATGGGATGCTGGGAATCGTACCCGGGTCGGCCCCATGCAAGGCAAACGCCCTACCCGCTGTGCTATCACTCCAGCCCCCCTTTGATTCTTTTCTGGGGCTCCTGCTCTCTTGCTATAGTTCCGCGCCCTTTTACTCAGACATTTGGCTCTGATTGGGCCTGCCCTGCTCTGAGAGCAGAGGATAGACCCGTGGGTGCGGACTGGGTTAGATGTTTGTAGTGCATGTAATTACCCTGAGTGGAGCTTTCACGCCCCCTACCCCACTGCCACGCTAATGACCCCCTCCTCTCTTTCTCCTCCTCTAGTGTCTCGCCTGCATTGTGAAAGTGAATCTTTCAAGATGGATCTCATCTTAGACGTGAACATCCAGATCTACCCTGTAGACTTGGGTAAGTATTGAACCGGTTGTACCGGGAGGCTGTGTGCTATGCTGGTCCGTCTGTTCTTCAGCCTCACTGGTTGCTGCTCTTTGCTGTTCTCAGGTGACAAGTTCCGGTTGGTCATAGCCAGTACTTTGTATGAAGATGGTACCCTGGACGACGGTGAATACAACCCCACGGATGACCGGCCTTCCAGGTGAGAAGGGAGCACGTGAAGGATGCCGGAAGGCTCCGTAGCTGATTGGTGGTATAGAAAGACCCTTCCTTAGTTCTGGGAGTAAATGACCCTCAGCTCCACCTGAGAAACCTTAGGGGAAATTGCGAGACTTAGGAAGCAGACAAGCAGGTATTTGTCTAGAGTATTTGATTTTATGTGCACATGTTGTGTTTTATTTTTGTATTTGGGTTTTGGGATCATACCTGGTGGAGCTCAGGGGACCCAGAGGTGCCAGGGTGGGGAGCGTGGGGAGTCGAATCCAGGGATGGCTCCAGTTGTTTGAGCTTTTTCCCTGTCTTTTGCTGCAGGGTTTTGTTTGGTTTCATTTTGGGGCCACACCAGGTTGTGTCTATGGTCAGGGCTTACTCCTGGCTCTGGGCTCCGGGATCACTGTTGTTGGTACTTGGGGATGCAAACCCAGGCAGACTACTTCCAGGACAGGCACGTTAACCCCAGTACTATGTCTCTGGCCCTGAACTGCATTTTTTCATTTTTTTTGTGGGGGTAGAGTGGGGGTGGGGGAGGGGAGGGTGCGTACACCCAATGATGCTCACGGCATACTTTTGGCTTTTAGTCAGGAATCACTCCTGGCTGTGCTTAGGGGACCATGTGGGATGATGGGGATTGGATTCAGGTCAACTGTGTGCAAGGCAAGTGCCCTACCTGCTGTACTATAGTTCTGGCTCCTGAACACAGTTTTTTGATGGCTGAGAAAATGACCACTGAGTGATCTAGGTTGTGTGGGCCTTACAGCTTGGGGTGTGGGTACGGTGTCCCACAAAAAGACTGGAGTCCCACAGGTTCTTTTTTTTCAGCCCTGCCATTTATTTGTTCATTAATTCAGATGTCTTTTAGCCTTAGATGAGAACATCCCGTGAAAAAAAAGAGTTCACAGGGTTGTTGAACACTTAATCCCATGTTTGGAAAAGTGCCTGTTCTGCTGACACTTTACCAGTGCCTTTTTTTTTTCTCTCAGTTTTTGGCTGATCCTTTATTTTAATTATTTTTGGTTTTGGGGCCATACCTGGGGACCATATAGGATGCTGGGGATCGAACCTGGGTTGACTGTGTGTAAGGCAAGCACCCTACCCACTATACCACCAGTTGCCTTTTTTTTTTTTCTTTTTGGATCACACCCAGCAATGCTCAGGGGTTACTCCTGGCTCTGCACTCAGGAATTAACTCCTGGCAGTGCTTGGGGGACCATATAGGATGCTGGGAATCGAACCCGGGTCGGACACGTGCAAGGCAAACGCCCTACCCGCTGTGCTATTGCTCCAGCCCCAACCAGTTGCCTTTTTTTTTTTTTTTTTTCTTTTTGGGTCATACCTGGTGATGCACAGGGGTTACTCCTGGTTCTGCAGTCAGGAGTTACTCCTGGCGGTGGTCAGGGGACCATATGGAATGCTGGGAATCGAACCCGGGTCGGACGCGTGCAAGGCAAATGCCCTACCCGCTGTGCTATTGTTCCAGCCCCAACCAGTTGCCATTTTTAAGGGGTCTCTTTTTTGTTTGTTTTGTGGCCATACCCAGCGATGCTCAGTGATTACTTCTGGCTCTGTTCTGAGGAATTACTCCTGGCAGGCAAATGTCTTACCTGTTACCATTCTGGACAGCCTTTGGGGGTGTCTTATTATGAATTGCTTTTCAGCATAATTTTACTACCGTTGTTTCTCAGGGCTGACCAGTTTGAATATGTAATGTACGGGAAAGTGTACAGGATCGAGGGGGACGAAACCTCGACGGAAGCAGCAACACGCCTGTAAGTTCCGTGGCCTTGTAAGGGCCCTTTTCTCTCTCTCCTCTCCCTCAACCCCTGCCCTGTGCTGAGGATTTGGGTCAGCCTCGGACAGGGAAGGCCCTGGCCCCGCCTCCTGACTGGGTCCCTGAGGGTCCCCAAACCCGCAGAACTAGGGGGGAGCCAGAGTGAACCTCTGCCAAGAGCGTGTCCGGTCCGCACTTTGCTCCCTGTGGCCTTTGTCAGCACCTCAGGCTTCAGTGGTGCAAGTGGTGGTTTGGCTGAGTAAAGAAAGGTTGGCTCCTCAGGACCCAAATGCAGTATTAAGTGATTAATTGCTAGACTTTTTAGGGGTGTGTGTGTGTGTGTGTAAATGCAGTATTAAGTGATTAATTGCTAGACTTTTTAGGGGTGTGTGTGTGTGTGTGTGTGTGTGTGTGTGTGTGTGTAAATGCAGCATTAAGTGATTAATTGCTAGACTTTAGACGTATTCGATATGCCAAACACAGTAACAACAAAGTCTCCAATGGAGACGTTACTGGGCCCACTTGAGCAAATCGATGATCAACAGGAGGGCCTTTACTTTTTACTTTTACTTTTAGGGGTGTGTGTGTGTGTGTGTGTGTGTGTGTGTGTGTGTGTGTGTAAATGCAGCATTAAGTGATTAATTGCTAGACTTTTTAGGTGTGTGTGTGTGTGTGTGTGTGTGTGTGTGTGTGTGTGTGTGTGTGTGTGCGCGCGTGCGCGCGCGTGTACTACTCTGAAACTCAATCCCTGCTTCTTTGGTTTCCCTGCCCCACTATTTTTTTTTTCATCTTTTCTTCAACATCTTATTAAAACAACGTGTGTCCTCATGAAATTTGAAAAGCAAAGAAGTCATGCGAAGAAGGGGAAAAAGTTACCTGTAATTCCATACCCAGAAGGAAACTTTTTTATATAAACATTTTGGGTATCTTAGGTATTTTTTTCCTGCGTACATTTTCCCTTTGAGATCATGTTGTGTATTACAATCTCTTTTTCTGCTCCTTTTGCCTAATGTTACATAGACTGCGTCTTCATTTTATTCACTTAGGATAAGTTTAAAGCATACCCTAAGTATTTTATAGCTGCATGGCATTCCAGTAAATGGGTATGTTTTCATTCATGCAACCTGTTCCCTTATTTGGACATGTAGTTTCTTTCCCCTTTTCTAATATAATGGTCACTACCTTGGGCCCAGGAGACAGCTCAAAGGGTTGTATGCGCAAGGTCCCGGGTTCGGTTCCTGGCCCAGCATGGCTTTGCTTGGTGTGGCCTTCCCTTCCCCCATGTTACCGCTGGGACTGAGCACTAAATTGTCAACCCTTCATAGTTGGTCTGAGTATTGCTCGGAGTGGACCCTGAGCACTGCTTGGGAATCTCCACCAAAGTAAACCAAAACCAGGAATAACCCAGCCACTGCCTCACACAAGTCTTGGGCATTCATCTTTGTCTAAGTTTGAGTCTTGTTTATTTTTTTTTATTGTTTTGGGCCACACTCAGCTGTGCTCAAGGACTTTCTTTTGGCCCCGTGCCCAGGGATCAGTCCTGGTGGGGCTCAGGCGACCTTACACGTTGCCAGGGGTTGAGTCCGGGTTGGCTGTGTACAAGACAAGGCCAGCGCCCTCCCTGCTGTGTGCAGTTATTCTGGCCCCTGAATCTGGCCCTTGAACCTAAGGGTGACTGATGTTTCTTTGTGTGCGGCGGGGCCTACCCAGGGGGCTTGGGCTGTTCTTGGTTCTGCCCAGGAGTGACCCTGAGTGGTTCCTGGGAGTGGGGGACTGTGTGCGGTGCTGGGGATTTGAAATGGGGGCTGGCCACACACCAGGCCAGTGCCTCTCCCGACCCTTCTCCCCGGCCCTGGCAACTGCTTTCTTTCCGAGTGGCTGGGGTAGCAAGCTCCTGAGGAGTCCGTCACTGAGCTGCGACTCAAGGGGTCCTTCTGTTGCAGCTCTGCCTACGTGTCCTATGGCGGCCTGCTCATGAGGCTGCAGGGCGACGCCAACAACCTGCACGGGTTCGAGGTGGATTCCAGAGTGTATCTGCTGATGAAGAAGCTGGCCTTCTGAGCTGCCTGCAACCTAGGGCCTTCCCTCACACCTGAGTTGCCGTCGCTGTTACTCATGCGCCGAGAGGGGCTGACCATGCCCAGCGGGGGCACCCAGGGAGCCTGGACACAGTGGGGGACGGCCCGTGCCGCGAGAGACCCGCTGAGGAAGTGCGAAATGATCCTGAAGTTGTTGGTTGCATAAAACTTGTAGTTTATTTTATTAAAATGTTTGGTTTTTATTTTTCAGACTCTGTCTCCTCTTTGAAACACTTGCTTGAACATGATTCTTCCCCAGCTCACCCTCAGTAGATGATGTTCACGGCACAGCCAGATCCATCACGTAACCGGAGGATCTGTTCTTCCCTTTTTGGTGTCCGGGTTCAGGTGCCCACCCACCATTTACCCTCCAATGTGGTTTTCCCCACTGAGAGAGACAGTGTAGTGCTTCTTGGTTCCTGAGGGCACCCAAGCCTGGAAGACACCACCCATCTGGCGTTGCCTTTTGAGTTGGCAGGGAGCCCAGCTCGTGTCCTTCGAACACGTTCAAGTCCCTTAGGGAGCCGGATCACGTTGACTAAATGAGTCACTCCCCTCCCGACGCAGCCTCGGGTGGGTGCGTTTAGACGTGGGCGCGGGACGGGACTGCAGCGAACGGAGGGAGCGTCCCGGGAGCAGGTAGGGACCGAGCCTGCTGCGTCTCTTGGGCTCTGAGGGAGAGGGCGGTTGTCCCCAGCGACAGCAGAGCTGCTGCACTGACCCGTGGAGTGGACAGGACAGCAATACCAATGAGGTTGGCAGTCCAGCAGCAGTGCCGGGGACAATGCGGCAGCTGACCGCAGTCACTCGCTTCAGAGTGGGGGAGTCCAGAGCTGAGGAAGTGGTGAGGCAGCCTGGCGTTCGCTCTGACAACGGGATCCTGGTACCCGCTCTGGGAAATTCAGGGTCTGCAGAAAGGTGGGAATGTGTATTAGGAGGTTGTCTCCTGGCAGGGGAGGAAGATCAACAGGCGGAACACGTGCTTTTTACCCAGAAGGCCTGGCTTCGAACCCTGGTGGTTGGGGCCGGAGCGATGGGACAGTGGGTAAGGTACTTGCCTTGGATGCAGCCTCTCTGGATTCATTGGCCCAGCACTGCTTATGGCCCCTTCTGCCCGGCTAGGAGTGATCCCTGAGCACTGCCAGGTGTGGTCCCCAAACCAAACAATTCCCCCTGGCACCACAGGGTGAACACCAGTGAACACCTCCAGGAGTGACCCTGAGCACAGAGCCTGGAGTGGCCCATGAACACTGCCAGGTGTAGTGCCACCTGCCTCCCTCTAAGACAACCGAAGTGCGCCAGAGACATAGCACAGGGGATAAGGCACTAACCTTGTGTGCAGTTGACCCCAGCATGATCCCCAGTACCACAAATGTCCCTTGAGCAAATGGAATATGACCTCCCCTTCACCCCCCAACCCATCCCCAAAAAGTCATGTCTCTGGGGGCTGGAGAGATAGATAGTGGGCTGACTGCATGCTTGTATGTAGGAGGCCCAGGTTCATATGGTCCCCCAGGCACCACTCAGTGTAGCCCCCATACAGGTCTTTTGGGTTGGGCCCCAGAGTTGATTTAAAGGACTGGAGTGTACATCCTTGGCATCCTGGAGTTCGGGTCTGGTCCCGTCTCTGCCTCCCTCTGTGTCAATACAGTCAGTAATAAAACAAAAACCGGGGCTGGAGAGAGTACAGGAGCTCAGGTGCTTGTTCGTTCTACATACTGCTGACCCGGGTTCAATCTCTGGCACTGCATATGGTCCTCTGAACACTGGGAGGCAGAGATCCCTGAGCACAGGTGTGACCCAACTCCCCCCCCCACAGTGTTTTAAAAAGTCTCTTTTGATGTCTTGGTTTTGCCCTGGGCCCCCGGAATCCTGCTGGGATGCCTGGGGGCATTTCCTTTCCTGTCATTTTCAGGTCTTTACAAGGGGTGTTAGAAATAGTATTTGGGGAAATATCAATGGGCCCTGCAGGGGGGAGGGAGAGGTGTTTCTTTTGCCTCCCTGGGGGATGGGGGAAGATGAGGCCAATAGGAGGTGCAGTGGGGGTTGGGATGAAGTTCTCTGGAATCCCACGAAGTCATTTGGGAGTGGGGCTCGGAGTTGCCATGTTTAATGGGAGTGAAAACACCTCATTAATAGCATTTGTAGGGTTGCTTTCGGATGATTCTGGTTCATGTGAGAAAGCAGAAGGTACACCTGGCCAACAGCAAGATGAAAATAAGAATTGGGTTGTTACCTTTTTTTTTTTTTTTCCTGAGGGGGAAGGGGCAGAATCAGCAGACAAGAGTTTGATTGGCACATACTAAGACGCCTGTATTTACATTGGCTGCTCAGTAAGTCAAATGCCAATGTGGGAAGACCAGCGTTTTCTGGCAACATCCTTGCCGTTTGACCGTCCTTGTCTCTCATCTGACCATGCCCCAAATCCTTCCTTCGTGTCTTTAGTCCCCTTGGCATATCTTGTCTCAGCTGCTGGCTTTTTTGTATGCCATCAAGTATTTCATTTGATCATTAGCTTTGACCTACTTTGGTAATTTAGTAAATCACAATTTCCACTCACCATCGCCTTGACTACTCGCTGGAATTTGTAGTGTGGATGAACGAATTCTCTTCCATGAAGACACTGACCCCCGGCGGAAGGCTGGAGAATACATTTGAGCTTTGTGCATTGGTGGCTTCCTCTTGCGTGGCAACCGTTGTGTCCAGACTGGGGACAGAGGGGACCCTGCAGGTGTCTACACTGGGTCGCCCCCGCGAGGAACTCGAGTGTGGATGTGTTGGCTCCCCTGCGACTTGGCAGTCTTTCCCAACATGTGAAATCACACAATGGCCCATTGAACGACATGCCCCGACCAGGAACGTGTGTTCCAGAAGCGCAGGGCTGGGGGGGGGGGGGGGGGACTCTGTGATTTTGTGTTGAAAACTGAGCTGCTATCATCCACCTTATGGAGTGGTGTGAACCCCCAAGAGCTCGTCGACATGAGGGTCCCAGCATAGTCCCGCCATTCCGGCTTACTAGTTCTGGAAGCTTTCCGTGATCCTGGGTATTTGTGGGGCTCTCTGGGACTCTGGGTTCCGGGTGCCACTGCCTACGCGGTTGCCATCCCTCTGTTTTAGGGAGTAGGAGGTGGAGAGGGGAGAGCTTCCTGAGTTCCTGAGTTTCTTTTTTTTTTTTTTTTTGGGTCACACCCGGCAATGCACAGGGGTTACTCCTGGCTCTGCGCTCAGGAATTACCCCTGGCGGTGCTCAGAGGACCATGTGGGATGCTGAGAATCGAACCCGGGTTGGCCGCGTGCAAGGCAAACGCCCTACCCGCTGTGCTATTGCTCCAGCCCCCTGAGTTTTCCTTAGCTAGTACTGATCTCTTTTAGGGGGGGTGGGGGGTGGGGGAGGAGCACACCAGGATGCTGTGGATGGAACCGGGGGCAAAGCGAGAGCCCTGCCTGCTAGACTGTCTTTGCACCCTAGTGCTGATCTTTGCAGTAGGGTTTTGGGATGGGGACAGTATCAACCTCTTCCTAAGCATCCTGGTGGCTTTTAATGGCCCAGATCCACCCCTAATTCCGACTGCTTGCCCACGGCTCTCTAGGAGGGCTGGCGGTGGTTCCCCAGGCCACCCGAGAGACACTCTGAGCCTTTCACCACCTGCCGGCTCGGCACTCCTGCTGTTTGAGCCCCGGGAGACAGCGCCGGGCACTTCCTGCACTTCCCCCGCCCTCCACAGGAGGGAGGCAGGAACCCGCACCCGTGGCAGCTTCCTGCCAAGCCCCTCAAGCCTTGCTATTTGCTCAGCTGCGGCAGCCAACTCTCAGCTCTCGGGTCTGCACAGCCTTACCTGGGGTGCAAGGCGCTCCAAGGTTTCCTGTTAGCCTGGTGATTTTTTCCCCCTTTTCTCAAGGAACAGGGAGGCCTATTACTACCAACCCCTCCCCGAAGAAGAACATCTTGCTTTTCAGGCACCTTTTGGGATGTTCTCATTCCTTTTGGTTTTGGTTTTGGTTTTGTTTCGGGGCCACACCTGGCGATGCTCAGGGCGTTATTCCTGGCTCTGCACTCAGAAATTACTCCTGGCGGTTCTTGGGGAACTGCATGGGGTGCCTGGGATTGAACCCAGGTTGGCAGCGTGCAAGGCAAGTGCCCCACTCGCTGTACTTATCTCTCCAGCTCCCTTTTCTTCCCTTTCTTTTTTTGGTGATGCTGGGTTCGAACCCAGGGCCTCCTACATGTAAGGCAATGCTCTGCTACTGAGCCATGTCCCTTGCCCTGTTTTGAGTTTTTTTGGACCATTCCTGGCTCTGTGCTTGGGGATCAAAGCTGGGTCAGCTGCATGCAAGACCTTCGCTGCTGTACTGTTTCTCCAGTCCCTGCGACACTGGCTTTTTTGTTTGTTTGTTTGATTTTGGACCACACACAGGCCTGTGCTTGGGGAGCCGCTTGGGGCAGTGATCAGGGTACCATGCGGTACTGGGGATCCAGCCGGGGCCTCCTACTCAGGAAAGCCTGTGCTCTGGTCCTTTGAGCACTCTCCTTAGTCCTGTTCTTTTTTTTGGGGGGGGGGAGGGGAAGGGAACGCTCAGCAATACTCAGGGGTTACTCCTGGCTCTGTGCTCCTGGTGGTGCTCGGGGGACCACAATGGGGTGCCCGGGATCGAACCCGGGTTGATTGCATGCAAGGCCAATGCCCTCCATACTACGGTATCACTCTTTGTGTGAGCTCAGTACTCAGCTGTTGCAGAGGACAGCCAGCTTCTCTCTCAGTTCTCAAGAGTCAGGATTTCCTAAGAGAAGGAGCGTCCCCTTAAGAAAGAAAGTGGTGGGGGCAGGAGATGAACCTTTGTGCTGAGGAGAGAGCCACAGTTCTTTTTTTTTTTTTTTCTGCTGACATAAGGTTCCTTTTGGTCTCTGCCCAGAGGCCAGGCCGGGGCAGGCCTTTGCAGGATCTCAGAGCAAGGGCACCGCAGGGAATCCAGAGCTGTGCATTTGCGCAGAAAACAGACAGAGAAAAACTAGCTGCTCTGGCGAATATTATTGATAGCTTAAAAAAATAGCTTCTGAAGTTTTCTTATAGAGAGTGAAAAAAAAAGAGCCTCTTTTCCTGTCCTGTGGACCCCCTTTCTCCAGGGCTGTGGGGTCGGGTGAAAGCATCAGGGACTCTGGAATCGCTGCCCTGCTTCTCAGGGCCTCCGGGGCAGGTTAGGGACTCACACAGGAGGCGAGGCCAGGGGTCCGGGGGCCGGTGGCCCTGGCCCTTCCTCTTCCTGAGACAGATTCTGGACGTGAGGGGGGGCTGCTGCCGTGAGGTGAGGCCCAGAGGAGGGCCGGGGGGACCAAGAAGAGGAGAGTGTGGCCGGTCCGGGAGGGGGCTGGCTTGGGGAGGACCCAGGCTGCAGGCTGGGTGGTGGGGAGCCAGTGTCCGAGACCCCTGGAGGGGCATCCAGGGTGCTGAGGACCCGGGGTGAGGGACCCGGGAAGGATCCACGAGTTCCATTCAGAAGTCCCTGTGTCCAGTTGGGCTGTCCAGAACCTTGGTCCTGACCCTGGAAGGTCTGGTTCAGCAGCACAGGCAGGGGGGCTCCGAGCAGCCGCAGACTCGGCCCAAGTCCAGAGCCCGTAGTTCTGACCGAGACGCTGGCGTTGGTCTCCGGCACCCCAGAAGTCCGCTGTGGGAGCTGGCTCAGCTCGAGGGCCGGCGAGGGGCCGCTTGGCAGGGCGGTGGTGGGCAGGGCCCGCCTGGCACAGAGGGCAGGTCCCACGACAAGTAGCAGAAAACGCACCTTGCCTCGGAGCAGCTGCTGGAAACTCAGGAAGATGGCGCCGGGGTCCTGGTGGACTGCGGTCCTGCCCTGTGGGGGAGGCTGAGGGCAGAGGCGGGCCTGAGGCCAGAGGCCGGGGCCAGATCTGCCTCGGTCTACACAGGAGAGCCAGGGTTCCGGCAGGCCTTGAGGCTGGGGGTGGGGAGGACTCCTTGGCAGCTTCCTGCAAGGTCCCTCTCTTCCCTCCAGACCTTTTTTTAAATTTTTTTCCTTTTTTGGGTCACACCAGCGATGCTCAGGGGTTCCTCCTGGCTCTGCACTCAGGAATCACTCCTGGCGGTACTCAGGGGACCATATGGGATGCAGGGAATCGAACCCAGGTCCACCGCGTGCAAGGCAAACGCCCTGCCCGCTGTGCTATCGCTCCAGAGCCCCGCCCCCCCGAATTTCTAAGGGGGATGCGTTTGCAGAGGAGGGTCGCTTCCACGGTGCCCCCGGCTGGGCATTTACCTGGGCTCCAAGCAGGCCCTGCAGGGCCCCGAGCAGAAGGCGGACCTGTCCAGCAAGCTGTCCCAGCAGGGATGAGAGGCAGGTGGGTCCCAGCTGCGCCCGAGCTGCCGCCGCTCCCTCCAGCAGCAAGGCTGCTGCTCCCAGCACGTCCTGTGCTCGGGCCTGCTCCTGGCAGAGATGGAAGAGAGAAGCGGAGCTGCTTCAAAGGGCTCCTAGCGGGTGGGGAGCCTGCGGGAGTCGCCAGCAGGATGAATCATAGGAGCTGGGAACTGGACAGGACCACGGGCCCACCCAGCACAGGAATTCCTCCCGCTTCCCGACAATTGGTCCTCGGCCGCCGCTGGGCCAACTGCGGTGTCCCGGAACCCAGCCTGCTCCGACACGCGGTGGCAACCCCCACGGCTTTTGTGTTTTTCCCTGTCTTCATGAGGCTGACGTCTGTCCGAGGGTGGATCTGGCCTCTTGATTCTAGAGCTGGAAGGGCTACTCGTTGGGCTGTAAAACCGTAGGGTCAAATAATTATTTCAAAGCTGGCTGTAGAGAAGAGAAGAGGAGAGTAGTCGTAAAGACCGTTCCCAGGTCTCTAAGGGGTCCGACTTCCGACGTGGCAGGGGAGAAAGGAAATCCTGGGGATATTTGGGGGGTGGAAGAGCGGATTCTCCCAGGACTGCCTTCCTCGCGGCTTCCTGGACCTCTCACCATCTTCCCCCAGGCCGTGTTTAGGCTTTGGTTTTGGATGGGGGGGGGGGTCGTCACACCCAGCTACGCTCCTGGCTCACTCTTGGCTCTGGGTTCAGGGGTGACTCCTGGTGATGCTCAAGGGGACCCTGTGTGACGCTGAGGATTCGAACCCAGCTTGACCACAGGCAAAGCCAGAGCCTTAACTTCTGTGCTATTGCTCTGGCCCAGTCGCCTAAGCTCTAAAAAAGAGACCACTCCTCAAATAACATGTTGTCTTTGTTCGGTTGTTTCGTTGCTAGGGATCAATGCAGGGCTGTACTATGGAGCCATGTTCCACCCTCTTCATGCAATTTATTTTCCAGCTTCTATCTGTTCAGCTTCTTCCTCCTGAACCGAAGCTAGTTTGTTTGTTTATTTATTGGTTACACAGAGATGCCCAGGGATTACTCCTGGCTCAGCACTCAGGAATTACTCCTGGTGGTGCTTGAGGGACCATATGGGATGTCGGGGATCAAGCCCAGATTAACTGCTTGTAAGGCAAATGTTCTACCCACTGTGCTATTGCTCTGGCCCTGCGAGCTAGTTTAGTATGGACCCTCTGAATAAATCTGAGTCTATTCAAATTCATGTATTTTTGTTTTGGGGGGCCACACCCAGTGATGCTCAGGGGTTACTCCTGACTCTGTACTCAGGAATCTGTGCTCGGGAGGCCATATGGGATGCTGGGGACTGAACCTGGGTCAGCTGCAAGCCAGGCAAACACCCTACCCACTGAACTATCTCTCCAGCGCCCTGAGTTTATTCATATTTAAAGGAGGGGATCTAATGCTAAACCCGTTACTCTTTTGGGTTGTTTTGGGGTTGGGCCTCTCCCAGACCAAGTGATGCTGGGAGTTGAACCCAGCCGCCCGCCGCCCCCTCTTCCCCCCCCCCGCCCCCCCCCCTCCCCGCGCCATACAAGACAAGTGCTCGACCACTGAGCTATATCCCCTGTCTCAGGCCTGTACTTTTAAGTATGGGCAACTTAGAATGGAGCTTTATAGGAATATTTCCACAATGAGAATGCCAAGCCTTTAAAGCTGCCTAGAATCACTAGCTTTTAAAAATAGCTGCTTCAGTAATGGGGTCAACTCAACCCTCCCAAATTTTCTTCATAGTGAGTTCTTGGGCTAGAACTTTCTGGGCGGGAAGCAGGAGCATCATGGCCGGAGTGGCAGTGTGACTTTCTTCAGTTGCTTTCCACGTGGAGAATTTTATGTGCCTCTCTGTTAAACTGCACCTTGTTTTTGACCTCGTGTCTCCGAAATTTGAGTCTTGATTCTGCCATTTGTTAAGTTAGCTGCGCTTTCCAGGTCTCTGTGTTGTGTGTGGAAAATAGATCAGTCTTTTCTGTGCCACCCTAAGAAGGCAATTCGGTTCGAGCTGAAGAGATAGTGGATTGGGTAAGCCGTGTATGCGGCCAACACTAGTTTGATCCTTGGCACTGCATGTGGTCCTCCGTGCTCTGCCAGGAGTGAATCCTGAGCACAGAGCCAGGAGAAAGAGCTGTGCACCGCTGGGTGTGGCTCCAAAACCAAGAATGGAAACAAAACAAAAACAAATGAAAAAAAGGAGGCTGCCTGGTTCTAGGTCAGAAGCAGGGCAACGAGAGAGAGAGATTTCTGTCCAGCTTTACGACGTTTTCAGCTGCTTAAATCTATTTAACATACTGGGGAGGCAAGTTGTCCATGGGATAGCGTCGTGTTAGAAGGGAGACTGGGTTAGCTTAGCCAAACTCAAGGTGGCACCCTTTTAGGGAACTCAGGCCCTGTGAAGACGGCCAGAGAGAGGAGACCGGGGTGAAGGCACTTGGTGCGCCGGCGTCTGACCCCAGTTGGAACCACGGATATCACAGACGTTCTCCCCAGCACCACCAGGGGTCACTCCTGAGCAGAGAGCCAGGAATAGCGCCTGCTGCCTGTGCCCCCCAAACCTGAAACCCAAACCCAAACATTTGAAGAATTCAGGAGAAGTGTAGGGAATGGAGGACAGGGGTGGCTTCCTTACCGTCTGGGTTTTCCATTCTGCCAAGCTGAAGTCCACAGCGGGCAGCAGGACAGGTGAGGCCAACGGGTTAACTTCCGGGCACTGGCTCTGTTGGAAAGATTAATGTGTCGGGGGAGTGGGGGGGTGGGGTGGGGTGTTGGTGGCGGGGAGAGAGGGGCTGGAAGGGAGGGCAGGGTGGCCTGAAGACCAGCAAATACAGAAAGATCCTCCACCCAGAGGGGTATTGAGAAGCAGAGTTGGAACAACGAGTGGCTGTAGGCCACGGAACCTCAGAGCTGATCCACAGAACTCACAGAACTGAGCTGAACTGGGGTGAAGTGTCCTTGGGACATTGGTGAAAAGAAGTGGGCACTGATGGGAAGTGTGTGGCATCGGAATGTTGTACGAAGGAAACTCTTGCTGACTGTATTATTGATATATATTATTTATATATCTTTTTTTACTTTTTGGGTCACACCCGGCGATGCTCAGGGGTCACTCCTGTGCTCATGTACTCAGGAATTACCCCTGGCAGTGCTCTAGGGACCATATGGGATTCTGAGAATCAAACTCGGGTAAGCAGCATGCAAGGCAAATGCCCTGCCTGCTGTGCTATGGCTCCAGTCCCAGTATATAGCACTGTGGCACTGTCCTCCCATTGTTCATCGATTGGCTTGAGTGGGCACCAGTAACGTCTCACAAAATTGTGAGACTTGTTGTTACTATTTTTGGCATATTGAATACGTCATGGGCTGGAGCGATAGCACAGCAGGTAGGGTGTTTGCCTTGCAAGCAGCCAACATGGCCAACCCAAGTTCGATTTCTCCGCCCCTCTCGGAGAGCCCAGCAAGGTACCGAGAGTATCTCTCCCGCAAGGCAAAGTCTGGCAAGCTACCCGTGACGTGTTCGATATGCCAAACATAGTAACAAAAAGTCTCACAATGGAGACGTTACTGGGCCCGCTCGAGCAAATTGATGAACAACAGGAGGACAGTGACAGTGACAGTGAATATGTTATGGGGAGCTTGCCAGGCTCTGCCATGCAGGCAGGATATTCCCGGTAGCTTGCCGGGCTCTCCGAGAGGGGCGGAGGAATCTAAACCCAGGTCAGCCGCATGGAAGGCAAACGCCCTACCCGCTGTGCTATCTATCGCTCCAACCCCGGTATATGCATATATTTATATTATTATTATTATTTTTTAAAGTAGCTGAAATTTTATTTTTGAATAAGTATTTAATATACTATATAAATTGTTATAATTTATGGACTTACAAAATAGTTTCATTTGAATAGAAAATTATTTCCATGTATAAGTTTTAAAAAAGTAAATATGTCAACTTCAAAGATGTAGATTTCAAAACAAAAATGTAGATTTCAAAACAAAAATGTCTCTTAAATATAAACAAAACAGTAAAAACCGAAAAATACTATATTGATTATCTAAACATTGAAAGTAACATAGCAGAATAATTCTGTCACATATTTATACAGAGGCAGGGTGGGACGGGGGGGGGAGATAAGGGATGGGAGGTATGCTGGGACCCGTGGTGGTGGAGGATGGGCACTGGTGGAGGGATGGGTACTTGATCATTGTATAACTGAAACCCAAGCAGAAAAATTTATAAGTCTATAACTGTACCTCATGGTGTTTCACTAATAAAAAAAATAAATAAATAAAAAGAAAAGAAATTACTGCATGCAATCTTGTGAAAGAATAGAAAATAAGATCATTTTGATTCAAAGCTCAGATAAACATTGGTGACAAAGGATTTGAGACAAATGCATCTTACAAGCCAGATTAAATATATTATTATTATTATTATTATTATTTTTGCCACACCCATCTGTGTTCAGGGCTTACCCTCTCTCTGCACTCAGGGACCACTCTTGGCAGGGTTCGGGGACCATACAGGGTATCGGGGACTGAGCCCTGGTCAGAGGTGTGCAAGGCCAGCCCTGCCGTCTGTACGCTCTCTCTGGCCCCCTCGCGAACAGTCACGGTGAAACAGAAATGAGAGAGAAAGGAAAAGCGAAGAGCAGTGGAGGCTCCATGTCCGATGTCCAGACCGGAGCTGTGACAAGAGGGCCGGACGGAGGCTCCCTGGTCCTCACAGGCCCAGGGATGGGGCCGCCTGCTCAGGGCACACGGGAGTCCGCAGGAGACGTGAGGGGCGAGGGGAGAGGGGAGGCTCACCAGTCTGCTATGGAGGACCTGGGCGTCGCGAAGAAGCTTGTTGAGCAGCCGGGGGTCGCAGGCAGGAGGGGCGGGCAGGCCCAGAGTGAGTCTTGCTGTCAGGAGAAGCATGGCCGCGAGGAGCAGTTCTTAGAGGCGGGAGGGGATGCAAAAGGGAGGAATCATCCTCAGGTTGGGGTGGCCGCAGAGCCCCCGTCCCAAGCCCGGGGACTTCGGAGCCGCCGGGAGCCTGGCTCTGCTGCCCACCCCCCTCCACCCCACCCCACACTCGGCTCCCTTCTCTCTCCCTGGGTCCCTCCTGCCTGTTCTCACCGGTCAGCTCCATTCCGGCCAGACTGTGTGCTCGGAGTGGCCCCCCTGCGTGGGGCCTCTCCCCTGAATCCTTCCTGAGGCCATGGAGGCGGCTGGGGCACTGGCTCTGGGGGGCAGAGTGGGCCGGGGCACAGGTGGGCCGAGGAAGAGGGTCTGGAATCTATCCTGGAAGGGACGGGAATAATGAGCATTTATTTGATCGCGTTGCAAGGCCAAGGCTCTGCCCACAGGAACAGGCGCCGGGGAAAGTGCCTGCCTAGACCTGCCGAGACACCGGCTGAACCCCCCCTCCTCACCCCCGCGCCCCCTCCAGGTCAGGGGTCTCCCCTGTGAACTGGAGCTGGCACTGCTGGTGCCCTGCTCCCCGCCCGGATGCAGTGTGGGCTGGGGGCGGGGGCCGGATAAGGATGTGCCTCTTGGCGGCCTCCAAGGCTGGGCCACCTGGCTCATTTGGCCGGAGGAAGTCTGGGCTGGGGATAGAGGATTGAAGCGTTATGGCATACGTCTGGGAAAACGAGCGGAACACCGGGGTGGGGCCTGGGAGAGGAGCTAGCAACTGTGCTCAGCGGGCCGAGGGGTAGCCCGGAGGGGAGGGCCGGAGCAAGTCGGGCAAATGTGACCCTGGATGATGGGGATAAAAAAAAATGGGGGCTGGAGTGATAGCACAGTGGGTAGGGCATTTGCCTTGCACGCAGCCGACCCGGGTTCAATTCCCAGCATCCCATATGGTCCCCCGAGCACCGCCAGGAGTAATTCCTGAGTGCATGAGCCAGGAATGAGCCAGGAATAACCCCTGTGCATCGCCGGGTGTGACCCAAAAAGAAAAAAAAATGAAGTTGGCAGGGGAGAAGTGAACCTCTTAGCCCTCCGCACCCCCAAAGCCTCCTGAGACTGCATTTTTTTTTGGCATTCAAGTTCTGTGGTACCTGGTCTTCCAAAGCCAAGAGATGGGCAGACAGTTCTGGTACTTCCTTCCTGAGGCCCGGGGCTCAGGAGGGGCACCTGCTGAGTGATGTGATGTCCACCTTACGTGGTCAGCCTCAACAGAGACACGCGACATAGTTGTCCCGGAGCCGGCACCTTCCTCCCTTCCCCCTTCGCAGGCCCCTTCCGCTTCCTCCACGGGACCCCCTACATGGCCTCCTCCTCCTCCTCCTCCTCCTCTCGCGAGTTGTGCAAAGAAGGCTGCACCTGATTCAATATTGGGATTTCCTGTTGGTCTGTCAACATGCCGGAGCCCTCCTCCCATCCCCTGCTCCTGGGGCCGGGCGAGCTGGACCCTGCGCCCCTCAGCCCGGCAGCAGCCCACTCTCAGGGCAATCGAGACCAGGGCTACAAGGGGGGGCTGGGGCTGTGTCCAGCTCAGGGCTGGCTGCCCGAAGCCTTAAATGGACAGACACCCTGTCTCCTTCTCCCATGGGTCCACTTCTCCTTTGCTGAGGGCCAGCCGAGATTGTGCCCGTTTTCACCAAGTCTGTGAACAGTCCCCGAAAACCCAGCACCCCACCCCCTCCCCCAGGCTCGGTCCTGCTCCTCCCCTTCTGGGAAGGCTCCACTCTTCTCGACAAAGGTCAGTGCCTGGAGGTTTCCAGTTGGCCGGCCCCTCCCCCAGCACAGAGCCCAAGTCCTCTTTCCTGTCCTTCCCCGCCCTCCCCCTTCACCCCAGACCCTGCTGGTCACTTACCAGGGGGAGAAGGGCTCCGGGCCCCAGGTGTGGCACACGGGGCAGCAGATGGAGGAAGGTGTGTGTGGCGTTGGGGCCTTGCCCCTGCGCGGCAGTGGGGTCAGTGGCCTGCCCAGGCGGCCTCTGCCCAATCAGAGAGCAGGGAACCAGCAAGGCACTGGCGAGGGCCCCGGAAGTGACGCCTTCTCCTCCCACCCGCGCTGGACCAGGGTCCACCCGTGGGGGCCCCCGGCCTCCACCCACACAATGGCCAGGCGGATTCCACGGGGGGATGCGGCCACGCCAAGCCCACGGAGAGCCGGCCCCGGCTGCTGCAGGAGGCCGGCGGAGGGGAGCGGAGGCTTCCTCCAGGAGGAATCTGGAAGGACGCTCCCATCCCAGGGAAGAGACACCAGGCCGGTGGCCAGTGGCCGGGCTCACAGCTCTAGAACGCTCTGCCCAGACGCCACACCTGCCGCCTGGCCCTCTGGGGCCCTGGCTGGGCAGCCTGGAGTAGGACCACATGCCCAGGAAGACCATGGGCCATACCTGCATGGGCGCCCCCGGCAGGGGTCAGGGTGCGGGGAGTGGGGGGGGAGTGTGTGAGGATCTGGGGTCGGGGGGAGGGCTGGGTGAATGGTGGGCACAGGCTGGGCTCACTCAGGTGGCCCTCTGCTGGGCTCTGTGCCCGCCTTCGCCTGCCCCCCCTCTCTCCCTCTCTCATCTCTTACCCGTCCACATGTGACAGGAGGAATAACCAGGCCCATGTGTCCCTGTCTTGGGAGAGACGGCCGAGAGCCTCCCCCACGCATACCTCAGCCGGCCCCTCTTCCTCTGCCCTGGCTCCGGTTCCCTCGCTCTCCCCGCAGCCTGTCTCCCCACAGTCTCTGTCCTTAGGGGCCTCCTGGCCTGACCCTGTTCCTGCCAATGCCAACCCTCCCCCGGCGGCCCCCCATTTTTCCTTCCTCGGGCTCACTCCTGCTCCTCCTCCGAGGAGGACGGGGCTGTCTGCTAAGGAGTATGGCCTAGATCCCGGAATTCTCCAGTTCAGCCAGACAAGATGCCTCCCAAGATTAGGAAGGAGGGTGCTGGGACCGTGGGGAGGATGGGGGGTGTGTAGGGGTGGGAGGGGGACAGGAGGCCCTCTTGACCAGCAGGCCAAGACAAAGGAGGTGGGCCGGGTGTGGGGGGGGCTCCCCTGGCTGAGGGGTGGGAGAGCCCGGGGGCTGGGCGCTGGATGGGCGGCGGTGCCGAGGACAGGTGAGACCAGGGACAGAAGGGCCCCGTGGCGGCTGAGTTGATGTGCGCGCGTGTTGAGATGTGCTGGGGGGCCCGAGTCCAGGGGCCATCCGTCCTGGGGTCCTTCCCTGCAGGTTGTCACCCTCTGGCAGGAGCCCGGTGCTAGTCCCAGGGTTTGCCCAGGCCTCGAGCCCAGCTGCTGCCCCTCCCCTGGCCTGGGGCTCCCGACCGGGGCCGGACGCGCATCTGGCGGACCAGGCAGCCGGTGGCCCGCCGACAGCCAGGGGTGGGGGGTGCCCCGGACCAGTCTCTCCTCCCCGCTCCTCGCCCCCCTGGTCCCTCCCCGCCCCTCCCCCGCCCTCCCCGCCCGCCTCCCCCGCCGGGTCCCAGCCCCTCCCTCCCCTCCCCCCTCGCGATCCGGGCCGCCGCCGCTCGGGCCGGACCCCCCGGGCTCAGCCCGGCCCCCCTCGCCGCGCCGCCGCCGCCGCCGCCGCCCCGTTTGCTGAGGAGGAGGCCCCCGGCCGGGGCGCGGGGCGCGGGGCATAAAACGGGCCGGAGCCGGCGCCCGGGGCACCAGAGCGGCGGACGGCCCCGGGTCAGCGGCCGCCCGCGCTCCCCGGCCGCCGCCGCCGCGCCCGCCCCGCCCGCCCGGCCCGGCGCCGACTCCGCGGCCGCCCGACGAGCCCCCGGCCCCCGCCCGCGCCGCGCCCCGCCGCCCGCGGCCCGCGCCTGCTCCGCCCGCTGCGCCGTCCCGTCCGCGTCATGCCGAGCCTCGCGGCCCCGCCGGCCCCGCTGCTGCTGCTGGGGCTGCTGCTGCTCGGCCCCCGGCCGGCCCGCGCCGCCGGCGCCGAGCCCCCCGCGCTGCCCATCCGGCCCGAGAGGGAGCCGCTGCCCGTTCGGGGCGCGGCAGGTAGGTGGGCGCCGGGGCCGGGGGCGGGGGCGGGGGCGGGCCGGCCCCGAGGGGGCGCCGGGCGGGCGCAGGTGGCTTCGCGGCGGCGGGGGCGCGCGGGCCCCCCGGTGCCGCCGGCCGAGCCGGTCCCCGCGCCCCGCAGGCTGCCCGTTCGGCGGGAAGGTCTACGCCGTGGACGAGACGTGGCACCCGGACCTGGGGGAGCCCTTCGGGGTGATGCACTGCGTGCTGTGCGCGTGCGAGGCGGTGAGTGGCGGGCGCGGGGGGCGCGGGGGCACGGCAGCGAGCTTGCGGATGGCGTGGGACGTCCCAGCCGTCCCACCGTCCCGGCACCCAGCACCCTCTCTTGCCTCGGCCCTGCCGTCGGGGGCCAGGGGAGAGGCGCACCCCCGCCCAGGTGTTGGCCGCCGCCCGTCGGGCTCCGCGCCAGTCCCCTTTGCTCCCGGGTCGCTGTCGCCGCGCGCGGCGGTCACCGTCCCACCCCGGGGAGAAAGAGACGTCGAGTGACTGGTCCAGGGTCACGCAGCGTGTGAGAGGCGGAGTCTCGGGCTGCGTGGGACCCTCGCCCTCTCCGCCCCGTGGTCCCTCCTTGCGACCCCCTGGCATCAACGCCCCCCTCTTCTCCGCGAGCAGCCTCAGTGGGGTCGCCGCGTGAGGGGCCCGGCGAGGGTCAGCTGCAAGAACATCAAGCCCGAGTGCCCTGCCCTGACGTGCGGGCAGCCGCGCCAGCTGCCCGGACACTGCTGCAAGACGTGCCCGCAGGGTAAGGCGGGCGCCGGGCGCGCGAGCAGCCAGGCCGGGCCGGGACTGCGGAGGGCGGCGGGGTGGACGCGCGGCCCCCGCCCCCCCCCCCCCCGGCCCGCCCCGCCCCGCCCCGCCCCTCGGTGCCCAGGCTCAGGCCCGTGTCCCCCTCCTCCGCGCTGCAGAGCGCGGCGGCGGCCCCGACAGGCCGCCCACAGGCCTGGCCTTCGAGTATCCGCGGGACCCGGAGCATCGCAGCTACAGCGACCGCGGGGAGCCGGGCGCGGAGGACCGCAGCCGCGCAGACGGCCACACGGGTAAGGTGTGCGGAACCCCGCGGGGTGTGTGCCTGTGTGCGTGCGTGTGTGCGCGTGTGTGCGTGCATCTGTGCGTGCGCGCGTGCGTGTGCGACTATGTGCAGGTGTGTGGTGTGTGCGTGTGCGCGCGTGTATGTGTGTGCGTGCGCTTGTGTGTGTGCGTTTGTGTGTGCACGCGTTTGTGTGTGCACATGTGTGTGCGGGGGGGTGGCCAGCCCACCGCCACCACCCCGGGTACCAGGACGTTGTGCCCCCTTGGCAGACTTCGTGGCGCTGCTGACAGGACCGAGGTCGCAGGCCGTGGCGAGGGCCCGGGTGTCGCTGCTGCGCTCCAGCCTGCGAGTGACCATCTCCTACAGGCGGTGAGAAGGAAGGAAGGAGGGAGGGAGGGAAGGAGGGAGGAAGGAAGGAAGGAAGGAAGGAAGGAAGGAAGGAAGGAAGGAAAGAAGGAAGTAAGGAAGGAAGGAAGCCAGGGAGCAAGGACCTGCAGAGGTCAGAGCCCGAGGTTTCAGGCCCGGCCTCACCGCCCGCTTCATCCCAGGCTGGACCGACCCACCCGAATCCGCTTCTCCGACTCGGCAGGCAGCGTGCTGTTTGAACACCCCGCCGCCCCGACCCAGGACGGCTTGGTGAGAGGATGCTGTTGACGGATGCTTGTCCAGGCTGGGCACCGACATACGGAAGCCCATTGTACAGATGGAACCACCACAGTTCAGGGGCAGCGTGTGTTGTGCTCAAGAGATCCCACTAGTAAATGATGGAGCCTTGGTTTGCACTCACACACCTTGAGCTCCAGGCCCTCTTCTTTTTTGGGGGGAGGGTCCCAAGAAGTGTTCAGGAGACTCAGGGGCCATGGGTCCTAACCAGCAATTCTCTGTCAATTGGGTTCAGTGTGAGGTGAGGGAACCCATTCACCCCCCAGGCTGGAGGCCCTTAGGGCTATGCCCAGCGGTGCTTGGGGGACCCCATGTGGTGCTGGAGTTAGAACACAGTGTCTGTCTTGACCACCTGCATACCACCTCTGGGCTCCTCTTCCTCTTCCTCCTCTTCCTCCTTCCTCCTCTTCCTTCTCCTCCTCCTCCTCCTCCTTTTTTTTTTTTTTTTTTTTTTGGCTTTGCACTCAGAAATTTCTCCTGGCAGTGCTTGGGAAACTATATGGATGCCAGGATTCAAACCTAGGTCAGCTGCACACAAGGCAAGCGCCCTCCCTGCTGTACCTCAGGGCCTCCCCCCCTTTTTTTTTTTTGCATTTTGGGTCACACCCAGTGATGCTCAGGGGTTACTCCTGGCTCTGGCTCTGCACTCAGGAATTACTCCTGGCGGCGCTCGGGGGACCCTATGGGATGCTGGGAATCGAACCCAGGGTGGCTGCATGCAAGGAAAACACCCTACCCCCTGTGTTACTGCTCCAACCCCTCCGGGCCCCGTCTTAAGTATCCCGGGGCCCTCTCCCATATTCCTTCTGTGCTGAGTGGGGTGCTCTCGCTTTTCTGCTGCAGGTCTGCGGGGTGTGGCGGGCAGTTCCACGGCTGTCCCTGCGGCTCCTCAGGTCAGAGCAGCTGCACGTGGGCCTTGTGTCTCCCACGCACCCCTCAGGGGAAGTCTGGGGGCCACTCCTGCGGCACAGAGCCCTGGCTGCAGGTGAGCACTCCGGAATCCCCGGACCTGAGCTTCGGGAGTCCCAGGTAGACAGAGGATGGGGTTTCTGATGGTCTTTCCTGTCTTTCCTCTCCTAGAGACCTTCAGTGCCATCCTGACGGTGGAAGGCACTCCCCAGCCGGGCACCGGCGGCATTGCCCTCCTCACGCTCAGCGACACACAGGACTCCTTGCATTTTTTGCTGCTCTTCCGCGGGCTGCTGGAGCCCTGGGGTGGGGGTAAGTGTGTGGCGGGTCGGGGTGGCGGGGTGCCTCGCTCCCCGGGGTGGAGGTAAGCGTGGGTCGGGGGGGGGTCAGGGTGCCTCGCTCCCCGGGGTGGCCCCATGTGCCACTCTCGCAGGCCCCGCCCAGGTTCCCCTGCGGCTGCAGATTCTCCACCGAGGACAGCTGCTGCGGGAGATCCAGGCCAACACCTCAGTGCAGGTGAGTTGTGGGGTGCTGCCCCGTGCTGCCCCCTTGTGCTGGCCTCCCAGGGTGGCTTGCCATGCCCGGCCTTGTCCCCAGGAGCCGGGCTTTGCCGAGGTGCTGCCCAGTCTGACAGCTGAGGAGATGGACTGGCTGGCCCTGGGGGAGCTGCAGATGACCCTGGAGAGGGCAGCTGGGGCTGGACCACGCATCAGTGGACTCATTGCTGCCCGGCAGGCCTGTGACGGTAAGCCAGACTTGCGACTGGCACCAGGGCCCTAATAAGGAGGCCGCACAGGTGCCAAGGGGAGGGTCAGTGTGTGCCTGGAAGGCATTCTGGGGGAGATGAGTGGCCCAGGGCCAAGCGGGCCACCCTCTGTGTGTAAGTGTGTGTGTGTGTGTGTGTGTGTAGGGTTTGGGTCATTCTTGGTGGTGCTTCCTCCTGGCTCTGCACTCAGGGATCACTCCTGGCAGGGCTCTGGGGACCATATGTGGTGCAGGGGGTGGAACCCGGGTCGGCGGCATGCAAGGCAAATGCCCTACCCGCTGTGCTACACTGCCCCCTCCACCCTCTGTGTCACCCCTTGCAGTGCTGCAGAGTGTCCTTTGCGGGGCTGATGCCCTGCACCCAGTTCAGACGGGTGCAGCGGGCGCAGCCAGCCTGACGCTGCTCGGGAACGGCTCCCTCATCTACCAGGTGGGAGTTGGGGCTGTGGAGCAGGTGTGGGATTTCAGGCCCCCTGATGCTCCATGGTGCCCTCCCCCATCCTTCCACCCAGGTTCAAGTGGTCGGCACAAGCAGCGAGGTGGTGGCTGTCACGCTGGAGACCAAGCCCCAGCGGAGGGACCAGCGCACTGTCCTGTGTCACATGACCGGGGGCCAGCCTGGAGGACACACGGTGAGTGTTGTGGGAAGGTCCTGGCAGAGCGTCCGCGTGGTGTGTGTGTGTGTGTGTGTGTGTGCGCATGTGTGTGTGTGAGGGGGTGTGGTTGTGTGGGTGTGGGTGAGGTGTGGGTGTATGGGTGTATATGTGTGTATGCTTGTATGTGTGTGTGCATGCGTGTGTGTGTTTGGGTGTGTATCTCTGTGTGCATATTTGTGGTGTGGGTTATGTGTATATGCTCATGTGTGTGTGTGAGGGGGGTGGGTTTGAGGGAGGTGTGTGTGCATGCATGTGCGTGTGTTGTCTGTGTATGTGTGTGTGTGTGAAGGGGTGTGGGTGTTTGTGTGTGCATGTATATGTGTGAGAGCATGTGCATGTGTGTGTGAGGGGCTGTATGTGGTGTGTATGTATGTATGTGCGTGCGAGCATGTGCGTGTGTGTATGAGGAACTGTGTGTGATGTGTGTGCTCTGTGGGAAGTCAGCCCAGACGGGCAGGATCGGTGTCCCATTCGTGGACTCTCACTGAATTGTGGGGCACCTTGTGTGGGAGAATCAGATGGGGGGGCAAGTCCTCTGCCAGTGCCCCGAGACAGACTCTCAGCCAACCCTGGGATTAGCCCCTGGGCTTTCACAGTGAGTGCCTCTTTCCACTCTTGGGAAGCGGTGCTGTGGGGCCCCGGGGCCCCTTGGTCAGTCCTGGCCACCCAGACTGGATAGTTTGGTGCTGGGACAGAGAATGTGGAGCTGCTCGGGCTCTGCCTGGTTGGGCATTAGCCCACTCTGACGGTGCTGGGGGCCATCAGGGCCACAGGGGGAGGGGCTCGGGGGACCATGAGGTGTTGGGATTCAACCTGGTGTCCCGGCACCTGCCGTGGTAGTGCCTCTGCCCACTGAGCCATCCTTCCAGCCCAGGGTCTCTGACTTTTATTTCAAAGAAAATAAGTTATCTTCAAGGCTGTTACTTGGCTAGGAAGTGGAGGGAAGTAACTTGAATCTGGGCTTTCAAGGTTGTGTGTGTATGTGTGTGTATGTGAGTGTATGTGTGAATGTATGCCTGTATGTGAGTGTGTGTACATGTATATGAGTATATGTGTATGTGTGGACATGTGTGAGTGTGAGTGTGTGTGTGTGTGGATGTGGCCTCAATGGCACTCCTGAGTCAGTGCTCTGGGGTTGCTCCCCTTTTTCTGTTTTTTGGTTTTTGGGGCACACCTGGCAGTGCTCAGGGGTAACTCCTGGCTTTGCATTCAAGAATTACTCCTGGCCGTGCTTGGGAGACCACATGGGGTGTTGGGGATTGAGCCTGGGTTGGCTGCATGCAAGGAAGGCACCCTAAACACCATACTGTGCTCTGGCCCCCATGTGAGGTCGCACCCTGGTGGTGTTGGGGGACTGTGCGGCACCCAGGTGGAACTCGGGACTCACGCATTTCAGGCACATATGTCCATCCATCGGGCCATCTGCCCAGCCCCTGCAAGGTTCTTGTGTTCCTGGTTTATGAGTATAATTTGTGTATGTGTGAGTGTATGATTGTGTGTGTGAGTGTGTGCATGTGCCTATGTGTGTGTGCGTGCGTGTGTGTGTGCGAGTGTGTGCATGTGCTTATGTATGTTTGTGTGTGTGTGCATGTACCTGTGTGTGTGCGCGTGTGCCTGTGTATATGTGTGTGTGTATATGTGTGTATATGTGTGAGTGCATGTGCTTATGTGTGTGTACACATGTGAGTGTGTGCATGTGCCTGTGTGTGTGTGGTTGTGTGCGTGTGTGCATGCGTGTGTTTGTGTGTGTGTGTGTGTGTGTGTGGTATCCTGGGGGCATGAAACAGAAAAAGCTTTAGAATACTGGCGTGTTCCTCAGGGATCTGTGGCTTGATCTCCCCTTTCCCTGCCGCTCCAGGCTGTGGGTGTCTGCCCTGGGCTGGGTGCCCGAGGGGTTCATATGCTGCTGCAGAACGAGCTCTTCCTGAACGTGGGCACCAAGGACTTCCGGGACGGAGAGCTGCGGGGACACGTGGCCGCCCTTCCCTACAGCGGGCACCGTGCCCGCCATGACAGTGAGTGTGCTGGGGTCCTCTGATGCCCCTGCAGTGAGGGGTGCTGCAGAGGACAGTGGGTGCCTGTGGGGCTCTGGGCCTCTGGAGACGTGGGCGTGGGAGCTTCAGCAGCCCTGGGCTCACAGACGTCGCCTCCTGGTTCCCGCGGACTCTGAGTCGGGGCAGCTGGGCCCAGGCCAGGACTGTGCAGCCTCGTCCGCTCTCGGTCACGTCTCTCACCGGCCCCTTCTTTCCTCACCTGTCCCCTTTTTTCTGTTGGACCCAGCGCATCCTGTGGTGCTGGCGGGAGCCCTGGTGTCGCCCCCGGTGAAGAGTCCGGCCGCGGGGCACGCGTGGCTCTCCCTGGATGCCCACTGCCATCTGTACTACGAGGTGCTGCTGGCCGGTCTGGGCGGCTCCGAGCAGGGCACGGTCACTGCCCACCTCCTTGGGCCTCCTGGGACGCCTGGGCCCCGGCGGCTGCTGAAGGGCTTCTATGGCCCCGAGGTGAGGCCCCACGGTGGGGAGGTGGCCCAGGCAGTAGTGGCCAGTGAGCAGGAACAGGGCCAGCCTGACCTGGGCTGGGGAGCCCGCAGATGGTGGGTCTGACTGGGCCTTTGTGATCCCTTCTCCTTGCTGCCTCCTTCTCGGCAGGAGCCCTGGGACACTAGGTAAAGGCCGGGGCCCTTGAGGGGCTGGGGTGGGCGGTGCTGTAGGCTGGAGCCCCGGGTGCGCCCACACCAGTTCGTGTGCTCCCAGGCGCAGGGTGTGGTCAAGGACCTGGAGCCGGAGCTGCTGCAGCATCTGGCGCGGGGCACCGCCTCGCTCCTCATCAGCACCAAGGGGAGCCCCCACGGGGAGCTGGGCGGGCAGGTAGGCGGGCAGGTAGGCGGGCTGCCGGGTGGGAGGGGGCGTGCTCACCTGGGCGGCCGGGCGGCTCACAGCCTCCTTCCGGGTTGAGGTTGCGGGGATTGCGGGGGTGGACGGGTGTCGGGGTGTCGGGGCTAGGCGTCACTCCCCCCTCCCCGCAGGTACACATCGCCAACCAGTGCCAGGTGGGCGGCCTGCGTCTGGCGGCGGGAGCGACCCCAGGGTTCCCAGCGGCCCCTGCCGCTGCAGTGGCCGGACTGCCCGCCGTGCAGGGCGCAGACACCCCGTTGCCCCCCAAGTCCAGCGGCCACGGGCGGCCCCGAGATCCCAACACTTGCTTTTTCGAGGGGCAACAGCGCCCCCATGGAGCTCGCTGGGCACCCAACTACGACCCCCTCTGCTCCCTCTGCACCTGCCAGGTAGGAGGAGCCCGGGAAGGGCTGCCGGGGAGGGCTCTGGGTCCCGGGGGGCTTCTGCGTCCCAGGGCACCCCACCATCCCCTCTGTCTGCAGAGACGCACTGTGATTTGTGACCCTGTGGTGTGCCCTCCGCCGCCCTGCCCGAGCCCCCTGCAGGCCCCAGACCAGTGCTGCCCTGTGTGCCCTGGTGAGTGGCCAGCGGGCGTGGAAGGAGTAGGGAGAGTGGGTGCTAGGGAGGAGGAGAAGGGGGGATCACCTTTTATCTTCACTAGACCTTTGGCTCCACAGAGAAACCAGATGTTAGAGACCCTCCAGGGCTGCCCAGGCTGCGGGACCCCGGAGAGGGTGAGCCGGAAGTGTGTGCGGGGAGGGGGAGGTCGGGGGAGGGGGGGCGGGCCCGGAGGTATCCAGGTGGGGCCCATAGGGAGATGGAGGGGCGCGGGTGCCAAGTGACCCCCCCTAGGCTTCCTGAGGTGCTAGCCCGCAGGCGGGCTTGGGGTCTGATCAGGGCGGGGTTAGCCAGAGGGCAGTACTAATGGCAGCTGGGCACTGTCCCCCACCAGGCTGCTATTTTGATGGTGACCGGAGCTGGCGGGCAGCGGGTACCCGATGGCACCCTGTCGTGCCCCCATTTGGCTTAATTAAGTGTGCGGTCTGCACCTGCAAGGTATGGCTGCCCATTCTCCTCTGGTGCCAGGACCCAGCCTGGGCTGCACTGAGCGGGAGGGGCTGCCCGTCTGAGGTCTGGCCAGTGTGCCAGGAGGCAGACAGTCCTGGGCCAGGCCCTCTGTTGGGCTCCTAGAGTTGACTTCCTGTAGAAGGGCGAGGGCTGAGCTGGGTGAGGACTCGGCCTCTGCCTGCTACCTAGCTCCCCGTGACCCCGGGCACACGCTCTCCCTCCCCGAGAAGCTGGGGGTGCAGGGGCTCTGAATAGAGGACTGTGTGGGTCAGGTTGAGGTGCGGGAGAGGAACAGGAGGAAGTGGCAGGCGGGTGCACTCCCCTCCTTCCTGACACCCTTCACTCAATGGATCCCTGCAGGGGGGCACTGGAGAGGTGCACTGTGAGAAGGTGCAATGTCCCCGGTTGGCCTGTGCCCAGCCCGTCCGCGCCAACCCCACTGACTGCTGCAAACAGTGTCCAGGTGAGGGAAGCGGAGCTCCTCTCTGGGAGAGGAGATGCATGGTGCTGGGAGGCACTGGGAAGCGAGGAGGGATGGAAGGGACTTCTCAGGTATTCAGCAGGGGCTCAAGGCGCAGCCGAGAGAACTTGCATCTACTGGTGGGCTGCAGGGGGTTCCAGTCCCTGCCTCATCCATCTTCACCATCCGTCCACCTACCCACCTCTCCATCCATCCACTCTGCTATCCACTCCTCCATCCCCATCACTCATCCTTGTCCATCCATTCATACATCCACACGTCCACCATCCATCCACCTTCCCACCCACTACCCACCCATCCTTCCATCCCTCCACACATCCACCCACTCACCCATCATCCACCCACACATCCACCTCTCATCCATTCATCCATCTGTCCATCCATCCGCCCGTCTGTCCATCCATCCACCCACACATCCACCTCTCGTCCGTCCATCCATCTGTCCATCCATCCATCCATCCGCCCGTCTGTCCATCCATCCACCCACACATCCACCTCTCATCCATCCATCCATTTGTCCATCCATCCATCCGCCCGTCTGTCCATCCATCCACCCACACATCCACCTCTTGTCCGTCCATCCATCTGTCCATCCATCCATCCGCCTGTCTGTCCATCCATCCACCCACACATCCACCTCTCGTCCGTCCATCCATCTGTCCATCCATCTATCCGCCCGTCTGTCCATCCATCCACCCACACATCCACCTCTCGTCCGTCCATCCATCTGTCCATCCATCTATCTGCCCGTCTGTCCATCCATCCACCTACACATCCACCTCTCGTCCGTCCATCCGTCCGTCCGTCCATCCATCCATCCATCCATCCATCCATCCATCATCCATCAATCCGCCGTCCTCCACCATCCATCCATTTGTCCATACACTGATCCACTCCTTATTTATTATCTCCATCATTCATTCATGTACCTACCCACCCATCCATCGCCTATCCAGCTCTCCACCCATTCACCCACCTGTCACTCATCCATCCCCCTTTCATCCATTCCTCAGCGACCTACCATCTATTCACCCTTTAATAACCCATCATCCGTTATCCAACATTCCTTCCTCTTTCCTTTCCTGCCTCCGTCATTTACCATTTCATCCATCCACTTACCCCATTTTGTCCATTTATATCCACGCATGCCTGCATGTGTGTGGCCACGCATCTGCGCCACCAACCAGATTCATTACATACTAAGTTTATAATGGAAACTTCTAGGTACTGGAGATTCAATGAGAAAACCTGGAGGTTCTCAGAGAATCCACCTCTGCTGACTCTGCCTCCTTCCTTCTCTCCCTTCCGACAGCGGGGTCCGGAGCCCGTCCCCTGCTGGGGGGTCCCATGCAGGCCGACGGGCCCCGCGGCTGCCGATTTGCAGGGCAGTGGTTCCCGGAGAGCCAGAGCTGGCACCCTTCAGTGCCCCCCTTTGGGGAGATGAGCTGCATCACCTGCAGATGTGGGGTAAGAAGTGGGAGGCCTTGGCGGGGTGGGGGTGGGGCTTACTCGTGATTGGTGGGTTCTCGCAAAGAGGCCGAGGACTGCGGGTGCCTCCCGGAGCCTCAGGAGCTGCTTTCTGCCCCAGGCGGGGGTGCCCCACTGTGAGAGGGACGAATGCTCCCCACCGCTGTCCTGCGGCCCCGGGAAGGACAGTCGCTGCTGTACCCACTGCGCTCCTCGGCAGCGTGAGTGTGGGGGTCCGGGGAGGCTGCCGGGGGTCTTGCATCTTGCTGTGTACTTGTTGCCCCCCCACCCCCGCACTGAAGCCCCTGGCCCTGAGGCGCCGGGTCACTGGGAAGATGCAGTTCCTTTCTAGTGCCCGGTCTCTCTGCTGCCCCTTCCCTGGCCCCGCATGGGCCCCCTCCCTGCTAAAGGCCTTTCCATGGGCTGGAGAGACGGTGCAGTGGGTAGGGCGTTTGCCTTGCACGCAGCGACTCGGGGGGACCAACCGTGGCAGTGTATAGGGTCCCCTGAGTACCTCTAGGAGTGATGCCTTCATGCAGAGCCAGGAGTGAACCCTGAGCACCACGGGGGTGTGGCGCCCCCCTCCTCCGACCCCCCAAATGACCAAACCAGAATCTTCTCTGCCTTCTTTCCGCAGCGGCACTTGAGACCAGGACAGTTCCAGAGCCACAGAAAGAAGCCCAGGGCTCCTAGGCAGCCGTCTGGAGGCCTCAGGACCAAGAGGACGGGCCTGGGCTGGGAGAGGGAGTGGCGTGGAGGCCCTGTGTTCTCCTCTGGGCCCCAACCCCCCCCCCCCCCCCCCCCCCCGTGCCTCACGCTCCATCTCCCTCCCCCACTACCTCTGGGAACCGCAGCTTCTCACGCAGGGGGCAGGAGGGTGGCCGGTCTGTCCAGCTCTGGCCTGCTGGAAGGCGACCCCCTTCCCTAGTGTGCAGAGTGTCGCCAGCTTGTTGGAGTTTTAATTTATCCTCACTCAGCCTCATGGGCCCCCAGTTCGCCTGCTGCCCGGAGCTGAGCAGAGTCACTATTAGAGATTTTTGTATTTATTAAAACAGGTTTTTTTTTCAGTCTTTGGGCTCTAGCTGGTCTCTTTGTGGGTGTCATAGGAGAGCGGGGAGGGCGCTCGCCTTGTACACGCCTGACCCAGGCTTGATTCCTGGGCATCCCATATGATTCCCAAGCCTGTAAGGAGTCGGGAATAACTCTTCAGTATCGCTGGGTGTACTCCCCCTCCCCAACCCCTCTAACCCTAGTACTGCACTGTAGCACTGTCCTCCCATTGTTCATCGATTTGCTCGAGTGGGCACCAGTAACGTCTCCATTGTGAGATTTGTTGTACTGTGTTTGGCATATTGAATACGTCACAGGTAGGTTGCCAGGCTTTGTTGTGCAGGCGGGATACTCTCGGTAGCTTGTTGGGCTCTCCGAGAAGGGGCAGAGGAATTGAGTCTTGGTTGACCGAGTGCAAGGCAAACGCCCTACCTGCTGTGTTATGGCTCCAGCCCTAAGAACCCTCTCACACCCTAAGAACAGCGAAAGCAGGAAAAGTAAAAAAAAAAAACAAAAAAACTAGGAGAAAGTGCTCAATGGACCGAGCACACACTCTGCATGCAGGAAAGCCAGGTTTGATTCTACAGAGCTTGGTCCCCACCCCCCTGCACTGCCAGGAACCAGCCCTGAGCACAGCTGGGTGTGGTTCCGAAGGCCAAGAAAGAGCCTTGGAAAACCAAACCCGTCTTTACACCCAGCATTAGCTTTGCTGGCCTCCCGAGGGCTGTATTTTGCTACTCCTGTGTTAGGAGTTCCAAGGAGAGAAACCCGCAGCTCGCTCACGGGCCTCTCCCTTCTTTTGAGTCAGGCCGACACTCCTGCTATTCTTCCCCTGTTGCATTTTTGGAGACTGGAAGGAAGTGAACCCAGCGCCTCACACATGCATGCTCGGTGCTCGCCTGCCAGTGCTCCCGTCCAGCCACCTTTCATTTGCCTGGAAGCTGTAGCTCTGGAGCAGATCTGAGCAGTGTGTGTGTGTGTGTGTGTGTGTGTGTGTGTGTGTGTGTGTATGAATGTGTGTGTGTGTGTGTGTGCCAGCACTGTGAAAACAAAACACAAATGGGGTGTTGGAGAGATAGTCCAGTGCTGGCTTTGCATGGGGCTGATCTGGGTTCCATCCCCGACACCCCAGAGGCTCCTCTGGGCCCCATCAGGAATGACCCCTGAATGCAGAGCCAGGAATAAGCCCTCAGTACAGCTGCGGGTGCCCTCCCAAATAAAAACAAAACAGGAACAAAAATCAAGGTGAGGTAGGACTGGAGTGGGAATTTGAGAACAATCGCCCGGCCAGCTCATTGGAATCCAGGTGCTGATGGGTCGGACAGGGCGAGTCTGGAGAGGGTGGTTTATGCATCAAGGGGGATGAAATGTAGGTAAACTTTTGGGGGGGGGGGCTTGGGTCACACCCAACAGTGCTCATGGGGCTGTGTGTGGTGCCCAGCATCGGAACCAGCTGCACCCTCACCTGTCTAGCCAGGGGTGTGGGCACCCTCTAACCCTCTAACACCCTCTCCCACCTTCTACCAGGCAGTCCCAGCCAGCTAGCCTGGCTCTCAGTACTCGCCTGCTTCCTGCTTCACACAAACACCACCCTCAGGGACGTGTAGTAGATAGATGCTCTTCCTGCCTCAACCCTATTGGGGGAGTTTGGAATCCGGGCTCTGTGCTCAGGAGTGACCCCTGCTGGTGCTGGGGAGAACCAGCGGGGTGCCAGGGACCCAACCAAGAGGGGCTGAAAGGGTTGCAAGACAAATGCAGAAGACTCCTGTACTATCCTCCAGCCCTAGAACAGGGGAGCTTTAAAAGGCTGGTTCAGATACTGGATCAGGGGCCAGAGAATGGTACAGAAGTTAGGGTTCTTGCCGTTCATGTGACCCACTCTAGATTGGTGCCTGGTCCTGCATTTGGTCCTTTGAGCACAGAGACAGGAGTAAGCCACGGGTAGAGCCAGGTGTCACTTAAAGCAACTCACTGCCCCCACCTCTTGCCAAAAAAAAAAATCAGGTGAGCTGCTAAAGTAGAAACTAGACACTGTCAGTCAACACTTATTATTATGATCAGTTCTTGTGCTTTGGGGCATGAGGAAGTTTGTTTCTTTTTTCTTTTTTTTTTGCTTTTTGGGTCACACCCGGCGATGGCTCTTCACTCAGGAATTACTCCTGGCGGTGCTCGGGGGACCATATGGGATGCTGGGAATCGAACCCGGGTTGGTCGCATGCAAGGCAAATGCCCTACTTGCTGTGCTATTGCTCCAGCCCCAGTTTGTTTCATTTTATTTGGTTTTGGGGACACACCCGGTGATGCTCAGGAATGACTCCTGGCTCTGTACTCCTGGTGGTACTCAGGAAACTGAATGGGAAGCTGGGGATAGAATCCAGGTTGGCCACATTTAAGGCAAGTGCCCTGCCTGCTGTACTATCACTTCAACCCCAAGCCATGGAGAAGTTTATAAAAACAGGTATGGACCAGGGACAACACACACACATGCACACACACGCGCACACACACACATACACACACACACACACAGTGCAGGCACTGACTGACCTTTCACTCTGCCCACTCTGGTTCCTTTTACACCCTACGTGGGGGCCCCAAGTATTGGCCAGGGCTAGCCCTGAGCACACCTAGGTATGACCCAAATCTGCTCCCCCCCTCCATTGCCTCCAAGGATGAGCGTGTGAAGGGTGGGAGGGGAGGCAGAACATTGTCCTGGGTGGGCACTTACCTTCCAGCTCTGACCCCGCATCTGTGCAGGCCCCCAGCCTAGCGGGAACTCAGCCACTCCAACATGTGATTCACATCAACAGTGTTTTGTTTTGTTTTTTAAAAACAAGGTTGACGTCACTGGGGAGAATCTCATAGGTTTCCGCCGAACTATCACTTAACTTCTGCTCAGGAAGCATAAGGGTGGCGGGTGGGAGGTAAAAACAAATGCTAAAAACAAATCCAGAAACTATTCCCACCCCCCACCCCTCCCGGAACACAGTCAAGTCTTGAACTACGAGCATCTTTCTGTGGAGTCTTCAGTCAAAGGCCTGACCCTGTTTGGCTGTGTCTGAACTTGGACAAGACACGTGACTTATCTGACCCTCAGGAGTTGGACCCTGTGAGCAGCTCAACCAACATGCAAGCAACACAGCTAAGTGTGTGTGCATTACAGCAACAGGAAACAAAACTGCATTCTTGCCGCTTGTTGCGATCACAATGAGCAACGAGGGAAAGAAACCGGCTTCTTACTGAAAGTGATACACAGGGTCAATGCAGTCCTTTATCAAAATTCCAGTGGTTTAGTGGCCAGGATGTAGCTTAAGAGTTGAGCAGTCCTTCTCCCCGCCCTGATGAGGCCCCAAGTTGCCGCCCATGAACCCCTCTCTGGCTCCTGAACCATGATCTCAGAGGAGCAAAATCAGAGGCCATGATCTCAGAGGCACAAAAGTCAATCTCAGATACCACCAGCTTTTGGCAGAAACACATCTGGACTCTGCATTAAACTACGGTGCCGTGCCACCACGGGAGGCCAAGGGTGTTTGTCCCTTCACCCTTCCCCCCTGGCGGCGGTGGCATGGTGACCACTGTCTTTCAGAGCCTAATGGACATCCAGGTATGAGACCGCAGTGATGAGGCATGCGGAGCCTCATGGGATGGGGGGTGGAACCGGCCCTGCTCCTCGCCCTGACAAGGCTACGAGTTGCCGCCCACAAATGCCTCCTCCAGCTCCTGAAAAACCGTGATCCCAGAGGCACACAAACCAATCTCAGAACCCAGCAGCTTTTGGCAGCAATCCTTCCAGATTTATTACAAAAATATCAGAAATCCAAAATCGCATGGCTTTTATGGCGACCACATGACATCATATGCTCTTCATAATCAGCAATAGAAAACAAATTATCTAATGATGTCTTTTTGGCAGTTCTGCTTGCTGGGGAAAATTCCAAATAATAATGGTGGGTCTTCTGTCGTAATATTGAATGTGGTCAATGTAGAGAGAGAGAGAGAGTAAAGTGGAAATCTGCCACACAGGCGGGGGGTGGGGTGGGAGGGGGGTATACTGGGGTTCTTGGTGGTGGAAAATGTTCACTGGTGAAGGGATGGGTGTTTGATCATTGTATGACTGACCGAGACTTAAACTGAAAGGCTTTGTGACTGTTCTCACGGTGATTCAATAAATAAAAAATTTAAAAAGTATGATAAAATAGTTGAGCAGTTACTTGTCTTACATATATGAGGCTCCAGGCACTCATGTATGATCCCTAGCACTGTAAAGCAAAACAAAACATACAATAAAAGCCACCCCCGACAAATGTCAATGATTACCTTTTTATTTATTTATTTTTTAATGTAGGAGTACTGCTATTTATTCAGCCACTGATTAGCTGATTGAATTGGGCATGAACTCCACCTTACTTTTTTTTCATAATTTTATTTACTTATTTATTTTTCTTCCTATATTTATTTGTTGAATAACTGTAGGAAAAGTTACTAATATTTCAGGGTTAAGTCTCGGTCATACAATGATCAAACACCTCTCCCTTCACTGGTACTCATTCTTCACCACCAAGAACCCTAAGACACCCCCCTTCCACCTCTCCCAATGCCTGTGAGGCAGATGATTTCCACTTAACTCTTCTCTACATTGATTACATTCATTATTTCGACAAAAGATGCACCATTATTGTTTAGAATTTC